CCCTTCTTCTCTTGGCCTACCACAACACATGTTTTTTGGATACTTGAGAGGCCCCCGTTGACCCTTCCTTCTGGATACTATTGCTATATATGATGTTCTTCTCTTCCCAACCAACCCATATGATACTTTGAACGTTCGCTTCTCGTTTTCGTATTCTTCGGTTACGTCTCCAAGACAAGTGATCGCCGTATTTGCGGGTCCCTCGAATATTAGGTTACATTCATTTCGCACCGCCACCCGTCGCATCCAAGTGTTTTGCTCAATTTCTGAGAAGGGTGTCGAAATTCGTCGTTTTTTCGCAACACTTTTTTTTCAATATTTTGTTGAATAACATGGACTTTGATACAGTTAAAGGAAAACATTTTCTGGTAATTTTTTATGCAAGATTTTCCCTCAGGTACTTTGTTCTCCTCAATTTTCGTTTAAGAATCCGATACAGTTAAAGGAAAACATTTTCTGGTAATTTTTTTGTGCAAGATTTTCCCTCAGGTACTTTGTTCTCCTCAATTTTCGTTTAAGAATCCGGAAACATTGTATTTATTTGAGAACTTTTTGAGGAAAACATCCAATTAATTACAGTAATCCGGAAAATGCACCGAATGCATCATATGTTACGAGCAAAATAGGACTTATTGACTTTTTGGTTTTTTATAATATTTTCTTCCGTTGGTCTGAAAATTAAAATTTGAATACAATTTAGCATAGTAAATTTTTATAGTTTATCAGTTAAATTTTACTGATCTTTTCGAGCACAGGAAGTTTGAGATTATTTTAACTTTGTTTCTAATACAGTAATCCCTAAAAATTTTCAAAACATCATATCTCACGAGCAAAGTTGTGCATCTGTTTTTTTTGCTTTTCAGGCGAATTTCGATTTTTCAGTTTTTTTCGTAACATTATAACTGAGCCAACGATTTTTTGACGATTTGTTGTAAAGTGTCAGAAATTATGAGTTCCTTATTCACTTTCATTCATTGGTTCGTTTTGGACATTGAATTTCCTTTTCATCTTGACCGACACCCTCTCTCTTCGTTTTCTGTTGACAGGTCGACCCATCATATATCAAATAATACGTCGAGAGGGCCTGTGTGCGCGCATATGCGTTAACACCAGTTTATCGCGCCTTTCGTGCTTGACTCATAGTCGAAAGATTGCTCTCGCTTGCTATGCATTCACCCCATGGGGTTTCTGATGTTCCAAAAAAGCTTTATCTATAGCTCCTATTGTTTCTTTTTTTCTCCGGTGGTCAGAATTTTTCGTTGCAAGTCCAGATATTCCTCTTCTGGCACATTAGGAATAACTGTTTTGTTCAAACATGCGAGTTCTTTTGTTGCATGGAATGAACACACTGGTGCCGAACAGAGACATCCATTCACTCTCATTAGAATGAAACAATGAAATGAGTGACCGAAGAAGACCTACACCGGAGAGGGTGAGCGTAATAGATTGCGCAAGGCGACGACTGCCGGTCGGCCATTCGACCCACCTACCTGTACACACCCAGTTTGCCCTCATACCTCCACCTCTCCACTCTTTTTACCAATCGATTGATTTGGGTGTCTTCTTGAATGGGTGGCTGATGTCTGCGTCTCTATACTGATCCTTGTCTCTTTCCTCCAACGTAACAATTTTTTCACCCCAGTCGACCACCACCTCAATAGTCAAACCGTGTTTTTTTGTTCATCGGCATCTTACATGTAGAATGGTTTGCTATGGATCATTTGATCGCGGTCCGTCGACGCGACGCAATCTAATTCGTTACTTTTTCTTCCTCTGAATTCGTCTCGAATTGTCACACAGGACCCCCTAACTTACGTCTTTTTCTGCCATCCAGCAGCAGAACTACACCTTTTAAAGAAAATCACTATTGTGTTACTCTAGTCAACTTTCTATTCATTTTAAAATGTTGCAAGCGAATTTCGTCTTATTCTCAAAATATTTCTATTTTCTCTCTTCCTTCCCGTCTACTTCACCCCTTTTTCTTTTCAATTGGCTCTTATTAGTTTGACGGGTGGCGCAGGGAGCACTTGTGATTCTATTCGCCGCGACGACTCGGATGCCATTGCTTTTTCGAGCTGACCGACGGCACTTTTCAACAATAGGGTCACTTAGGATCCCTCTGTTCCCGTGCTTTCGGTTTTTGTCGTATCTTCGAAACTACCACCTGGTCCATCCAACTGAAAATTCATTTTGTTTTATAAAACAGCTGACCTTTTTGTTCTGCACTGCTAAAAGCTTTCAAAAAATTCGAAAAATGTTCTTCTGCTCAATTCGAAAAATGTTCTTCTGCTCACCAACTTGACAATTTGAAACTTTTTGTCGCTCTTGCGTTCTTGATCATGTTTGTCGCCGTGATGTGTCACCTTTTGGCCAACCTGTCCCTCCCTTATTGTCCTCGTCTGGTGCTTGGTGCCGCCACTAACCCCACCAAAAACCTTTTTTTTCAACGGAACGCGCATTCTTAATCAGATTGTCCCATTTCTTGCCAAATTATCTATCGATTTCCCCCATGCATTGCAAATAAATATATTATTATTATTATTCTCTTCCCAACTTTTAGTGCCTCACAAGTAACTTCTTCTTCTTCTTCTTTCACTTCTTTACTCCTTGTGTCGACCGTTGACGACGGCTTCCTATCGATATTCCGACTAAATTAATTACACTTGAGAGACGTCTCGTAATTGGTGAGTAGAGGTCATTAGATTCGTCAGCACTCCTCTCACCCGTCCCCGTGGTCCTTCTTAGTCCAACCGGCTCTTCTTTTTCCTCGATTCCTTGTGCCTTTTCGCGTAGTGCATTTATGTAATTCCCTGTCCCCCGGCCGTTCCTTTTCCGTATATGGACATCGTGTCGTTTTTGTGGGTCATTTGAGAGAACGAAAGAGGGCAACTGTCATTTGGCATGCTATGAGCCCTGAAGATGTTCCTTCCTCGTCTTCCTCTATTTGCCTTTCCCAACAACTCGCGCCATATGGCTCTGTGTTAGGTTATCAATTATTAAGAGGGAATGCAATGTGTGCTGGCTGTGATTATTATTTTATTATGCCTCACTCACACATTACACATCGAACCAACACAGTACGAACATCCCAACATTCTCATTCTGTCCACATTTACCCTACTGTCCCTAAGTGACAGAGAATGCGATGTTTTTATGATTACGGTGCCAGGCAGAAGGGCTAAAAGCGATTACCTATCCGTTGATGTCCTGACCGTTCCATCGCGTCGCTCTTCTGTTTGAAAATGGGAGACCCATAAAAAATGAGTGAAATGGATTGAACGACAATACGCTGTTCTTCTTCTCTGAAGCGGATTGTGCGACCTTTCCAATAAATATTCGAATGGGAACTAGGGTGATAAGGAAGACGACGAATCCCGTTCGAATAGTACTACATACTTCCACTGCAGGTTACCTTTCTTCCATGTTTCGAGCTCTCTTTTTCTCTCTTTTCAACATGTCACCTCTTCTTCTTATTCTTCTTCTTCTTCTTCTTTTGCCGTCCCCGTATTCCCCAGGAGAGGTAAACATTTGAGCAATAGCCATTCATCCTCAAGCCACTTGTTTTGTGGGTGGGGTTGCGTAACTCAGCTCCAAGAATTTTATATTGGGAGTAGCCACATGTCTTTACTGACGAATTGGAACACTTGCTCTTCAGTTTCGACTTCCCCGGTAATTTATTACTGGCCCTGACCCATCTTCATCGCACCCCAACAAGCAGTTTAGAGCTGTGTGTGGTCAAGTCGATTGATGAGAGAAAGGGGGCAGGTGGGAATTCAAAACGATTCATTTCCACAATTAAACGAAACGAGAGCAGTCTATTTTCTCTCAATCTTTTTTTTCATTCAATCTCGATTTTCATTGGCTTCGCCTGGATTAGGTGACTTGTGCCACTCAATCAATTCCTCCCTTATTTTTTTTTCTTTCCTCTTCCATCCTTTCCCGCATTCGATGTCTCAGCGCTTTTGCTCTTCTTAGAGTGATAATGAAAAACAAATCCGTTTAGCAAACACCGTATTTATTCGGTACAGTGTGATTGATGCTTCGAGGCGCAAACGGCACAAAAAAAGACTCGACCAGATGCATGTTTTCCTCTTTTTCGAGTTCTAAATTTTAGGAAACCCCGTCTTTTTTTTTCGTGTTCAATTACCGTCATTTTAGAAGTTTCGTAGTAATCAAGCCGTATATTGAAGCTCTCCACACTACTTCATTCATCTTCTCTTTTTCATCCCATCCATCTTCTTCCATTGGTGTCGTGCCCGTATAAATAGTCACATCCTGAAGCAAGCGCGAGAAAAAGAAATATGAAGCTCCGCCGTTGTTCTCCCTTTCTTCAAAATTAGATGAAGTGAGATGTGTTTGGTAGTCGAGTAGGCCTCTCCTTCTCTTTTTGAGACTCCTTCTCTCCCGAAAAATTCCAAAAGAAGAGCAAGAAGAAGTTCTACGTGTAACCGGGAGAGGGTGGACCACAAGAATTGTAAATTATTCGAGCTCCCGATGTGCGGAGGGGGGACACACGCGGTCTCCGTCTTCATGCCCAATGGCGACTCTCGATTTTTTGTGCATGGCTTCTTCCTTCTTCCTTTTTTTCCATCTTCTCCGGAGGCGATGGCGCGCGGTTCATTCATGCGAGTTTCTTATGTCCCCATTCACATGATCCTTAAGATTTCAACATCCAGTCTGGGAGGTTCTTTGAAATCTTTTAATGACTCTGGATTCCCTTTTTCTTTATCAGTCTTCCACAGAGAAACGTCGCCGTGGTTTGTTTATCTTGGTTTGGCGATTCAGCGTCTTTCTGTGTGTTTACAATTCAATTATTCTCGCTCGTTTGACTTGGATTTTTCCCAAAGATATTTTTGATCTCATCCCCCTTTTTTTGTGTCTTTTCCATTTCTTCCCGTCTTTTTTCCTAGCTAAAACCCATCGTTTTCTTTTTCCAGATACCCTGAAATGGACGACTGACGCATCACACACAATATAGATCCTGAAACTTTATTAAAAATATGGGAACACCAACAATACCATGGGCGACTATTAATAAAGTTCGCACCACCTTGATACTTGTATTTCTATTACTGACACCCTCCTGTCGGGGTGAACAGAAACAAAAAGGTAAAAAAGGAAGGGAATAAAGTGTCCTTGGGCGGAAGGTGATCCCTTCTCCCTCTCTCCCTTTCCAGAAGACATTAATTTACACCGGGGGGAAACGAAGATTGATTGATGAGAATGAGAGAGGAAGCAACACTCTTAAGTGACTCTTTAATTAATGGTTTTTGGTTTTCAGTACCATCATCACCACGGAACTTCAACGCAGAGCTAACCAGTGCAACTTCGGTAAGAGTTTTTTTTCGTTGTCGAAAATCTAACCCAAAAAAAGAAACAAAACCTCAAGAGAGGATCGCTCTTCTCACAATCATTAATGGTGACATGTTCGGCTCTCGCTATCTCGCTACTACAGGGTCCGCCAAAATTACGTGTGCACAACTTTGACGCCATGGCGCTGCGCACTGACGCACTTTTGGTGCGCAATTTTTTAAAATGTTTATTAATTATTTCATTATTTATTAGTTTGCCAAGTTTCATCCCAATCGGTTATGTTTTAGGTAAATGACAGCGGCAAGTCCTCATCGTACTCTGATCGTCGACTTTTACAAGCGAGGTTTAAGCACAGGAGACATTTCTAAACGACTCGGAGTGCACCGAAACACGGTTTTCGCGACCATCCGTCGTTTCAACCAGCTTGGCCACCTCAAGGACCGTACGGGAAGAGGAAGACCGAGGACTGTAAGAACTCCAGCGAAAGTCAAGGCCGTCCGGGAGAAAGTCAGGCGAAATGCTCGTCGTTCCATGAAAAAGATGTCAGATGACATGGATATCTCCTATACATCAATGAGGAGAATTGTCAGAAAAGAGCTGAAGATGACCTCTTATCGAGCAACAAAAGCTGCTATTCTATCCCAAGCCAATAAGGAGAAACGGCTCATCAAAGCGAAGCGCCTTCTCGCTGGCACGCGCAAAAAGGATCGTCTTATCACCATCTTCTCGGACGAGAAACTCTTCAGTGTCGAGGCTGAATTTAATAGCCAAAACCACCGAGTGCTGGCCACAAATATTCAACAAGCAGCTGAGCGTGGTAAAACAATCCATCGAGCCTCTCATCCTGCGAGCATCATGGTTTTCGGAGCGGTTTGCTATGATGGGAAGTGTCCGCTTGTTTTCGTTGATAAAGGCGTGAAAATCAACCAAAAATACTACGTTGAGGAGATTCTGGAGAAGCATGTGCTACCGTGGGCTCAAAACCACTTCGGTCAGAAGAAATACATCTTCCAGCAAGATGGAGCGCCTGCTCATACCGCAAAAATGGCTCAACAGTGGTGCAAGGACCACTTCCCCGCCTTCATACCAAAGGACGAATGGCCGGCTTCGTCGCCTGATCTGAACCCGCTCGACTACTCCGTATGGGGAGTTCTGCAGAATAAGGTCTGCACAAGACCTCATGCAAATATCGAGGCCCTGAAGAAGTCGTTGTCTGAGGAATGGGACAAATTATCCGTCGAATACCTGCGTGCCACCATTGATGCCTTCCCTCGACGACTTCGTGCCGTGGTCGCTGCCAAAGGAGGTAGAATCGAATAATTTTTGTTGAATTATGATTTCAAGCGTTGAAATAAACTATCTGTTAAATTTCGTCTTAATCTCGCATCTACTTCTGGAGATAACGTCATCTACACTTGCACACGTAATTTTGGCGGACCCTGTAGATCTTCGAGTAAAAGTTTCTTCTGTTTGAAAAATGACCCAAAACATGGAGAATCTTGTTTCAGGTCAAACTGACATGGGACGCTCCAGCTGCCGCCAATGGTGCTCTTCTCGGTTATTACGTCTACCTGGATCGAATTATAAATGGAGAACCAGCAGTTGACAAAAACTCGAAAAAGCGGATGGTGATGATCAAAGACTCGACGAAACGATATTGGGAACTGGATAATCTTGATCCAAATACCGAGTACTCATTCAGACTGAACGGTTTTAATCGAAACGGAGATGGAGAGTTCACCGAAAGGAAGAATGTGGTTACTCAGGGAATTCGTAAGTTTGTTTGTTGAAAACAATTATGGTAAACGTTGATATATTTAGCTCCGGAAGCACCTGAAATCACCTCGGTCTCATTAGATCGTGACGAGCCACCAGTTGTTTCGAGAATCGAATGGAAGATGCCAAAAATGAAGCCCAACGAAACACCAATAGAAAAGTACAATTTGTGGTTGCGTCCGCAAGGATATCCGGACTCGTACATCAAGTCAAAGACAGTAGACGGAACCGATTTGTCAACAACTATTTCCGGCCTTTGTGAGTTTTTTGCCTCGTTCCCGCTCTAATTTATAGTACTACTTTTGGTTTTTCACAAAAAAAATATAGGGGGATAGGTTGAAAGCCTGATCTCCTGTTTATTTGAAAAATAAAACATTGTTCTTATCGTCAGAAACATATAATTTTAAAATTTACAATTTTCAGGGATGGGAGTCGTGTACGATGTCTTGTTGGGAGCTGAAAATCGCGAAGGACGATCTCAAAACGCTACGGAAACTATCGCGACGCCCGTTGGAAGTCCCGATGGAGAGCCAATCGGTGTGCAATACGAAGTGATGAAGGGAAAGGTTCGGTTTTACTCTGTTTTCTCATGTTGAAATACACATCTTTTATGATCGTTGTTTCTTCCTCATGATATACATCTTCTTCCTCTTCTAAAACATGTGAAAATTGAGAAGAAGAAGAAGATTTAGAAGAAACTATAGAAATATTATGAATGTTTGAAAAAGTGAGTGAGTGGACTCCTCCTCCAGCCACTTTCTTTGTCAAATTTTATGACCGAGAGTGCAGATGTTCCGAGTGTCTTCACTTTTTGAAAATTACCCAAGTCGCTTATTTCCTGCTGGCGAAATACTATTATAGTGCTCACTGATGAAATGATACATTCTGTTGATAAGGTTTGTAGAGAGATTGAGCTAGATTTCTGTAAAAAAATTCCCAATCTCGGATTCTCCGAGCATCATCATGCTCCTTTAAAATTCTAAATTCGAGAAAAAACCATTCTAATATTATTCATTTGCAGATTGTTGTCTCTTGGAGACCTCCTCCAGAGGAAAAACGAAATGGAAACATCACCAGCTACAAAGCGATTCTTTCTGCGATGGACGAGAGCACAGATCGATTTGAGAAAATGGTGAGTATCTCGTGAGACACCCACTTTTGACTCATTCTGATTTCCTTCTATTCTCTTCTACTTATTTTCTCTCTTTTTCCTTTCGAGAATTCATCTAGGATTATTCCCACGGTTTCTCGGTTTCTTCTCGCCTCCCGGAAATTTATCTGTAGTAGTAGAGCCCACACATAGGTTTTCTTAAATTGCCTTCATTCCTTCCCTCTTTACACACCCATATCCATTCTGCAAGATCCTTAAAGGAACCAAATGAGGTAATTAAAAGATGTGCTCGAAAAGATTTCAACAAAAGAGTCGCCGGCGGCTCCTCTCTCCATTTTGCGTATATTTCTCTGTTTCTCTCATTTCATCGGAATCCATCCGTTATTCTTATTTCAATCTCTCATCAGAAAATGCGCTAAGGACACACATCCAAGAAGAAATACTAATAATTCTTCTTCTTTTTTCGTTTTTTATTCCTATTTCCACTTCCATTCGTCATCATCCCGATTCACGTTGGCATCGTTTTGAACCGGAAATATCTTGAGCACTCTTTTCTTTTTCCGATGACTTCAGAATTGTTTGGAGCTTCAATATACACCTATACATCTCTTCTCCTTCTCTGCTTCACGACTACAATTCGCTCCATTTTTTGTTCTAGAAAAAGCTCAATCGTCATTTTTTCGGCTATTTCTTTTCCAACCACTGATTTGGTAGTAGAGAGAGAATAAAAATCTGCGGTTCAATGAGCAGGGCATATATATTGCTCACTCCTTCAAAATGAAAAGAAGATCCTCGAAAAAAGAGAAGAAAACAATATGAAAAAAGCAACTGGGGTGCTCACAGCACTGAAGTCGTTTGGTGCGTGTCATCCTGATGCCGTTTTTTTTTCTTCTTTTCAAAATTCGACTAACTAGTAGAGCCAGCCTAAGCCACGTTCCTTCCCTCCAGAATAAGAATATGCTCTTCTTCTTCTCCTAAACTTTTCTTTTCCTTTTTCTTGTGTCTTCTAATTGTTGTTCGTCACCGTCGTGTGGAAGAAAGAGAGGAGCCGGCTGGCTGGCTGGCAACCAGCTCTTCTCTTTCCTTTTTCCTCCCGTTTCACGTGTCATTTTTTAACGGGCAACCTGCTTATTATCTGCCTAAAACTCTAGGAGTACCAGTTGTACTAGTAGTAGTACTCACACTTTCTTTCTTACTTTTAACTTTTCTTCAATTCATTTCTTGTCATATGTTCAGAGAAGATCTCATTAAAAGATCCCTCCATTCCATTATCTTCCATCTAACTATTTTCCTTCACTTCAGGTACCTGCTTCATCCACTTCATCCACATTCGAGGTCAACGTGCGCAGAGCCTACCTGTTCAAAGTCGCTGCGGCCACGATGAAAGGCATCGGTCCCTACTCACCTGTGCTGACCATCAATCCAGATCCTGCAGGTTAGTTGTTTTTCTTTTTTCAGATTTTTTTTCGATAATGTGTTTTGTCTCATTTTTGTCCGCCGCATGCAGCATGTTACCGAAAAATAATACCTGTAATTGTTTTTGTGATCCATATTAACGATAGAGAAAACCAAGTAGATTTCCTCAGCGGAGCAGAGCCACCGAAAAAAATTTATTAGTTTTTCTCGCATGCCGACTGATATGGCACCCAGAGGAGGCAATTGACTCTCCCCGAGCACCTGCTGTTGATGCTGCAGAATTCGTGTATCTAAACACGCCTTCTTCTTCATGTTCCAGGCTTTCTTTCCTTCAGTGAGCAGTTAAAGCCAACACTTTCAATCCATTTCCATAGACATTCCGGAAATTGGAAAATATGTTTCCAATCAAAATCTGTTTCCGTTACTGCTCTTGTTGTCCACACACACACACACACAATCAATCAACACAACCATAGTAATATGATAGTAGGCGCTGGAATCGGAAATTGGAAATATCCAGTGTATGTTGTGCTCTGCGGTTGCGTCGTCCAACGATGCGCAGTACCTCCGGAGCAGCGCAATAATAATAATGAGTCCTTCATTCTCTTATGACTCTGTAAAGTCGTCGTTTCCACCTTCTCCCACATCTCACTATTATATAATGTCCAACTCCACTACCACCGCCAATTTTTGCTACGACTCCTTTTCCTTTCCTTTTTCCATTCGCATAGTTTTTTGTTTCAAAAAACTTTTTTTATTGCTTGGGGTGGTCTTCGGACGCAGAGTACGCCGCTTCTTTTTGAGTTCCACTCTCTCTAGAAGGAGCAAGTCAACTTGGCGTGGAAATTGTGCATCGATGTACTTATTCATCTCGTCCATTGGCCACAGCATCTCCTGCTTCTCACCCATTTTTTTCTGTTTCCTTTTCATTTGTGGACCAGAAACTAGGTTTTCCGTCCTAGACGCTTGGGAGCATACTGTAATACTTTTTGAAAATTTGTAAAGTTGTTTTCGAGAAATAGGTAGAAATCATTTGTGCCTGGCCCTCAATCGTTCTTTCGTTTGTTTCGAAAACAAAAACGAAGCTAGAGCAATCATTTTTTTTTCGTCCCAACGATTCCAGACTTCCCATTCTTGACATTCCATTCACACCCAATTCTTTTTTCAAAAAGCTGTATTTGCTTCTTTTTCTCCTACTTACTAAAAGACAAGATGATTTCAAATAAGCTGATATTGCATCTAAAAACTGATGCAGTTTGACAGGTCGTCTACGTCACGACGGTTCAAATGAGTTTCCTCTTCTCTTTAGAATCTAAAAGTCTGGCTCTTACTCTAAATGTCCTTCTTCACAAGAAGCCACGTGCTCTCAAAGACGTTCTAATCTAATTAACCCAGGAGAAACAGAGTATCAAGAGAGCGAAAGAGCACCGTAGTTTCTTTGCGCTTGAATAGGTAAACTAGGCGGCTGTGACTCTCTTGTCGCTCCTCTACAAGCCTTTTTTGTCGTCGTCAACCCGCTGGCCAGGCGTTGCCCCCGACCGATTCGATAATAATTCTATTTTTATTTGCCAAAAAAAACTTCTCGTCTTCTTGTGGCGCCTCCTTCTAACCTCCAGAGCCACCTTTTTATTATGTCGGCGCTCTCTTTTTACCCATTCTTCGTTTTACACGTGTTTTGTCAGAAGCGCCAGACACCATTGGACCACCCTTGTTTGCTTTTAATATGACTATGTAGAGTGTGAAGTCGTTGGCGAACCTGCCCATACTCCTAAAAACAGTTCTTCTTTCTTTAAAATTTTTAAAGCGCTTTTCTAGAATCTGGAAAATTATATTAAAATCTCGCATTCCTAGAACTCGAAGCACCTGTGCGTATCCATTTTTCTAGATCACGAATTGCTTATTCCTTCTGCTCCCCGCCTACGTTTTGAGTCAAAACTTTTGACCAGTGAGTTTGGTTCTGGTTTTGGATTTCGAGAATCAATAAAAACGGCCGCGCATCTTGTTTCCATTAGTTTTGGTTAACAAACCAATATCAAATCTTCTGTCTCAATTTTTTTATTCTTGAATACATACATTTGTATATATTCGGAACTCGGCTATTCGAGAGCGTATAAAACTGAATATGCACCTATTATGGACAGGTGAACCACCACTACGGCCCACTGCTTTCTTTTATTGACCTTTTTGGGATTGACTATGACGGGTCCCGTTTTTTTGTGGAAACTCTCTATTTTCTTTTTTGACACTGACGTTCTTCTCCATAGCACTTTAGTGAATATAGCTCCTTCTCAGGAACTCGGTTGTTTAGAAATGTATATATGGTCAGAGAATTCTTTCTTTCTCTGCATGATGTGCTATGCATTTATGATTAGCTTCTGCTGTGCGATGAGCACAGACTGTTCTCTCTGGTGGCTCTTTCTCATGTAAGTCTATCAGGAAGTTATATTAGTTTTTTTTTGCCATCTTACCATTCATGGTCTATTAATATAGTCAATAATAAAATTTATACTAGAATTTATTCTTGACAATAGCAATGTATTTGCTTAAATTTTCGTAAAAAGCCGAGAGAATTGAGATTATCATGTGGATAGAGAAACTCCGGATTAGACGCTGTTTGCATGACCACCCTCGGATTAGAATCACCCCACCGACCAGACTCCGATGGAATAAAGTAGAATCGATTCCATTTTTCTCATGAGATTTTGCTCATGTTCCTACATTTAGCTTGAAAAAGTTGTTGCGATTTGTCATGTTTCAATTGGTCCCTCCAATTCGTACCTATTGTTGAAAGAGTGGGTGGGGAGGCACCCCGTTTTTTGATCCTTTTTTAGTTAGGTCAGAAAACGAATGTTATGTGGTCATTACGTCAGTTCAAATTTATTCAACCAAGCACAGCCGTTTTCTGAAATTATTTTAACTAATTCGTTCAGCTCTATTGTTCAATTCTTTGGAATTGAATAGAGTCAAATTTCAGTGCTTTTCCTTTTCTTTTAGGACTTCTCTTTTACACCAATTCCACCTCTTTCTATTCTTTTACGTCTTCCTTTTTTCTCGTTCTCATTCTCATTTACAAATACAGTACAGGACTATGAAAGATGACGACGACTCTCTCGTCCACGAAGCATCTGCCGAGTCATTATCCTCACAGGAAACTGAGGAAACAACAACGGCAGAGCCGACAGCAGATCCGTTTGGAGAAGACATATCATCCATTTCGTGCAAATATGGCATGGCATATACTCTGGAAGCCCTTTTAAACAGCGTAGCACCCGGATGGAAGTATCACGTATCGAACACAGGATCTGTAAAGCAAACCTGGTTTAAAATGGACAATGCCACAAGTCGTATATGTGGTCATATCGGAGGTTTGGATTAGAAGAATCATCATGCACCTAGATATTTGTGTCTGTGTATAGTCTTGACTCTACATCACGGGATTAGAAAGAAGGATATGTTTCCTGATGAATACTATATTAGTCCCTGGAAAGACACAAGTTAATTCATCCACCTTCGTCTTATTCTTACTTTTTTCAAAACTGGCAGTTTTTACTTCTCTATTGGCTGTTTACCCACCACCATCCCGGTCACCTATAATCAGCGATTCATCTCTAGATATTCAAAAACTCCTTGTTTTCTCAAAACTACTACGTCTTCTTTCGTAGTTGTTTGTAAGAAGAGTACTGGTCATCCTTCCTGCCCAACCCACTGAACCATGACGGTTTTTTCTTCAACTCCCCAGTAGCCTTATCCTCTTCTTCTCTGACTCCTACGACGCCTTCTTACACGTCGCTGTACCATTAATCATGTCTTATCGTTCGTCGACGATGTCTTTTTGGAACCAATTTTGCTAAAAGGTCGTCAAATTCCGTTTTCTTCTCGTCTCACCGCCTTATTCCCAACCCGAAAGCTCGTCATTTTTTTCTTCTACGAATAGGAGAAGAATAACGAGCAAAGTGTGGTGTTGTCAGTTTGGTGGGAGAAGAAAGCCCCGCCACAGTCGTCTTTTACTCTTCCAACTTAATCTTTCCTATTCTTGCTAATTACCGACGCCATTTTTTGCGGCTTCTCTATTGCCTTTCTATTCTTCTGTGCTGTGTTTTTTCGCCTAATCCAAGATGAAGGCGGAGAACATCGAAGGTGGATCGCTGGTGCTCCAGAGGCATCAACACCTTTTGCACGTCCGTTCCCGTCGTTCCAATCGCCGTCGTGAAAAAATGAGCAAAATGGTAAAAGCTAAGCAGAAAAAGCAAATGCAAATTTCTAAAATGGTTCAACATAAAAAACTAGAGTCCGAAGGTGAGTGGAAGAAGGATTTCATTCATTAGGGAAATGAGGAGAAGCGGACTAGGATTATCAAATACATAGGACTAGGATTTTACTATTGTTTAACTGAAATTCGTTTTGGGACAAAACAATGTCGTTGTTCTTGGGTTTCTCACATTTCCTCTCGGACCCACATCATCATCATCAGAAACATATGCGGAGCAATGGAGTCTTTTGTCGGGAGAGAGGCACCCCATAACTGCCTTCCGAATGGCGTGTGCTTGTCACTTTGACAACTTCTCGCGACCCGCCCCTGTCAGTAGTTCTTAAACAGAAGCGACAAAGATGCTCCTATTTTTCTCTTGTTCTAGCCAGAAAAAAACTACTAGCTAGATAGATAGCATCGAAACGGAAGTTGTTGTTGCTTTTCTGACACAGAGTTTCGTTTTTTCTTCGCGCCTTCGCCTAATCTAATTTTCATTTCCTGCCGCTGGTGGATTTGACGAAGAAACGAAACTCTGTCGAAGAAAGCGACACCTCCTCACTTTCATCTTCTTCTCCTTCTCCTCAGTTTTCAGAACTCCTTTTATTTTTAGTTTTCCGCATTCATGCTTCCAGATCTTATTCTGGAGAATATCGACGACGAGATGGGCTCGTCTCCGTCTCAAAAACGAAAATCTAAAATTTCTACTGCCGACGTCTACAGTGCTATTCTCCACCATGCACCCGGCCCTCTAACTCATCCTATTTCGTCAGCTCTGGCGAAAGCCAAACCTACCATAGGTGCTCCAATGCCTGCACCGTACACCACTTCATCAACCCCATCCACACTGTTTTTTCAAGTCACACTGCCTTTCATGACAACCGCGTGGAATCGAGTAACTAGGCTAGAAAGTTGGTTCAGACTGCTCAGCAGTTATTGCTGTATCCCAAAAATTTTTTGTTTCTAGATTCTTTCTAAATACTCTCTATTTTGTCCCACCTTATGTATCCATGTGTGCATCTGCATCGTCTTTTTCATTGCATGCTAAAAAAGTATGTATGTTTTATGTTGTCTTGGTCGCTGTCAGCAGCAGCCGTGCGTCATTCGAATCGCACTGCAAATTCTCGAATTTCCTCGTCAATCGGGCATCCGAATTCAGGATCCTCATGCGAAAAACATTACTACGAATACGTGAAGTGTGCACTACTTGATAAGTATGAATGAGGAGAAGAGATGCGAAATAATGGTTCAACTAATTGAGTGTTGTTTCTTTTCCTCAATAGAAGGCGTGTCTTGTTTTCAAGAAATATGAGATTAGGGTCCCTGGGACTGCCTTCCTTTGGAGAACCTTCTTCTTGCTGTCGTTTTTCCTACTTCTATTAGTGCTAAACTTGTATAACGTCTTCTCCGAAATCCGGAGGTCCCCACCCTTCAAATTCAACCTCTCTTCTCTACTTGATTGCACTTGGGTTCCGCTTTCATTCATATAAAAGAGCCGCGCGGTAGGCAGCAGAAAACCAAGAAGAAGAAGAGTAACAACAACACAACATAGGAAAATTACTGCAGTCTCTGGCAGCCTTCTTCTACTTCCAACCAGGTAGACAAGACGAGACACGACGAAAATCCGGAGCCAAAAGGGGCGTGCGCAATTGAATGCAACTGGAGCCCTGTTGGGGTCTGAGAGCAACTATTTCTCTTCTCGTTTCCAGCGCCAGCCGCCCCATATAGAAAGCAGAAGCAAATTTATGCGGAGCACGCGAAGAGGAGAACCTTGCGGATTTGATACGCTGTTCCGGTAACCAAGCTCCATTATATGGAAAATTGGGCAGCATTCTTCTTCTTCTTCTACTTCTCGTCGACTCAAAATACACTGTGTCCATGACTCGCCCCTTATTTTCGTGTTATTTATATTCGAACATTCGAGACACGAAGAATCGACGACAAGCCGACGGTGGTGCATCAACCGCTGCAGCGACAACTTGTCTCTCTATCCCTCCCTTTCCGCCCAGTTGTGCTTATAATCATGAATAATTCGGGCATTTTTCACAACCTCGGCGGCGTCCTCTTTTCCGTTTTACTCCTGCTTGTCATCATTCAGCTACATATTTTGGCTGTTGCATCTTCTGAATACAGGAATAACGAGCTGGATTCTACTTCGAACTTTTCTTGGGCCGCCGTTCCCGTGCGTCCTCGACGCGGAACTGAACGAGTTCGTTCACGGCAACCCTTCGGTCGGGGATTCTTCGGATCCGAGACTGTGAAGGGTGATCAACAAGAGAGGAGAGAATCAAGACCGATGCTCCGCAGCTCACCCACGTCATCAGAGCCGTCTAAAAGGAAAAACGAGAACATATTCGCTGCTGTAATTAATACGCTTTTACATAAAGAAGAAGGTGTGATATTTGTTGTGATTGAAGCATGTTTTGCTGGTTTTTGTACATTGTGCATGTTCTCTGAATATCCAATATCCAATTGAAAATATTCCCTTTAAAAATTATTGAATTTCAGCTCTCGTTGGACCTCCAACCAATGTTCGTGTGGAAGCTACAAGTAATTCTACAGCAGTGGTACAATGGGATTTCGAATCTCAGAAGGTTAGTGAGTTCTTTCGTCAGCGGCGTTTTCCTTCCTCAGCCATCCCATGGGTCCTTTTTTCTTGACAAGCCCTTGTTCACAAATGTCTTCTTTGGGTATTTGTTTTTGAGGGTGGCAAAACCCTGCAAGACTAGTAGAATACAAAAACCAAAAAATCCGGAATTTTCTGAAATTATGATTTCCAGGCTGACTCATTCGTCGTCAAGTACATGCACGAGCCTGGGAATCGAATGGACACAGAAAAGTGGAAGCAGTTGCCAGTGTTGAGCATCGACAAGGAAAATCCAAAACGATTTGCGATTGTATCGGATTTGAATGCGCATAAGCCATATGCATTCTGTGTTCTGGCCGTCAAAAACAATGTAAGTGCATTCTAGATGAGAGAAGAATACAAGAGCGGAAGTTCAATGTTCACACGCTCAATGAGCAATTTCTCAATGGATACATGACAAATTCCCTTTTTCTTTTCAGCGCCAAGGACCATGCTCCGACCCACCAACTGTGCTAGAAAGCGTTACGCCCACGTATATGGTTCAAAACTTGAGAGTTCGATGGAAGACAAGTGGTTCGGTGCAGCTGACGTGGGATTACAACGGACCAAGGAATGTGGGATTCTATGTGAATCACACTGGAAAGAAGGACTACATGAACCACGAACTTCTAGAGAAAACCATGTCTACACCTGGCTTTGGACATGATCTGGACGAAAAGACCCGAGAATATTTGTGGACCAATTTAAGACCGCACATGATGTATACAATCCACGTTGGTGTGCGGACTCTTCCACCAGGTGCTCGCAAGTATTGGCCTCAGGAAGTGGTGACAGTGACCGATCCAACAGGACCACCATTTGTAGATGTACCTCAATTGATTGAGTCGTCTGGAACTCAACCAGGTCAACATATGATTCGATTGACGCCGGCTACTGAGGAATACGGACCGATCTCCCACTACTGGATCATCGTGGTTCCAGCCAACTATAGTACGGAAGACGTTGTGAATCTGGATTCGATTGATCTGGAAAAGTCTACAGCTGAGAAGCGTGCTCAACTAGCCCGATCGTTGAGTGTATCTCCTTCGAAGAAGCTGAAAAGAAGAGCCGAGTTCAGTGAAGACAGATCACACCCAAAAGAGAAAAGAGCGCGCCGAGCAACGGTTCCAGGAGCATATGTGACAGCAAGATTGAGTGCTGACCGTGTGAGACAATTCTATCGGAACAACCAGCCATTTGTCGTTGGAGACTCTAAGGTAATGATTGAAAAAAAGGATACATTGTCCCCAAAGCGTCTAGTTTATAAGTTTGAAACGACGATAACAACAAATAAGAATGTTTTCCTTTGCTTCCTGTTAGCTCTTTTTCCTCTTCTCAATCCAATGACTATCCATTCGCGCCATGAATAAATAATCGGAAGGCGCATTGCGCTTGCGACGTGATGCTTGAGAAGGCAAGTCGCTTTTCGTTGTCGTTTCCCTTTTTATTTCTAGTTGTACTTGCTCGTTTTTAGGTCCTCCGAGATTTAGATTTAGCGCGAAACGCCATAATATCGAGGCACTTACGGACCTTTTCATGAGCAACCCCACCCACCCACTTCAAAAACTTTTTATGAGCCATTTCCTTTTTCATCCATCGCGTGGTCAGTCAACCAGAAAAGGCAGTAGTTCTTCTTCTTCTTCTCCTATTTTTTCTCAGCAATTCCTTAGTTCTTCCCGATCAAATACAAAATAATTCCCACGAGCGCAAACAAACATTGATCAGTATTGTTATATTGCAGTTGTATGATGGGTTCACCAACTATCCACTCGAGCACAACAGTCACTATCGTCTCATGATGCGAGCGTTTGCGAAAAACGACGTGCGAGCCAAGGACAGTGTAAGTCAACTCTATCTTCCTTTTCATATCCTTTACATCCGTTATTCAGTTCGAGCAAAGAGCACCAATGAGCGAGAAACTGTCTCGCATGTATTCGGATTCTCTTCTCACTGAACCATTCACTATCAAGTCAGCTCTTCGTGGAGCATCCCAAAAGTCTTCACCATGGGTTGGGGCTTGTATCGCTCTATTCATTCTCCTTTCCATCGTTGGAATGCTGGTGTGTTGGTGGCTCCGATGTAACAAGAAATCAGCTGGAAGACATCCAAGACATGGATCCATCACAAAGGTCGCACTCACTGGAAACATCATGAATGGAGGCGGAATGCCCGGAGAGACCAGCAAACTCCTATCCACATCTAATGAATACGGACGACAGATTATGAATCCTTACGAACAAATGAACGGAAATCATCATATGGAATCATCGCTAGATCTCTATCCACTGCCAAGAAGTCACTCCCGAACCAACGGATACGCACCTGTTCCAGTCCCCCTTCCATCTTTGCCTAATAATGGAAACAACATGACAACGGTAGCGCATCCAGCAGTTCCGATTGCTGAGCTGGCCAATCATATCGAGAGACTCAGGATGAATAACAATATTGGTTTTCAAACAGAATTTGAATCTATTGAGACTGGACAACATTTCACTTGGGAACACTCTTCCGCCGAGATGAACAAGCACAAGAATCGGTATGCTAATGTGGCAGCGTACGATCATACTCGAGTTGTGCTTTCGAATGTTGAAGGATATCCAGGAATGGATTACATAAATGCAAACTACGTGGATGGATACGACAAACCAAGAAGCTACATTGCCACTCAGGGACCACTTCAAGAGACGTTCGCTGACTTCTGGAGAATGGTATGGGAAGAACAGTCTGTGACAATTGTGATGCTTACAAATCTGGAAGAACGAAGCAGAGTGAAATGTGATCAATATTGGCCAAGCCGTGGAACTTCATCTTATGGAGATATCGAAGTAACTCTTCTAGAAAGCGTTCATTTGGCCCATTACACAATGAGAACTATGCGGTTGAAGATGATCGGAGAGCCAGAAGTTAGGGAGATCAAACACCTTCAGTACACTGCCTGGCCAGATCACGGAGTTCCAGACCATCCTACTCCATTCTTGATTTTCTTGAAGCGAGTGAAAACGTTGAATCCACACGATGCTGGACCGATTATCTCTCACTGTAGTGCCGGAATTGGAAGAACTGGAGCTTTCATTGTGATTGATTGTATGTTGGAACGGTTACGGTACGAAAATACTGTCGACATCTATGGTTGTGTGACTTCATTACGATCACAAAGAAGTTATATGGTTCAAACCGAAGAGCAGTACATCTTCATCCATGACGCCGTACTTGATGCAGTGAATAGTGGATCAACAGAAGTACCAGCTAGTCGATTACATCAACATGTGCAGGCTCTGATGCAACCATCAGCTGATCAAATGTCCGGAATCGATATGGAATTCAGACATTTGACCACTTTGAAATGGACAAGTAATCGGTGTACTGTTGCGAATCTGCCAGCCAATCGTGGAAAGAATAGAATGTTGAGTGCAGTGCCTTACGATTCCAATCGAGTAATCATGCACATGATCAGTGGGATCGACGGATCGGATTACATCAACGCCTCTTGGATTGACGGATACAAAGAGCGAGGAGCCTACATTGCCACACAGGCACCGACCAATGAAACCGCAAGGGACTTTTGGCGACTGATTTGGGAGCACAATTGTCCAATTATCGCCATGCTAGTTCAAACGAGAGAACGAGGTCAAGACCTGTGTAGTGACTACTGGCCACTAGAAACCGGAGTTCAAGTTGGCAATTTGGTGGTTGAGCCAATGGCCGAGTACGATATGAAGTACTATCATCTTCGAGAATTCAGGCTTTGTGATATTCATGTAAGTCGAAAACGTTTAATATTCAAACTTCATCAAGATTTTTTCAGACCAACGAAACGAGGACAGTTAGACAATTCCAGTTTATGGAGTGGCCAGAAGTTGGTAAACCACATAAGGCTGATCACTTCCTCGATTTTGTCACACAAGTGCACAACACGTATGCTCAATTCGGATGTACAGGTCCAATTACTGTTCACTGTTGCTCTGGAGCAGGACGTACTGCCGTATTCATTGCCCTTTCGATCATTCTGGATAGGATGCGAGCGGAGCATGTTGTCGATGTATTCACAACGGTAAGACACAATTCTCCTGTTATTTTTTTTTATATTCAATCGTTTTCAGGTCAAACTGTTGCGAACAGAACGACAAAATATGATTCAAGAACCTGACCAATACCACTTCCTGTATCAGGCGGCATACGAATATCTGGCTGCATATGATAACTTCTCTTAGCGCTCTTCTCTTATCCACGTTTCCCATGCTTCTCCCTCCCAGTTCGCTTCTAGACTCATCCCGGTAGATTGATCAAGATTCTCTTATAATTTCTCACTACTCATTCTTTCGTTTTGAAGACATACCAAGTAAAACACTGGCACGCACTTTTCACTCTGAATTAACGGGTTACCAATCTGTTTTTGTGCCCTTAACCCCTCTCCACCATCTAAATTCATTATTTCTCTTCTCCAAGATACGACGGGTTATCTTTCCTATTTGAACCAATCTTCCTTGAACTTTCAAATGTTTCCTCTTCCCCCAATCCACAAAGCAATTTGCTGCCCATGTCTCATTTCGGATTGTTTGTAAATATTCGTTCACTTTTTTTGTCATCATAATCTCCTATTCCGTCAATCACGTATTCATCCCACCCCCTTTCTAATAATTGTATTCGTTGTATGTGATTTTTCAAATGTTGACCCTCGCAGATTGCTTTAATGAACTAAATTTATAATATTCATTTTTCAAAAAATGCATTCCTAACAGAATCCAAAAATAACACAGAAAATATATAATGAGATAATAGTGAAAAGATTGACAGTAAAATTAGCAGAATTCACTTTTCTAGAAGTTCTGGAACCCATCGAGTAAATGGTTTTCAGTTCTGATTCAGTAGCAGTGTTACACTTGTTTTCTTGGCAGCAACAGAAGGAAAACTGAAAGAATATTGTCTGTGTGTTCGTCTGTGTATCCAGAAAAAAGATGCTTACGTTTCCCTTCATTCCATCATAAAAAGAGATATCCTGACATTTTCCATCGTTCTTCTGACAGACTTGACGATCTCCTCCAGTGTAGGCACACCGAGATGATATTCCTTGTTGGAAGATTCCATCTGCAAGAGAAAGGGAGCTACAGTAATCCTTCAAATAAGAACTCACCATCATCAATAGCCGAATGAATAATCACTTTGATGCAATACATGGCAGAACACATCGCTGTATCATTCAGAGTCAACGGCTGGTCTTCAACGGAAGCCTGCGATTTTGTTATACGGAAAAAAGTTTGGATAGGAATCACAATTTTCAGAAATGACATCTTCTGATATGAAATCGAATGTTTTTTAAAACTTTGATTTTCAAAATGATACTTGCGATTCAGAATTTCTCGGGCGTCGCCGGTAACTTCTATTCGGAGGTTATTCAGATTTTTGATAAGAGCGGTACTAAAGCCGACCGAACTTCAAAAAACTAATGAAAATGTTCCGACCTGATAGTATGTTTCAACTTTCCACTTCCGACAAAAATCTGTCCGTGACCCGCCATACAGCCGTTTTCGGACAACTTCTGACCGTAACCTGCCCAATATCCTTTCAACAGCCGAACCGCCCCTCAACTTCTGACCATATATCACAAGCCAACCTCCGAGTTTAAAACATATCAATTACATATCAAGCTTGGAAATTTGAAAAATCACTATCAGATGAAGTTTGACTGGGATAATTGGAATGCAATTGGAAATAATGGACAAAACACTCAAAATGTTTGCTTTTATTTTTGAAGACAAGCTAGAACTCGGAAAATTTCAGGTTTTTCGACATTTGGGGTCTAAAGTTTAGATAAAAAACCAACATTTTTGTAGATTAATCAAAACCTTATTTTTGTGTTAAAATAAAATTCAAAATCTAAAAATGAATTCCATCTGATTCTAGGTCGATTGGAGTTTTTTCAGCCGAGTTTCAGAATATTGAGTGTCAAAGAGACCAAAACATGAAAAATAAATCTTTGAAATCTGAGAAAATCAAAAACGAGGGGAAAATCCAAATTTCGAAGAATTGTTTCATCTGTAACTCGGCTGAAAAAATACAGTTGACTTGAACTCAACTGTAAAGCTTGGTTTAGTTCGGATACTTTATTTTTTAACAAAAATTTAAAGTTCTGAAAAACAATTTTTACCTTGGGTCTAAAACTGGCTTCTGAAAATAGGGATTGACCAGAACTGTCTTTGGGATAACTCTATGTTTTAATATCATAATCCTGATTGAAAAATGATTTTTAAAATCTTATTTTGATATTTTTATGTTGTAAACGATTCGAATTTCTCTCTCTTTTCAAATTTCGGAACACACCCATAACCCGCAAAATCTCTCCTGCTTTCCTTCTTTCTGCTTTCTTTTCGTGCTTTCCCAGTGGGGCTATTAGAACATGAAAAATAGGATTGCATTTCTCTAGATCTACAATGAGATATGGTTTCATCAAACATGATTAGAAAAATGATAGGATCCAAGACTGACCTGCATCCTTCCAACAAATCCAGCCAAACAATCAACCAGTGCGAGCGTGTCAGATGGAAGAATGAGAAGAAGAGAGATATGGAGTAACATCTGGAATTGAATAGTAAAATGAATGAAACAAAAAGAAAATCAAAATGAAAAAAAGCGGGGGGAAAAAGCATATGTTTGTTATCTTCAAAGTGCTGCTGAAACCCCCTCAATAGACTGCCGATTGGGCCAATAAACGATGGAGAAGAGGTATCAAAAACCATTTTGTGGGAAACAGCTCGAATATTCAGAAATTGAAATGTGACTTTAAGAAAAAGAGTATCATGGGATCATCAGTTGAAACTTCTCGATGAGCATGGACACCTGTTCGTGTGGGATGTAATAAAAGAAAAAGAACAGAGTGCACAATCAATCAAAAGTCAACCTTGCATTTTTTGAGATACCAGAAGAAAAAAATTTCTTCCAATCTAACTCGGGAGTTGGATGATTTCAAAAAGTTTGAATTTTGAAGTTTCTGAATTTACGATTTTCCGAACTTCTGAAAATACGTATTTTAGAATTTCAAAATCTTAGAATTTTCAGATCTTTAAGATTTTCAGCTTTAGAATGTTAGGTATTTAGAATTTCAGAAATTTCCAATCTCTGAATTTTTTAATTCGAATTTCTGAATATCTAAATTTTCAAATTTGCGAACTTCTGAAAATTTAAATTTTAAAGATTCTGAAATGTTTAGTTTTCCGAACTTCTGAGTTCCCGAATTATAGAATTTCCTCTTAAGATTTTCAGATTTTTCGAAATTCTACAATTTTAGAATTTCAGAATGTTCGATTTTTCAATTTTGTGAAATTTTGATTCTCACAATTTCTTCCTTTCTTAAATGGAGAGTTTCAGAATTTGAGACTATTAGAAAAACCCTCAAAAGTTGATATTGTGGAACTTGGGAATTTCTTGTTTTTCAAATTCTTTTAACTTTTAACTTTGAGCCAATTGGTTCTTTTGAAAGGTATCTAAATGTAGTCAACTAACAAAAAAATTTTGATATTATGATAAACATTTTATCGTTGTTGACAAGGCAATCTGTTGATTTACGGTATTTTGGATTTTACGATTTTCAAAACTCAACACAAAATTTTCAATTTTTAACCTCAAATAAGCTTTCAGGAAATACAGAATCTTCCAAATAAACACTTTTGAAGCTCTTTGAAAAATGAATAGAACTGTTCCAGTAGGGACAATATAGACCTGATCCACAAGTTTCCCATTTATCAGAATATCAAAACTGAGAACTTCAAAGCCAGAAGTATTCTCAGTATTTTTCATGGAACAGAAGAGCCTAAATTTCTGTGGGCAAATTTCATTTCGTTGCGTTGTTGCCTCCATTCTCGTCTTTGTCAGTTTTTCGAGAATTCCCCCTTCTTTTTCTGTTTTCTCTCTACATCAGATTTTTGCATAAATTGAAAAAGGAAAAGCAAGTAAAGAGAAAGAAGAGTTGGTCAGTTTTAAAGAAAGTGCCACACACGAAACCAAAATAGTAGAAGAAAGAAGAAAGAAGAAAAGCTGATAAGGGAAGAAAAACGATTTGTGGACAATCGGGAGAATTTATGAAATTTGCTGATAGTATACGAAACAAAAAAAAACAAATAGAAAAAATAGGAGTTGGAGCCAGAGTTTGAAAAATGAAAATGATTATTGTAGGGGAAATATTTGAACAAGAAAAAAAGTTTGGAAGGTTTTGAATTCAAACGTTTTCAGTGGACATCAGAATTTCAGAAAGAAAATAGGCTGAAAATATCTTAAAATGGTAGAAACATATTTGAAATCAGCAGAGATGTCCGGAATAAATTTTTGAGAAACGGAATCCGGAATAAAACAATTTTCTCGGAATCCGGACAGATAAAAATTTCACGGAATCCGGAATGAAAAAAAGCAAGGAATCCGGAATACGGAAACGACATATCTGGAAATCAACCAAAAACGGCTAAAACGGTCCAAAAACGACTAAACTGTCCCTTTTCTCATTTTTTAAACCATTTTCTGTCATTTTTAGATCATTTTTAACCGTTTTTAGTTTATTTAAAACTATTTTTCAAGCGTTTTTCGATCAGCTGAAACTGAAAATATATGAATCGAAATCTTAGTTGCTATGTCTATAAATGGGTTATTGGCATTATAGTTTTTCGGTTATAATTTAATCAATTTGATTTTTTATTGAAACTGAAAAATGTGACAAGAAGAATCACTGTAATTTGCAGTTTTCTCTATCGAACATACCGTAAACACCCTTATAGCGTGCCACCCAAGTCATTCGCTTTGAGCCAATATATCTCGTTTCCTGGAGAAGATATCAAAAAGTGATAAACTGATAAAATGTTTATCATATTAGGTTGGCAGGAAAGTAACTGTCCATTTTTTATTAGTAAATAACACAAACACCAGAATAATCCAGAACAAGCAATATGCACCGTCGTGATCCACAACATGTTGGCAATGTTCAGGTAACTTGTGGGTACCATCCCTCCAAAAGCCAGCTAGTGGCAAGTCAAAGTATCCCTCCATTCCATTTTTTCAGGCATCAATTGTGTTAAAGTCCTTAAGCTCCAGATGACGCCGTATACTTTTGAATAACTAATTATCTGATAGAGCTGAATCAGGTCTTTAACAGGGGTAAAGGAGAACCGTCCAGCCAAAGCGGCTCAGGTACGGCGTGACTTTCCGTGAACATGAGGTTTTTTTCATTTTTTACCTGCAGTCAAGTCAGACCTGAGCAGCTTCAGCGGGACCGTTCTCCCTCACCTACTTATAGTCCCGACTGAGCTCTATCAGATTATTGGATATCCGGAGAGATACAAACTCATCTAGAGAATACGAAAATTTGCACCATTTATGTGAAAAACAGGAAAAAATGAATACTTTGATTCGTGGCTAGCTGGCTTTTGAAGGTATTGTATCCACAAGTTATCAGAACATTGCCAACATGTCGTGGACCACGACGGTGCATACTGCTAATCTTGGATTAATCCTGCTTTTGTATTATTCACAAATAAAACAAGGGACAGTTACTTTCCTGCCAACCTAATAGTTTTAAAAACATTTTGTTTGTTGACTACTTTTCGATATCTGTTACATAAATTGAGATAAATGGGCTCATAGTTGAAGGTTCGAGAGCTAAAGTGCTTACCGTACTTTATAGCCGACTGAACAATGGCTGTAGTCATTTAAAACCTTTTAAACTGAAATGGCCCATAACTCGAAGTTCACACCACGAAAAAAACTCGAGCCAAATGAGGCGAAGCGAGAAAATGATGAATGGAAAGAAAGAGAAGAATTGAAAGTCATAAACGGCTCCTCCTCCTTCTTCTCTCAAAACATGGTTTAATTTTGATTCGCACATCCGATGTGTCCTCCTTCTTCTTCTCTCTCGAAAACTGATTGAATTTCTGACGGCAAGAGGGGGACCCATGAAAGCCAAAGGACCTACGGAATTAAATGGAAATCACACATTATTCAAATGCCTTTTGTGTCATCACCCAATATTGGAGAATTGCAAAAGTAACGGGTGTTGGGAGATAACTGCACTTTGCAATTTTCGGGAGAAGATGGGGTGCGATGAATAGAATTTGGGATTAGATGAGAAAATGAGAAAAATAAAAAGTAGGGATTTCTTCTTCTGTGAGTGAATATATGGAATAGTACAAAAATGAGACATGCTGATTAAATGAAATGGTAATGGTCGAAAGATCTGAACATACTGAATTGAGAATCTTCGAAAGAACACTGGGCTTTTTGAACTTTGTTATAGGAGAATGTTTATCATAATAGCTGAAACAAAAATTCAACTGTTTTGCTATCAGTTTTGTATTTTTGAAGTGTAATGTAAGAAACTTTGTAGAAAACATCAAACAAATTCTCAAATTCTCAAATTCCCAATTTCGGAAAATCAGAAATTCAGAAACTCGAAAATTTCAAGTATGGAAAATCCCGACATTTCAAAATTCGTAAATTTAGAAATTCAGAAATTCGGAACTTTTAAGATCTCAGAAATAGAAAAACTTTTACTTTTCGGAATTCGGAATTCCGAAAATGCAAGTTTTTAAGATTCTAAGTTTCAGGAATTAAGAAATTCTAAAATTCTTAAACTCGAAAAAAATTCGAAATTCCAAAAGTTTAGAAAGTCAGTAATTTAGAATTCAAAAATTAGGAAGTACAGGAAGCCCGGACTTCAGAAACTCCGAATTACAAAAATACAGAAACTCAGAAATATAAAAAACCAGAAATTTTCAAGTTCTCAAACCCTCCATTTAGGAAATTGAGAAATTAGAAAGATCGAAAATTGCAACATTTGAAAATCCAAAAATCTGAATTCATAAATATCCAAAATTCAAAAATTGTGCTAATCGAAACGTTCTAAGATTATGAAAATCTGCGAATTGGGAGTTCAGAAATTTGAAAAATCTAAAATTCATAAATTCCAAATATACAAAAATCTAAAATGTGGAAAAAAAGTTCAGAGAATTGAATATCAGCACTGAAATATTTTCCTAAAAATCAAAAAAATTTCGAAAAAAGACACTTATTCTCTCTAAATAAGAAGATAATCGTTTTCTATTAGTCATTCTCTGTGTATTCAAATATTCAGGGTGGTTCTCACTGATTGACTTTAGTTACTAAAAAAGAACACTAGAAGGGATTCAAGAAGAAGTTTTTTGATGGGAAAGTGGTCATCTTTAATCTCTGCATGGAGACATTTTGACGGAAGAAAAGTGACCAGTTCGCAGTGAAAATGTTGTAGCTCCAGTCCTCCTTTTCCATAAACATCATCTATCAAACCGAAGAAAAAAGTGGAAAAGCTCAAGGGAAACACTGAAAAAGGCCAGAAAGTGGAGGGCACCTGCGCCCCATTTCTGGCCATATCAAGTTACCAGATGAAAGGGGGGAAATCCAAGCAAACTCTGGATTTGGTTTTTGATGGGGGGAAAGAAATGTCTTCTTTCTGGTAAAAAGAGATTCATTGGAAAATAAAACTGGGGGTGAGAAAAAAGTAAGAAAAAAAGTGAGATGGTTTCATATGAGATACATTGGGAAGGTTGGGATAGAATAAGAACTTCAATTGAGAGAAGCAAAAGAAGAAGAAGAAGAAGAAGCGATGGGCGCCGAGTCAACAAACAAAACAATCGAAGGTAAATACATTCAAGGTAGTGTTCTTGAGCTACTCGTCCCTCTTTTCATCCAACGGCATGTTCTTTGACTCGAGAAATTCGGTAACCAATTTCAATTCAACTATTCCGGACAGCTGATCGTTTCCATCATCTCCACGGGTCCACCTGGAATCAAAATTGTACATCTGGTCAGCAGATGATCGAGTGGCTCATGTCATCCCAGATAGCTGTGGATTCCATAATTGAATTACAATTTCAACTCACTTCAGAACACGATGATCTTTGAATTCGACTAGTTGAGTGCGGAGAGCAGAATCTGTAGACGCGATAAAGTCGTCTCTGAAAGGAACAAAAATGTAATGATTGATTTCTAATAAGAACAATGCTTACTTGGCAGCATTGAACAAATCCCAAAATTTGACAGGCTTCTTGGCGTCGAAGTACATTTGAAAGAAGAGACGAAACAGCTTCTGAGAATTCGAAGCAAGAGATTTCCAAAAAGCATCAAGAGAAGACATTGTGTGAACTGATTGGTTGGAACGAGAATCGAGACCAAGAAGACGAGAATCTCCAGTCATCAATTCTTGCAATGGAATTTCAAATGTATTCACAGTTATATGAACGAAAAAGAGAGATGCTACTTGACGCTGGAAACAAGAAACGAGAAAGTTTTTGAACAGTCAATTACAGCTTCGCCTTACAGAATTCCAAATGAAAGTTGAATTAATGTGGTCTACAGTTGCGATTAGTTTGACAGATTCTCGATTTTCCAGAAGTTCACATAGTGCTTCTTGGTCATTTCTGAAATCCTTTGTGACACTGATACTGATATATTAGAATTTATACCTCCAATCTGGAGCTTCGATGTTGTCAATCAAGAGAATCAGTTGTTGACCATGCATCTTCCTTTTGATGGCTCTTGCCCAGCTTATCGTGGTTTGACTTCTTTTTACGGGACAATTGAGGTTCATATTCTCATTTATTGCATTCAGAAGAGCTTTCATGTTGAGACCGTCCTTCCGAGCATCTACTCTCAAATACGTATATTGAGATAGCTCTTTTTCGAAATCTGTGAGAATTTGGCGTTTGGAGCCGATACCATGAAGTAGAATATTGAATCCAGAGGCTAGGTATATCATCCATTTTGGAAACTCTTTCTCTTCCAGATTCTCTAGCTGTTTCTCAAATTTAGATGAATCCTTATCAGAGATATAGTCACGAAGACTGGGTAGATCGCATTTTGTGAACTCGGTTATCATTTTGCTGACTGTATCATCGTCTTCCTCGTCTTCTTCTGGATTACCCGCACGTCTTCCTCTTCGTGCTTTGGCAGTATTCATTCGCTCGTTAGCTGATTTTCCTTGCATGAAATAGTTTTCGATTGCAGATTGCGCCATCGTAACGGACTCATCTCTAAAATTCACCCTAATTAACTGTGAATAAGCAATAAAAACAAACTCAAAAGCCATATGTTCCATCTCATCTTCCAGCTTTTCTGTCAAGTTTCGAGCCGCAGAATTTTCTTTTTCATTGATTTTTCGTTTTCCCGTCTTCTCAGGGGTCGACTTTTTCACAGGAATCTCTGATTTGATTGCAGGATTAGCAGCTACCGATCGCTTGAGAATTTTCGGTCTAGGCATGGTCTGGAATGGAAAAAAAAGGAAATCAAGCGTGCAGGGGATAGAAAAGGTATAGAAGTCAGTAGCAGGCACACAAACCAAAAAAACACAAGACACCAACAATGCTTCAATGAATCGAAAAACATTTTCAGAAATTTATTTGACTTGATAAGTGGAGGCTTTTAAATTTAGGTTGTTAGAAATGAATCCGTCGAACAGCGTCTAGGATCGATCACATTATGTAATAGAATAATTTATGGGAAAAAAACAAAACATTGTTGAATTGAAAGATAGAGACATTTACTTGAGGAGCGACCATTTGAATTGTTGTTGGCTGATTCGATGAAAGAGAACCCGAGTTGAGAGACAGATTGATCCGAGAAAGAAACTTCGTCGCTCTTGAGTGCACTTCTTTGAACAACAGCCTGAGCATCAGTTTCCATGATAATTCCTTCATCACAGATCTCATCGATGATGAGCATAACGGTGTCCATGGCATCGACCAAAGCCTTCTTCTCGACATTCTTCCGAAGAACCACCGAAACAGCATCGTAGAGGCAGGTGAGCGTTGCGTCAAGGAACAACTCATTCTCACGAGTTGATCCGAGGACGTAGAAGTAAAGATCGACGTTCGAGCGGTACAAGCAGGTCACTCCATCAAGCAAGACGATGTCAGCTGAAAATAAATTGGAGATTCGTGCAAATTAGAAAGATTACCAGACGTGTTGCGAGAGGTCTTGGAGAACAAGCTCTTCTCAAAAGCCTTCTGCTCTTTCACGGTTCCGAAGGTGTTGCGATCATAATACTGGAAAAAAAGGAAAAATTATCGATTTATCTGCAGCTAAAAACCTTGGCGACGACTCGATTTCCATCTTGATCAAGAATCACGATTCCCTTGATGCTGTACAACGAAGTTGGGTTCTGAAATAGAACTGGGTGGAAAATATGAGAAAAAGTATTGCTTACAGTGTCGAAATCTGCCATTTTGTTTCAGAGATGTCCAAAAACCTTTAATTACACAACTTTTAATTAAGATTTTAAACTGAAATCAGGTGAAAGCGGCTAAGCTTTGAGGCGCGAACGCTATTCTCCGTAAATCAACACGTGGAATCGAATGCGGTGCGCCGGCGTTTGCCGCCGCTGGCTGAACATAGTTTGTCGGCCAGCGGCCGAAGATTTGCATTATTGGGTCGATTTACGGGAACCCGGGGAGGAAATTCGCAAACCCAGTGTTTCTTCGTCGTAAAAAAGTCGGCTAAATAAAAATCATATTCGAACTGCTTTAAAAATGGGAAAGAAGCAACATCAAAAGGATAAACTATATTTAACAACATCAGAATGGAAATCGATCGGAGGACACAAAGATGGTGAGTATTCTTTCTTTTTTTAAAACTTTCTTTTTCCCGGAATCTGCGGAGTCTCTCTGAAAACAAAAGGTTAAATTACTATGTTTTTTTAGATACTGGAACTCGTCTTCAAAGAGCTCAGTTCAAACGGCTCCCGATTAATCATTGTTCTTTGTCGCTCCTTCCGTTCGAAGATCCAGTTTGTGCCAGATCTGGAGAAATTTTCGAACTAACGTAAGTTTTGAGTTCATCAACTATTTGATTAAAAAAAAATATATATATATGATAAAATCCATTTACAGCGCCATCGTTCCTTATGTCAAGAAGCATGGAAAAAATCCATGTACTGGAAAGCCATTGACGGCGAAAGATCTTATTCATCTTAAATTTGACAAAGGAGAAGATGGAAAGTTCAGATGCCCAGTTACATTCCGCACATTCACAGATCACAGTCACATTCTAGCCATAGCCACAACTGGAAACGTTTACTCTTACGAAGCAATTCAAGAACTGAATTTAAAGAGAAACCATCTAAAAGACCTCCTCAATGACGTTCCTTTCACCAGAGCAGATATTATTGATCTTCAAGATCCGAACCATCTTGAGAAGTTCAATATGGAACAATTCTTGCATGTCAAGCTTGATCTCAAAACGTCTGAAGAAATAAAGAAAGAAAAGGAGGCTATGAAAGATCCGAAATTTTATATCCGTCGAATGAACAATGCTTGTAAATCGGTATTGGACCAGTTGGATAAAGAATATGTTCCTAGACAGGTTTGTTTTTCAGAGTTTGCACTTTCGAATAGTATTTCTTATAGAATGAAGTGGAGGCAGATCAAACTGCCGATGAAATCAATGCAGCCCATTATAGTCAGGGAAAAGTCGCAGCGGGATTCACATCTACAGTAATGGCACCAGTGACAAGTAATAAAGCTGCAGTTCTTGATGATGACACAGTTCGATATAGTCGAGTTAAAAAGAATGGATTCGTTCGGCTTGTTACCAACTTTGGACCTTTGAATTTGGAGCTTTATTGTCAGAAAGCGCCCAAAGCATGTGAGAATTTTATCACACATTGCACGAATGGATATTACAATAACACAAAATTCCATCGGCTTATTAAAAATTTCATGGTAAACTGAGCTTTTATGTTAATATTTAAAAAGGGATCCTTTTCAGCTTCAAGGCGGTGATCCAACTGGAACTGGTCACGGAGGAGAATCGATTTGGGGAAAACCATTCACAGACCAATTTGTTTCTGGATTCTCCCACGATGCCAGAGGTGTTCTTTCTATGGCCAACAAGGGATCAAATACGAATGGATCGCAGTTTTTCATTACTTTCCGACCTTGCAAGTATTTGGACAGAAAGCATACAATTTTCGGAAGATTGGTTGGAGGACAGGATACGCTCACAACTATCGAAAAGTTGGAAACAGAAGAAGGGACCGATGTTCCGATGGTCAACGTGATGATCATGAGAGCTGAAGTTTTTGTTGATCCATTTGAAGAGGCAGAGAAAGAAGTGCAAGCTGAAAGAGCGGAAATTTTGAAAAAAAGTAAGATCAGTTTTTGAAATTCGTGGGGTCATAGGGTTTCTTTTTTTCGACCCCTATTAAACAAATATTTTTGCTCAGCTTCCAAAGACGCAGCATTGATGGCCAGCAAAAAAGAGATAGACTCAATCTCCAAGCCAAAGGCAGTGGGCACTGGCGTAGGCAAGTACATGAAGTCGACCGCATCTGCCAACAAACGACAAGGACAAATGGAAGATGTGCCCTTGGAAGCTGCAAAGAAAAAGAAATTCGCGAGAGCTGGTCTCGGAGATTTCTCGAAGTGGTGAACTAAAAAAATCTTGCGTTTAATTTTTCCATCAATTTATGAAATAAAGAGATAATTTACATTGCAAAATACAGAATCGAGCAAACTGTCCCATAATCGAAAGAACACCTAGAACAGGAAAACAACAAGGGACGTTTGCTCTCAAGTTCTTCTCTGTAGTTGATTCCAGAAATTGGAACCTTTAGGCATATTAATAAATAGTGAACAGCCATAGCACAAAATTTGGAAGAGGAGGGGGTGGAAGCATTGGAGCGAGAGGAGTGTGACGATGATTTTGAATGGGATAAGCTACTGAGAGTTTTTACACAATGACTAAACTCGAGAAAGCGAATTGATAAAGTATTATGGGTACACAGAACTCGCAAATAAAGCAATGGTTGGGAAAAAAGCTGGAGACAGTTTCAGTTGGCACCGCGATTGGCGATGGAGTTGGAAATCTCGCGAACGATTTCGTCTTGTTTCTCGAGTTCACTTTGCTTTTCCATAGAGCGGAGATCCGACATCACCTACAAATAAATTTATAAGAAGGCGTTATTGAATTGCCGAATACCTTTTTAGTCTTTCCAAAGTATATCTCATTGATAGTCAAACGCATTTTCGATTCCTGATCTTCAATCATACGTCCCATATTAGCGAGATGGGTGTTTTGGTCATTAATGGGAGCATCCATCTCGTGCTACAAAACTCGATGTCATATGGTATAAATGCGAATTTAAAAACCTGTCTGGTAAGAGATCCTCCGAGGTTCATAACTCCACTGACGCTCTTGTTGGTTTGCAACCACAGCATTATGGTAGATGTCAACTTGTAATGGGCTTGGCGAGCCTTGAATGTAGAAGATTGGTTGTATATATTTTTTATACAGAACAAAAAAACAACTTACTCGCTCGGTAATTTCGATAACATGAATAGAATCCCAGCATCCTGAGATATTCTTAGCACCATCTCCTTCTTTCTTGATCAACACGATTCCAGCGAAACCTCCATTGTCCAAGTCCCAAAAATAGACAGAAGAGACACCTCCTTCGAAATACCTGAAACAAAGATTTAAAGAATATTTTTGGGAGAATTTCGCTTACAGGTCGCGGTAGGACTCGAAAGCTGCATTAGCTTCAATTTCCATTTTTCGGCGTTTCTCCGATGGCAGTTGTCCATCTTCCAATGGCGGATCATAAGTGTTACTCCATGGTGACCTAAATTCACACCTTACACAAGCTTATTCAGTTTTTATGCTGATGATTCATACCTATAGCTATCTCCATCACGATTATAGTCACAAAGCAAATACTGCTTGCCAGTTTCTCGATCTGCGGCGATTTTCAACGGCTGATCGATAGTGCCTTCAAGATGAAACCACGATTAACATATTAGCGTACGATAAATATACTCACTGAGAAGATCGTCGACCAGGTGTGGGCAAAGATCGATGAGATCAGTCAGGTTTTTATCGCAGTGTTGGGGCGGAAGTCTCCGCATCAAGTCGAGGGCACAATCGAGCTGTTGTTCTCCCTGCAAAAAGTGACATAAAAAATTTGAAGCCTTTTCTGCATTTTCGTCATATTGTTGACTGTATAATACTAATTTACTTACCATGATTTAAAGCTCGGCTTCGAGTGAAAAGAACCCTGAAAAAAGAAAGAACATTACAATTATAGATATCTAACGACGGATAAATTTATAAAGCAAATATTTAGAACATAATGAAGAACTAAAATGAGTCATGAGTCAGTCGTTTTTCAAACAGTTTGATACATTATGAAACATTGTTATTCGAACTATGCAATGGCATAATGAAATAACGGGCTTACTATTAGAAAAAGTAATACTGACATCGTCTCTAAGTTTTCAGAAGACTTGAGAGTTGCTACAACGGAATTCAAAGCTGCGAAACGGAGAAATCGGAGAGAAAAGAGCGTCCACTTCATTGATTTTGAACCCTGCGTCTCTCTTTCTCTGTTTTCAAACACCCAACCACCGTAGCAAATACACACTCTCCGACAAAGCGTGCCGAGACCCGCAAGCTTTTGGCGTTTTACCAGCCATCTTCAAATTTCATTTTTTCCGCCAATTCTGAAAATTTGTCTCAATTTACGAATACTTTCCGAAAAGCTTTTCGATGACCTCAATTTTTAACGGAATAAAATATTTATATCGAAATCATGTCTATCTGTAAACTGAAGACATATCTTTTCGAATTTTCGAACGTATAAGCTCCTTTTTTTCTATCGAGATATTTATACATCGTATGAATGCGCAAATTTCGAAATATTCTCTTTTGTCTTCTGAGCTCATATCATTTTCCAGGTGCACACAAGTCAAAATTGGAGCACGACAGAGTAAACGCCTCTCCCGAAATCTTCCATCCGAAGTAAGTCTCTTCCTTTCAAAAAAAGAAATCATTCTTCTGAATCACAATTGCATTGACTGAGCACCCACTAGTTTCAGCGTGCGAAAAGAACAAGGGCCGTCTCGAAAGTCAGTGAGCATACTATGAAAAGATCGGGTTCGATGTTAGACGTGAGCGAGGACAGTCAACATTCCACGGTCAGTCCAGCACCTCTTCTTTGATCTCGCCGCGGCTTTGAAGAAAATGGATTTTTGTTTAGAATTTCGCAAAATTCGATTATCCTTGAGTGTAGTCCAAAGTTTCTTTTTTCGAGCCGTATAAAAGACGAGAGCTGAAAACTGATGAGATGCATTTAGCTCTTGAGCTCCTCTGAAGCATTCCTCTTTGTTCTCAGTGCGATATTTCTTCAATCTTTCGTCCTGTGGGGCCGCCACATGTTGTGCACTGATCTTCCCACGTCACATACTCGCATGCTGTAGTTCTCAAATAACTGCGGTTTCCAGTAGTTTCTTATCCTAGCAGGTGCCACTGTTAATGGCACCGAACTCAGTTTTGAGCTCATTATATATATTTCAAACTCATAACAGTTTGAACCTCTCATAGGGCAGTTGTACCTATTTGATGTTTTGTTTCCATGTTACAGCTGTCTAGGTTTTCTTGCTCCTCCTTCTCTCGTTTACTATCATTCGCTCATCGTTTCTCTTTTCTCTCACTCTCACATTGTTTGATTTCAGTTTCGGTTGAGGACTTTTCGTTCTTTTTTCTTTGCCACCGCCCATCTTTCAAAGAAAAATCATTCGAAGCCGAGTCTTGACTCCGCCTGTCGAGATAAAAATGCATTGCAATTTATTTTATGTTGCACTTCATCCTTTTCATTTCTAGTCTGTAATCTCTGCGTCTCCTCTAATATTTGGCATTGCCTCTGTTTTTTTTTTCACTTTCTTCTCGACGACCGTGTTTTTCATGTAGTTTTATAGTATCTATGTCCCTCTTACGAGTTTCTCTTCACACAATTTTACTCGACCGAATAAAAAAAATCTTTGTTTTTTTCAGAACAAGGCCCCACCAACAAAGAAGGCTCTGGAAGATTCTCGGGAAAACGTCAGCATGAACGGTAATGTTTCACAAAAGATAGTTGTCTAATCTCCATAAAGATTCTTCAGGAAGCCATGTCAATATTGTCGAGAATCTCCCAGTCGAAAAAGTGGATAGCGGAGAACGTGTGGCTATTCTAGACTTCGGAGCACAATATGGAAAAGTCATTGATCGCCGTGTTCGTGAGCTGAACGTGCAGTCGGAAATGTTCCCGTTGAATACAACCGCAAAAACTCTGCTAGGTCTCGGAGGTTTCAAAGCTATCATCATTTCTGGTGGACCCAATTCCGTATACGCAGAGGATGCACCAACAGTTGACCCAGAAATCTTCTCTTGTGGACTGCCGGTTCTTGGAATTTGTTACGGCTTCCAGCTCATGAACAAAATTGGAGGAGGTACTGTATCTCGCGAGCAGATCAGAGAAGATGGAGCATGTGAAATCAAAATCGACAATCAAGCCGACTTGTTTCAAGGTCTTGCTGAGAGAGAAATTGTTCTGTTAACTCATGGAGACAGTGTCACAAATAGTACAATTTCACCGAATTTCAAAGCTATTGCCTGGAGTGAACATTTGGTCGCAGGTCAGCTTTCCAGTTAGAATTTCATTTATATTGTATTTATTACGTAAAAAATACGTGGAAGAATAAAAAGAAAGAAGAATGAAAAAGAGAATAAATAGACAAAAAGGGACATGGTGACATAAAATTGATATTTCTTAACCTAGAAATGAATAATAGTGGATAATAACAAATCTTTTTCCGAACTTCTGACTTCATTTGAATTAAAAATATCATTTCAGGTATTTGTGACGTCCAGCGCAAGTTGTACGGTGTCCAGTTTCATCCAGAAGTGGATCTTACTAAGAATGGAAACAAAATCTTTGAGAACTTCTTGTTCCCGATTTCCGGCTGCACTAAATCGTTTACAATTGAGAACAGAGAACAATCATGCATCAAGGAGATTCGAAGCATCATCGGTGATAAGAAAGTGCTGGTCATGGTTTCTGGTGGTGTCGATTCAGCTGTATGTGCCGCTTTGCTCAATCGGGCTCTAGGACCCGGCCGAGTAACCGCCGTTCATATCGACAATGGTTTCATGCGTCATCTGGAAAGTGACGCCGTAGAGATGAGTCTCAAAGCTCTTGATCTCCCAGTTCATAGTGAGTCTTAAAAGTAAAAAAAACAGCTACCAATTGAACCAATTACCCAATTTCAGGATACGATTATGGAACGACTTTCCGTTCGAGCAGTGAGCATATGCTTCCAGAGGAAAAAGCTTTGGATGAGATCGATGATCCAGAATTGAAAAGAAAAATCATTGGAAACACGTTCATTCGTGTCAAAGATCTGATCATGAATGAGTTGAAAATCAATCATAACGACTATTTTCTGGCTCAAGGAACTCTACGCCCTGATCTCATCGAAAGTGCAAGTGAACTTGCTTCTGGACACGCCGACACAATCAAAACGCACCACAACGACACATACTTGGTTCGTGAGCTTCGAAAAGCAGGCAAGGTAATTGAGCCGCTGAAGGATTTCCACAAAGATGAAGTTCGCGTGTTAGGAAAAGATCTCGGACTCCCAGACGCCATTGTGCAGAGGCATCCGTTCCCTGGGCCTGGACTAGCGATCCGTATTCTGTGCGCTTCCCAACGGAGACCAGAGTTTATTCTCAAACTTCCCAACTTGCCGGGATGCTATGGAAGTACTCAAGAAGTGACTGAGAAACTGATAAGCGCTGCGATCAACCCAAGCCAAGGTATTTACGAAAATGAACACTACGAACAGCAGCGAAAAACCGTAAGTTAATATATGAATCATAAATTACGAATTAAATGATTCCAGGCTGTCGCCTTGCTATCAGAAAAGGACAGACTTCTTGCAAACGCTCAGAAACATCAAATCAACGCTCATGTGCTTCCGATCAGAACCGTTGGCGTGCAAGGAGATGCCAGAAGTTACTCACACGCCGTCGTGTTGTCAACTGAGGAACGCCCAGTTCCATGGAAGCTTCTTTTCGCGTATGCCGGTGTAATTCCTAAAATGTTCCACGGAATTAACAGAGTTTGCTACGCATTCGGGGAAAAGATCGACAGGTCGATTGAAGATTTGACTCTCACTTTCCTCGTTCCACAAACTGTCAAAAAACTTCAAATGGCTGATTATTTTGCCAATGAGGTTCTATATGCCCGGAAGAACGAGCATCGTGAACAAGGCCTCGAAAACGTTGAGCGTCACATTCAACAGATGCCTGTAGTTCTGCTACCAGTCGACTTCGATCGTGAAAGTGAATCTGGGTCCTACAAGCATTCGATTGTCCTCAGACCATTCGTCACTTCTGACTTCATGACAGGACAAGCTGCTATTCCAGGCGAACATTTAGCGGAAGCTGTACGATTTTTTTTCCGATTCAATCCCTCACTATTCTGTTTCAGACCGTTCTCGAAATGGTGCGCGCTATCAAGAACAACGTTCCTGGAATTTCTCGCGTACTTCTCGACATGACTTGCAAACCACCAGGAACCACTGAGTGGGAATAAACGATGCCAGCGTTCAAACAAAAACTTGTTACAAACTCAATTCTTCGGGCCGTTTTCATCAAAGTGAACTGATCTGCATTAGAATGCGAAATAATAAATCCTCAGGTGTCGTGCGTTTTCTTCTTCTCAATCTCCTCTCCCCACCCTTAATTTTTTCCCGATTCCCGATTTATATCTAACGTTCACAGTTTTAAGCTCAGTTATAATTTCCTTATAGTTCTATCTTTTCCAAGTAATTGTTAAATAGATGTTTTGTTGTATCATGTTGATTTTGAGCCTTTTTTCCTTTCACCGGGTGTCTTTTTTCCAAATATTCTTCCGTTATCGCTCCGAGTGTGTTTTGAAACGTAAAACGTGAGAGGGTTTTTACCTTCACTCTTTTCTCAATCCGATGATTTACTTGACTGATGCACGGTGTTACTGTCATAAATGGTTAACATATCGTGAAAGATTTCTTGTTGTTTATATTATTGCTCAGGCTGTAATGTTCCTCAATCGGTGCTTCGCTTAGTTTAAAGGAACGAGGATAGTTTATTAGCTTTTATAGTAAAAAGTTCAGAAACCTTATGAATGTAAATTGCGGTAAAGAGTTTGAAAGTGAGTTGAAAAGGAAGAACTGAAGCTTCCTTGTTTTTTTCCTATTTTTCGAAAACAGTTCCTCCCATCTCGCCCCTGCATTTTCCATTATTTGTCAAACTTTTACCATGGAAGAAATAACATTGAAGTTTTCATTTGCAGTTTTCGTTTTTCTAATGTCCTCCTATATCTTTTAATCTCTCTTATAGCCTCCCCCACTAAACGTTTTTCTGTTCCTATCCTCTCTTCAAAGTGTCCGAAGACGTCGGTTGCAAGCAATGCTCCTATTTCTGTCCACTGCGCACTCTTCTTCTCTAAACCTCCTTGTTGGGTGCTGTGCCTAGCCTATGCTATGTTTTCTCGCTAGTTGCAGCTCCCAAGGTGACCCTCTTTGTTGTTTTTTCAGTGATTCCTCCAACTTGTTTCTATTTCGCTTTTCTCTCTCTCCTTCTCCCATCCCACCAAATGTTGATCGAAAAGAGACAAAAAGTCAAAACGTGGGAGGAGAGAGTGTATTAATCAAGGAGAGTCCCCATACCCATCGGTTCCCTCCCTATCCATTTCTTTTTCTCGATCAATTGCCCCGAAACGAAGGATAGGGCCTTTTTTTCAATTGCCGGATTTTTGTAATTCTCACAAAATTTTTACTTTTTTGCTGAATCATGTTGCGTTTCTCTTGTGAACACTTATTTATTTGTGTGTATGTGTGCCCATGCTTCCTGCACGTTTTGATCTTTGCATTTTTGAACGGGTACGACGACTGACGCGGAATAAACAAGAGACACAGACGCCTCCAGACACTCACACAGATTGACATGGCGTCGTGAAACAAAAATTACGTTGATTCAAATATAGAGATTCTGTCCATCTTCCTCTCACTTTAGGTTCTATTCTCGAATTAATCTATTCTTATACTTTATGTTTTTCTTGTTCTTCATCTGTCTTCGAACTGATTCTTAATTGCACGGGATTTCACCTCTAATAACGGAAGAATTAGCGTTCTGTTTAAAACTTCCTTTTTGAAAGATTTCATTCTTAATGTGAGAAGGGAATTCTAAATTATAGTTGGTAGTTTCAAGATGACATATACTGTGAAGCATATTGTATGTTGTGTTTCGCTCCACGTGTTAGTAGCTTCGGATGACGTCTTGTTAGATAAAAATATAAACTTCTGCAATCAGATGTACTTTTGCCGTATTCTCTACACTCATCCGATAGTGCACTTTGTACTTCTCTCTGACCTGACGCGTTCTTATAACCGAGTTTAGTTTGAAATTCAATTTTTCTTCTCTGTACTGTTGCCGTTTCTTATCACATGTTTGCTGCTTGCTGCCAGCATTTTGTACTGATAATAACACCAATTTGGTTACATATTGTTGCATTTTCCCCATCATCTCTTATATTCATAGCATTCAAAAATGCAAATTTCGGTGTTTCAGGCGCGCCAGCAAATGACGTCGTCCTCATCCTCCTCACAACTTCCGGCGGATAATAAGGTGGTAATGTTCGTGAAGAGGCCAGGTGAGGAAAGCGAATGAAATAGGAAATTTGAAATGTTCTTTTTTTGCAGGTGAGAATAATCCTCCGACGGTCGACTGTTTCGATGTCATTCCGATTGATTCTCCATCCGAAAGTGACATCACTTCTGAGCAGTGCATCGTTCGAATTCTCTTTTTATCGGTTGACCCAGCACAAAGGTGTCGGATGAACACATCGACTGGCGTTGATTATCTAGGACCTTACGAAATTGGGGAGCCTGTCGATGGGATGGAAGGAGTCGGAATAGTGGAAAGAGCAGGATCTGCAAGTACTCTTCAAGTGGGAGATCTAGTCACTGGGTGCATTCGGCTGTGGACGTGGACCAAATATTTTGTAGTTGACAGCACTGACCTCGTCAAAGTGAATCTTCCTTCAACCTTCTCCCCATCCGTCATCCTTTCCTGTGCTGGGCTTTCCGGTATTACCGCTTTACTCGGAATTCGAAAGAAGGTTTTTCTTTTTCATATTTCTTTTAACGCGGAGTCCCAAATCATTACTTTTTTGCAGGCAAAGATCGACAGAACCCGTCCGCAAACAATTGTAGTCTCAGGGGCAGCTGGAAGTTGTGGATCGCTAGCAGGTCAGATTGCGAGGATAGAAGGATGTACGACGATCATAGGAATCTGCGGATCGGATGAGAAATGTAAAGTTCTGGTTGGTTGTTTTTTCCCCGATTTCATTATTCGACTCTCTGAAAATAAAATTATAGAAGGAGGAATTCGGATTCGATGCTGCCATCAACTACAAAACAGAGATCATATCTGAACGATTGGATCGATTAGCACCCGATGGTGTCGATATTTATTGGGATAACGTTGGTGGAAGAGTTTCAGATGAAGTTATCGAAATGGTGAGGTGTAATTCGTATTAAAAGTTGAATAACTGTGAAATTAGATGAACCCCAATAGTCGAATTGTGCTCTGCGGCCAAATAGCTGTCTACAATACTGACCTCCCATATCCTCCTCCACTTCCTGACCACACTGTTCAAATTCTGAAGGAAAGGAATATTGAAAGAGAGAGATATCTGGTGTTGACATATAAAGATGAAATGGATGAAGCCATTGCTCAATTGTCGGAGTGGCTGCAACAGGATAGGATCAAGGTGAGGAAAAGTCTGATTTATTTTCTCGAAATTTCATATTTTTCAGGTGAAGGAAACTATCTACGACGGTCTTGCTTCTGCACCACACGCATTTGTCGATATGATGACTGGCAAGAACATTGGCAAAATGCTAATTCGTCCATAAATCTTACATTCACGCTAGGCATCGCATTTCCACGTTTGCTTATAACCCAACTACCCCGCTGAGTCGTCCAATCGAATACGAGTTTTTCTTTCCCTCCAGTTCTTTTCACAAAGAGATTCCTTTTGCCCTTCATCAGTCTTCGTTTCTTTCATTTCTTTTTTAAATCACTTAAATCAGTCATAATTTTGAAAAAAAAACAATGTAAATATGTTGTAAGATTAGGAATATTATTTTACAGTTTTCCTGAATGTCTATATGCTTTTTACATATTTTTCCTTGAAAATTTTATTAAGATTGAAATAAATCAGTTCATTCTTCGTGTTTCAAAACATGTTCGTTTATATGTTATCTTCATTGTACTTCAGTCAACACTTCTCAAAATGTATCATAACGTTTTAAAAATATTCGCAGATGGAGGTTCTAAAGCAAAGAGTGACAGTGCTAACGAATCAGGAAGTTCTATCCTTCCTAAACGCTGTGAAAAAAGAAGAAGACAACAAAGTATCCGGTGATCGATGTAAAATGCTCGCAACTGTTGTTTATGAGGTATTTAAATAATTCATATTATAAATATTTTTCGAAAATAATATTTTCAGACTAAAAAATATCTAAACTCTAGTCCTGCTGCGACGCAAAATGAAGCAGTAATTTGTGATCTTGTTCCTAAACTGGAGCCGTTCAAAGTAAGAGATTAGTTAGTCTTTCTTTTTTCCGAAAAAATATTTTTCAGCTCACTGGCGCTGAAACGCTTCAAGTTGTGAACATGCGGCCAGCGAACACAACAGATGTAGGCGAATTTTTGAATCTAATTTTCAAAACCATTAAACATCGAAAAGTATTAATCAAAATTAATGTATATTTTTCAACACTCAGATCCAACTATTAGTCGAGGAAACAGAAGAGCGATTTCCATCAGAAGAGGAACTCGAGAAGCTTATCACAACAATCACTGACTGTCTGCCACCTCCACCAAAACGATAACTTGTGCGAAATTAGTATTCCCTCGATCTCTTTTCAGTTGTTTATTTTTTTTCGTTGTTGCTGTTGAAACTGTTTTTGAATGAATTGTTGGTTGCTTCCTCACTGTCGTTTTTTTCTGATTTTTCCCGTTCCATTCGCTGTTTTATTTCTCCTTTTTTGTTGCACACCATTTCTCTTTTCCTTTCTCATGCGTCCATTGCCCTTCACACTCATTCGACAAGAGTTTCAGCGCTCCTTTTCGTGACCCATTTCTCTTTTCGCTTCTTTTTTTTATTTATCCATGGCAACGCGAGAATGATATAATATGCGTTTCATGGAGGTGTCTGACTTGATCTTCTTATTTTTTTCGCTGCTGTCGCCCACATCCCCCCCCCCCAAAGCTCTAAGCGAATATTCTTCTCATCAGGTTCTCCGAATATTATTTTTCTTTCTTCGAAGATCAGCTTTTGGAAGATTTCTTCCAAAACCCCCGCCCGAGTTGGGAGTATCGTAGGATTACGATATATCTCAATTTTCTAAGAATTTGAATTTAGAGTTTTTGAACCTTGAGCATAACTAAAGAAACATTGAATGACGTTTTGAGTGCTGAAAAGCGACATGTGCATTTTTTTTATTCTCGCGAAAACAGCTGAAGCTGAGAACTACTCGCTATCTGAATTCATAATAAACGGTCAATCATTTATTCATATAACATTCAATCCTTTTGACATCGGAATTTTGACATTTCAAGTGAATTTTAGTCCAGGATTGGGCAATGAATCAATTTTTTTAGTTTTCGTATTCAGAAAGTCCAAAAAGATAATGGAAAAAAGGACATCTGACTACTGGAGATGAGTTATAGTGTCTTCTTCCCACAATTTTTACTCTTTCGTCATTTTGAATTTGTTGGCAGTCAGAAGACTTTGGATATTCGGAATTCTGGAGGATAAAAACAAAAATTGAATATTCATTCAAAATTAATCTGACCTTTTTTTTCTTATAATCCAATGATATCATATCATATTGACCACTTTTCCTCCTCAACCATCTTGTAATTTATCATGAATTATGATCTCGCTTTCAATAAATATGAAATATATTCTTTAGTGAGAGCTTCTAGCTGAGAAATCATCATTTCTAGAGCATTAGGTGTATAGGAACCTTTCTTACGAGAGAACGCAGTTACAGTAATTAAAAAATTATTTATTCAAGTTTTCTTTTTTCTGAATTTATCTCAGAAAGTTCCCATAACACTTCTTTAATTGTCTTTTCTCTCTAGAAATGCCCTCCGTTTCTGTGTAATTTGTGATGCTGATAAATTGTAGGAATTAGTCACAAACGTCGTGGTCGAATCATCTCCGAAAGATAAAACTACGAAGGTTATTGTAAAAATGGAATGTGTGTCACAGTGACAATGTTAATGATAGATACGTCATCAGAGACAATCAAGTTCTCTGTGTCATTTTGACATATCTATACCGTTTCAATTGTCACTATTAGACCATGTGAGAAATAGATTTGGTGACGAGAAAAAGATATGAGAGAGAGAGAGAGGGGGAAAGAAGACAATGTTTCTGTGGGTAGAAAAAGGAAAAGAAGAGACAGCATGGCAGCTCACCGGATGTCAATCAATGTCAACCCGTCTGCGTCTCGCGGGTCACTTCTGTTCCATTTTCCTCCCTAATGGCATGTTGTCACTGCGTCTGCGTTTGACACAAGTGAAACACACTTTCTCAATTCTGTCCTGTCTCTGTCACGCTAAATGAGAAGAGTTCTGAAAGAAAGAAGGCCCGACCACAGACAATATGTCCATTTCATCAGGACCTAGCCACCATTTTTTTGATATGTGGTTGTAGTCATCGTTGTCCATTGGCCGCCACCGCCGCTGTCTTCGTCGCCGCTCCTCTTTCTCATTCTCGTCACCCCTGTCTATGGCCATCTTCTGATGATCATCTCGAAGGTATTGGAGGGTGTGTGTGTATGTGTGTCTGTTTGCAGCAAAGAGAGTGTTGTCTGGCGACCCCAAGAAGAACTGTCATATTCAATGTGTCACCTGTCAGCTTTTGCTCTGCCTCCTGTGCTCTTTATCGTTGCGGAAGCACAAATACGTGCTTTCACCTTCTCCTCCTTCTTTTTCTTGTTTCCTACTCTCTAATATTTATCCTCATATAATTTCTTCATCTGTGATTCTAATTCCTTGAGTCTTTGTAAAGGTAACTGTTCTTCTTCTTCTTCTCCATCGTCCTTCTCTCAACAAATTCTGAAAATTGTAAGAGTGACGTCTTCGGAGGTCACTCAAGAATTCTCAAGAATTAGAAGTACGCCGAATGAAGTCTTCTCTAACTTTTGCTAAATATGATATAAAATCTTCTCTCTGATTTTTTGTGGTGTTTTCTTTTTGTTTTTCATTAGCATGCAAAAATAGAATGAACAATTCTCTGAAAATCTGTCATTTCCAGTGATGGACCAAATGATGGCGATGGTGAAGACGATGAACGGGGTGGTGAGTCCTCCAGCGGTATCCTCCATAGAAGCCGCGAATAGTATCGAACAACGGGTGGATGTTAAGTCAGAAGTGCCAGGTAAATATATTTTAATAATCGGAAACTGACAGAAAGTTCTAAAGTTTTCCATTCAAATGTTAAATGTCTAGTAGTTCATATTTGTAGAAGAAAAATGCAGACCTCCCAAATCAAACCAATTCACATAAAATTTTCAGAGTCAATGCTTTCTCAAGCGTTTCCCCATCTCAGCACATCAAGCGAGTCAACGAGCGAAGACCATTCGATGTCATTCGAATACTCAGAATCGTGAGTCACATGCGAATTCCACACATCAGTTTTTAATCGAGTTCATCTCTCAGCGAGCCACTTGCAGCAGATGGGAGGCCGCAGCAATTGTCATATCGTCATTTTATCGTCGGAGATCCACGAGAGAAGAAATTGCAAGAGAAAATCGAATTCGTTAAAATTGTTCTCAAGCACAAAAGTTCGCTTTTTGGGGATTGTGATGGGCACGAGGTGAGAAATTTCAAATATTTTTACTCTTGTAACTATGGAAAGGGAAATTGGTATTATCGTTGTACGAGAAAGTGAAGCTTGAGGCGCAGAGAGATATACAAAACATTTCTCTGTGTCTCCATCGTTTGCGTGTTGTTTCGTGTCGCCGCTTCGATATCTCTACCGTATTTAGACTGCTCTCTAAGTCCCACATTTTCAAACAGCAATAATATCTCTCTAAACCTGGAAATTGTATGAAAACTTCAGATAACCCCCCGTTCAAAAGAAGATTCATGGAAACGAGTTGCTGCTGAAGTGGAGTCTGCAAATCTGGAAAGCTACAGAGGGAAACCATGGGCTAGGTTACGAGACCACGACTGGCAGTATGTTAGAAGGCATGCATTGTCGCGAAATGAAAACTCAACGAGGCCAGGAGGCAAGTTGGGGTGAGTAGATGACGTCAAACTGGGAGATGAACTAGTTTTTGATTCTGATTTTTCAGTGAACTTGACAAAATCGTACTGGAGATAATATCAACAACAGCACTAGCAAACGCATTCAGTCAAGCAACTAATACCTTGATGTCTCAAGGATCCACAAATTCACACACTTCTCAGCAATCGACAGATAGTGTCGACATATGGCGATCTCTAATACTTAGTTCTGTGAATCAGGAGAGTACTGACAACCAGGTTCGTAGATTTCATTCTGGTTCAGTAGGATCTGAAGTTCTTTTCCAGGATATGCAGAGCTTCGATTCATTTAAAGATGAGAAATTGGCAATTTCTAAAATTGAAGATATATCCGCAAACACTACACTCTCGATTCCAGTACCTATCGCCCCTGTTGCTGTTTCAAATACCGCTGAAAATATTCTAGACTACATTAAGGCAACCCAGGTGTCACCGAGTTTATCTGTAGATGCGGCTATCCAACAAGCTCGAGCACTAACGAAATCTCCAATTTCCAAGTAAGACTACCACTTGATTGCGCCATTACTATATAGACGCAAGTTCAGAAGGATTCAAAATAGGTCAGCAACAGCTCCGTCGGTTTATGCCATTACATCTTCCACGTCTTCACCTCCCCAAATCACCACCACTATACCAATACAACCACCAGCAGCGAAACGGTCGAGAGTTGAATCAGAAAAGTAGGATTATTTTCAAATAATCAAAGATAGAATAATACGCGTTTATAGAAGTCCTGGCTCTTCATCGGTGACGTCTTCTTATGAGCAAAGGAAAGAAGCACTGACACTTCGAAAGCTGGAAGTTGATATTCGCCATACCGAATTGCTGAACGAAAAATTGGAATTGTAAGTATTTCGTATTTTTCCTTATTCTTCTTTCACACAAATAAATATTTTCAGAGAAATCCGCGCAATCGAAGCACAAGAGAAGCGCAATCAAGAGCTGCACGCGATTGAATTAAGAACTGCAAAAGCTAGAATGCTTCGTGGAGCAGCCATCGACGAACCATCAATTGACACGAATCAACGAGTACTGGTCCGTCAACCGAATGGGTACAATTTGGAATAGAATACTCCTATAGGAAAATTTTTATGTAGTTAAAATGTATAGATGATTTACTGTATCTATTTTCTCTTTGTTTCTTTGTTTCAAAAAACAATTCCGGAAAACCACTTTTCAAACTGTGATAATATCTAATCTCTGGGTTCTAGTTGACAATTTTAGTCATTATGCACGTACTGATCTCTGTCATGGTTTACTGACGCGCATCTCAACGCCGTCAGACGGGCTCTCTTCTCTAATTTTATAAAAATCTGTTTTTTTCCCTGTAAAATAAATTATTTGACTTTCTCTTCAACATATCGCCTCTTTTTGATATTGTCTCTCTCGTTTTCATATCTTCTCCCAGAGCTTGTTTACAATTTGAATAAACACAACAAGAGGCAAATGACTCATTTCGCAACCAGTTTGCAGCAATGGAATCCGTCCGAACCAACGCCGATTTTCGATTCTTTGTGCAATGGCCCTTCGGTATCTTGATGGGAGCTCAAACGGTTTGAAAGATAACATAGTTGCTTTCAATTATGTTCACTTTTTTCAGTTATTCTCTCTAATCTCTCTGATCGTCTTCTACTTTGCACCTTTTCTCTACGAAGGAACCTCCTTCGTTCTGTTCGTGCTTTCCCTTCTGCTTGTCTGTAGTGTTGTTCAAAATTTCATCCACGTCTTCGGACTCCACCGTCGCGTGTTTGTCATTTTCGGAAGAGCTCTCTTCATTCCGGCAACTTTTTTAGTGAGTTTTGTTTTTCATGGGTCCCTTTAACATTTTCAAAATTTAAGGTCTTCTTGACATCTGCCGCCGGTTGCATCGGAATGGCAATTTCCACTCTCATTGTCCTCATTGGTTTCATCGATTCCCTTCGTTTCAGTGTCCGTCTCATCATTGTCTACGCAATTCTCACGGTAATTCGAGAAGCAGTTAGATAATTGATCCCTAACGAGAACATCGAGCACAACTGAAAACTATCAACTTTCAGGTGACGTGTGCAATTCTGACAATCGCATGCACAAAGATCGTGATGCTTCTGTTTAGAGCTGCACCAAATGGACAAATCAAGGGTCTCGTTCAGGTTGTAATCGAAGGAGATCGCACTTCAAAGTGAGATTTATTCTGGAATAAGTAACTAATAATATTTTATCTTCTTGCAGGATCACCGCTGCTCATACCACAACGACAACTACAACCACGACAACCACCACAACTACCACGAACTTCGTCTGAAATTATCTTTGGTCTGAAATCATGTATTTATGCCTATTCCGAGTATTATCCAAAATCAATTGTCTCATTCATTCCATCTCAAAACATCGCTTTTTCTTCTCAAGTTGCCTTTCATTCTTATTGTTGCCCTTGCCACTCAACCATGTTCGTATTTTGTTTATGTAAAAAACGCTTGTCTGAAAATTGGCTTTAATCATGTCACATAAATTATTTCATTTGACTGCTTTATTTTGTCACAAGCTACATAGTGGGAAAATATGAGATTCTTAAAACTTGGAAAGGGGAGAGATAAAACATGGGAAGGGGGGAGGGTAAATGAAAGTAAGAGCTTAAGTGAGAAAATAAGTAGGTGATAATTTTAGATTGCGTATGAAACGCAAACTTGATATATAGAAGAAAAACGAATAAATAGCATGGTTGATAAATAGATAAACATGTGTGCAGGCAATTTATATTGGGAGATCATTTATGGGTTACTCCATCTCATCATCAGTGTTCTGAACTGCTTTCTTGGCCGATTTCTTAGATGGTTTCTTTGTTGCTTCTTTCTCGGCTTCAGCCACTTCGGTAGCTTGAGCGGCCAACTTCTTATCAGTTTGGAGCTTTTTCAGTTCCGCTCCTGACATAAGAGTGCATGAAGAGTGACCGTCAGCGAAGTGAGTTTGGAACAGAGCATCGGCGTTGGAGAACATTCCTTGTTTCAAGGATACAATGATGAACTAAAAAAAAACACATTCTGGTTGTGCTGTTTCGACGGGTGACCGAGTAAATACCTGACTGTCTCTGAAGTGAGCTTTGATCATTTTACCAATGTTAGCAGTGTGGGACAGATCAAGAGCAGCATCCACCTCGTCAAGAATATACAGAGGTGCTGGCTTGAATTTTAGCATGGCCAAGATCAAGGAGAGTGCAACAAGAGAGCGTTGTCCTCCGGAGAGCTCATGAAGGCTGTCCTTCACGACACCGTTGAAAGCAACCTTAACTTCGAGACCATCGCAGACAGTTTTGCCTTCTGGTGGAACAAGTTCCGCTGAGGCATCAGGAAGCAAGCAGTGGAAAATCTTTCCAAAGTCCTGGAAAAAATATGATACAACTATATAAAGATGATCTAATTGTTTGTCAATGGAGGAGAGCAAAATGTCTCAGTTTTCAGTGATTCATCTCACATCAATTCGAATTAAATCGTAGATTAGGACATCATTGACAGCTGCTGACCTCGAACCAGTGGGTGCTCGCGCGGCGCGCGCGCCCACTACCCCTCCACCACGCAACACTCACCGCATTGACAGACTCATGCGCTCTATGTATCTCGTCCGTTTTCTTTCTGTCGAGGACGGCGATTGTTTTCTTCAAAATGTTGAAGTCTTCCGTTAGTTTTGCTCGCTTGTTTTTGATGTCCATGACCTGTAATTTTCAGCGTATGTAAATAGTTGAACCTTCATCATGTGGAGAGTTAATAAAGCCAAACTCACTTTTGCTTCACATGTATCCAAATTAGACACGTTCTTCATGCAGAGAGATCTTTCAAGTTTTTCAATCTTTTCAGTATATTCTTTTACTTCAGTATTTCCTTTGTTGGCTGTGTACCCATCGAAATCGTAAATACCTCCCTTCTTATTGAAATGAGCTTGCTCATCAACTAGCCATTCGCATTTCTTGAGCAGTGAGGCAGCAAACTTTTTATGTGCAAGCTCAGACTCCTTCAATCGTACGACTTCTTTTTCTTTGTCTTCGATCTTGCTTTTCTGAAAAGGGGATATTTATACATATGAAAAAGTAGTGTTCAACTTACAAGCTTAGCCTCCTCTTTGCGCATCATAGTTATATCTTTAGCAACTTTTGCAAGACGATCTACGATCGTTCGTTGCTCAGTTTTCAGAGCGTGCAACTTTGCTGAAACTTCCTTATGCTCCTTAGACGCTGCCTCATACGCTGCCTCAGCTGCAGGCAGGCTTTCTTCCAACTCGCGAAGTTCCTCTTGTTTCTTTTCACATTGTGTCTTCTCGTTGTTGATAGTGTTGCGAAGCTCGTCAACGGCAGCTCTGAAAAATTATAACATTTCGAATTGAAAGAATTGTACAACATACTGTATTTGAAGAACCGCTCTCCTCGCTTTCGCAGCGTTGTCGTTGTTAGCTGCAGTGCGAGCTTCGATTTCTTTGAGCTGTTTACAAATCTCGGCCTTCCGTTTCTCCCTCAGTTGCGTGTCATTATGCTTCTTTGATTCAAGATCGGTGATTTTCTTTTGAAGAGCTGCAAGTTTTAGAGAAGCATCTGCGATCTCTGCATCAACTGGTTCGATTTCGTTCTTGAGATTATCAATGTCCTGTTGAACCATTCCTGCCTGCGAGGTTTTCATGTTACTCTGGTACACAGCCAATCTTCGTTCAGACTCCTGAAGCTTCGAATTCAACTCCTTATATTTTGTATGTTTGCTTTCAGTTGCAGAAATGTATTTCCTGATGTCAGTCAGTTCCACCCTCAAAGCCTTGATTTCGTCCAGCTGTTTATGGATTCCAGACACCGCGTTGATAATCGGCGTTTTTGAATGCTCACTGACTCCTCCGGACATCACTCCTGTAGGTCTAACGTCGTCACCTCGCTTTGTGAGAGTTCGTGATTTTACTCCGTCTGTATAGGCGACTTCTCTGGCACAATCCAAGCTATCAACCACGATAATCTGAAAAAGCCGCCGTTCAACTTGGATTTTCTATGACGAAGAAAGTTTACCTGTCCACACATGGCCTTGAAAGTATTGCCGACGCACTCCGGGTATTCAATCATATCCAGAAGTCTTACTACGTTTTCATGGTATTTCTCAGCCTGAAAAAAATTCACTTTCCATGACTTCATAGCTCCTCGGTTTTCTCTTGAATATTTAACTCTGATAGTATAAGCTTCAGTAAGAAAACAAGTCCTGGATGAAAGTCGCTCGCAATTAACGTTGACGATTAGGTTCCTAAATGCATTCTCTTCCTTTTTCTACCCGCAACAAGTGATGTCTTCTATTTCCCCTTTATCCAAATTGTCAATGCTCAATTGGAAAAAGATAAAGTTTGCAGGAGGCATCCAGGATCTGACAAAAGAGCACAACATATGGAAATGTCATTTTCCTAAATTTATATTCGCTCACACACTCGCGCGCGCGTCTATCGACATCTCCCTCTCAAATATTCCTTTTTTCTGGCCGCTCTCCTCAGTTTTCCAAACTTTGCATCGGTTCGGCAAAAAGATGATGTTTAGCAAATGCACGCACACCACAATTTCTACTTTCTCTAGGGACGCACCATTCTTCTGACAATTATTCATTTTTTTCGCGCCGTTTCTTAGTCGATAGACAATATATCTGGGCAACAAATAAGTGGTCTATTGAATCTGGAACGATGCAGTCGTAAACTACTCCACAACGAATTCAGTTTGAGTGAGCACAGCAGAATAAGTCTGCGTTCCTTGGTCGAACACAGTTCAGTGCTCACCGCTGAGATGCCCGAAGCTTGTAGGAGAAGAAAATTCAACTGCGGCAAGGAGGCGAGGCGACGTGCGTTTTACTAGTTTTGATTCATTAGACTATGAACACGGTTTCCACTTCTCCTATTTCCGAGCCTAGGATAACTAGATTCCATTCCTTGTACTCCTGTTAACTAACACACAGCCGCACAAAAACAAAATGAGAGGAGCGGATATTCTATTGAGCGTATCCATCTCCTATGAAGACGTACTATTTCGAAAGGAGTCTGTGTTCAAGTAGTATGTTGTCAGAGCCAGCCGTTTTCTTTCTTTCCTTCTCATTTCGCTAACTTAGTTTTTATTTTCTTTTCTTCTTCCCATTCGTTGTCGCATTTTTCCGTGAATGTGGGTATCTGAGTGTGCATCCTTCTTCGCCCAATAGTCTTCCTTTCTTTAGTCTTCTTTTTTTTTCCTATGTTGTTGTTTTTCTGATGCCTTATTGTCACTTTTTGTCTTTTTTCCTCATTTTTTGGTTCACCTACCCAAGAAACGAACATGGATGTGTATTCTGTATCCCACTGCTGCCGAAATAAAACTTATCGCGTTCAAAAGATTCTCTAAGAAAATGATACTCATCCAGTTCAGATATATATTGTTTTTTGCACAACTTTCGTTTTAATGAATGCAGGCAGAAAGCAAAGGAGGAATACGGATTGGAAATATGTTTTGGTTCCTACGCTTCGTGCTGCTTTGTCATGGCCTGGCTACGCCTCATATATACTGAATGCGAACTCTTCTCGCTCACACCATCTAATCCACATTTATTTTCTCAATCGAGCAATTCGAGTAAAAATCAGTTTGTGGTTCGTATTCATTTCTCTCGCCCCTTTTTAATCAAAAACCTTTCTCTCCAACATGCACGCACACTCATACCACCGTCGGCTCTATCTTCGAACAAACAACGCTTTAAAACGACGACTACTGCTCTTTCGCGTACACGGAAAGAAGCTTAAGAGACCCAATCGAAATTTCTATTTTCTCTGCCTCGTTTTAGCTACCGAGATACTTTTCGTACCGCTGAAAAAGACCTCTTGAATATGATCTGCAAAAACTTACAACTCTTTGAGCTCTTTGAAGTGATTGATCGTTGATGATCGTGTATCTGTTGTTTCGGTGGTTCTCTGAGATTGGAATCAAGGTTCGACGTCCGGGTAGACATTGGCTTTCAATCAAGACCCGGGCGACATCTTGGTTGCGAACTACAACGTTGGTGTACTGAAATATATAAATCATGATTATGGAACGGATCTGTTCATTTTAAACAGTTTTTTCCCTAAAATAATATTGTGACTGCTCCCATATGTACACTTCAAGCGCTGTTTTCTTTTCTGTCTCATTTGTTGGTTTTTTCTCAGACGTCCCATAGTCTTCTGCCAGTCCCCTTTTTCTAATTAATCCCCCTTGTCCCCACTCCTTCCAACTGCACCCGAATCTAACTCTACGCCTCTTTTCTTTTCATTTTCGCTCGTTTTCTTCATTCTTCCATCAAAACCTGGGCACCGCAGCCGGTCGGTTGGTGATTGTCAGCCGGTGCCTTTCTCTCCATCAGCGCTTCAAAAACGGCAACGGCAACGACTACGACAAAAACTAAAATAAAGAAAACGAGAGAAGCAGCAGGAAGCATAGTCGTATTTTCACTCCCCATCTGGCTAGCGGTTTATTCTATCCTCTATCGGTGATGCGATGCTCTTTTAGAATTTTCTGACTTCGATTAAGCGTCCTCAGAATGCAAGTCGTATTGCTTAAGAACAATCTAATTCGAAATAAGCCTGATGCTAGAAGCCATGTAATGCCAAAGTTAACGTTTTTCGAAACTCGCAAAACGCTTTTCTCTCTCCTTTTTCTAGCTATCATGATGGTGTCTGCCCAACTTCGACGATGAAATAGGATATTCCATCAAAGAATAAGCAGTTTCGAAGAAATGCGGACCTCGTCTTCAGCTCTCACCTCCCTTGCAAAACTAGATTAATAATTGAAAACTTTCCGATGTGAACATCAATGTCCGGAAAGTTATACTTCTCTTTACAATTATCTCTCGTGTCATCAGATACTTTTTCTACGCCCAATGCTCATTTAATATTGAAAAAAATGAAAAAACAACGAGTTTGTCTGCCTCCAGTAACCGGTTGATTCATTCATTCACCTCTGCCTGAGGCGATCATTGGTCTGTAAATTATAGCTCTGGAAGAGGCAATGGGAGGAGAGAAAGACAGAGAGCTTCTTCTTCTTTCGCTCTCGTACTGAAATGGCTGTTTTTTTTTTCCAGAAGTCTCAATGCTACTGACAGCTTTGTCGTTTCGGACGCAGTAGAAGAGAAGGTTTTCGGTTCGACACGGACGTCCGTCACTTCGGAGGCACTCAACTCAACTTTCGTCGAAACGTGACTTTTCCGGCGCGCCCCGCCCTCTGCCTCTTTTGCACCTCGGCGTTTCATCCGACCACTAGGGGCCGACATTCTTTCTTGATTCCTCAAAGCCACGGACGACTGCGCCTTCTATTATCAATCATCCCTTCCACATAGCTTGTTCATTTGTCTATCGTGTTTTGCGCAATGGGAGAGAGGCTACGACCAATTGAGCAGGAAGACATATATTCGTCGTGTTCAAGAGGGCTCTTTTCCAAAAATTCATGCCAACGCTTTCACATTAGTCATGTTTTGTATTGGCGAAAAAAGCCGTATTCTTCTTTCTTTCACATTCTGTTATCGTCGTCGTGCAACACGCCGAGTTATCTCTATTCAGAATGGGATTTATAGCCGTCTGGTTCTCAGCTTCCTCTGGTTTCTTCATTTCCTTCCGCGCGCTTTCTAAACACGTTCGACTAGTCTTCTAATCGTGTCTATTGTACATTCGATTTTTATTTTTGTCATGTCCTTTCACTGAGCTCTCGACACCAAATTAGCGCACTTTGTAACACCCGAAATCAAAAGAGGAAAGACGAGCAAGAAGACAACATGAAGCGAGAAGACCACAAAAATGTATTCTATTTCCAATCTATTTTCTAACATACTTTCTCTGTCTACATACATTCACTACCATTTCATATTTACAGTTTCAGATATGACGTCAAGTGAAAATGTGATAACTCTTAATGTGGGTGGCTCAGTCTACACAACCACACGGAGCACATTGAGCAAGGAAACAGATACATTGCTTTCCGACCTTGCATCCGGATCGCTAACGGATGATGAGAAAGTTAATGTCGTTTCGATGCCAGATGGAACTCTCTTCATTGATCGCGATGGACCACTATTTGCTTACATTCTACATTTCTTGCGAACTGACAAACTATCGTTGCCTGAGCAGTTTCGTGAAATAGCTCGTTTGAGGGACGAAGCTGACTTTTATCGTCTCGAGCGATTCTCAGCCCTTCTTTCAACGGCTACATCAATTTCCCCTCGCCCACGGACCGCCAATGGGTACGCTACGTCTGGAGCGGAGACTGGTGCGTTTGTTTGTTTTCGATTTTCCATGCATGATGCATCGACAAAATGTCCTAATTCATGTGGGCGGTGTCCCATGGTTGAAAAATAATTTTCTCAGCGAAAACAATCAAGAATCGCACGATTATTGACTATAAAAATTCATCAATGAGTGTCGTCAGTTTGAATCTATCTGACTACATTTACAGGCGGCTACATCACTCTTGGATACCGTGGCACTTTCGCTTTCGGTCGAGACGGACAAGCTGATGTGAAGTTCAGAAAACTTCATAGGATCTTAGTATGCGGGCGCGCGACGTTGTGTCGAGAGGTGTTTGCTGATACTTTGAACGAGAGCCGTGACCCAGGAGGTCCAGATGACGGAGAGAGATACACTTCTCGTCTTTATTTAAAGCATCAATGTCTTGAGCGGGTGAGTATATGTTCTTTCATTATGTCTTGGGTAACTGCACCAATCGAAAGGAAAATTAATTCGCATATCCTTTCAATGTTATGTTTTCTCTTTCAGGCGTGCGATTTGATGGCCGAGAAGGGATTCAAGCTCGTTGCTACCTGCTGTTCAGGAGCAAACGGGCTTGCTGCCGCAAACCATCCTATTCTCACAAGTAATATGGGAAATATCAATCAAACTGTGAGTACTAGCTAGCTTCTGTGTAGAGCACTTGAAAAATTTGAAAAAGAATGATGACAAGGGTGTTTTTACAGGAGCTCATGAACCACCGAAATTGTGGAGATTACGAGGAACAACGCTGGGCGCACTACACAGAATACGTCTTCTTCCGCGAGCCACAGACTGGATACATCACCCCATCGCTGCGAGAACTATGAACTAGTCTCGATTCTCAAATTCTCCTATTCAACACGTTCAGATCTGTATCTAACTTTTTCTCCTGTCGCATTTATGGTGTTATATAGATATAGCTGGCTTGAAATGAAAAAAAAAACAAACCGCTCCTGAAAGAGCAACATCAACCGCCATGGCGTAATCCTTGTACTGAGGTTTGAGTCTAATCAGATGAAGGACCAAGCCTTCAACATCTCTTTCGTAATTGAACCAGGGAACTGGTGGATCGACAAAATTCATTGCATAACGACCACCACTGAAAAATATTGACTTTTTTGGGAACCATGATCTCACACCAACCAAACATTGTTCAGAATGTTGTCATTGACACGCTTTAATTGATGAATCCTGTCAGTAATTTCTTGTTCCCTCTCACGACGTTGAACATCTTCATCAGCATTGTAACCGAGGCTTTGAACTTGCTGAGTGATCTTTTCGACCTGGAAGATAAGGACTTGGTTCCGATTTGAATCAGAACTAAACATACGGCTTTAGTAAGTTCAGCGAGGGCAGTTTGATCTGTTCCGCTTTTCGAAGCTAGACTTGCGAGTTTGTCCATTGCTCTGTTGAGGTTTGCTTGAATACGATCTCGGCTGGAAACAGTTCTTTATATTTTTCTTTTCTGTACATTTTTTACCGATTATTCGCAGTTTTGACCTTGGTGTCCAAATCTGCTGCTTGTGCTCTAGTTTCTTGGATATATGTTTCAAGAGAAACGTGTTCTCCTTTGTCATTCGTAACGGTTCCTCTTGACATTCCTTCGAGCTCACCGCGGAGTTTAGTGATAAGCTGTAAATGTATAATTATGATTACGAACAAGTGAAACATTAATACCGCTTTATTCTCTTCATGGGAGTCAATATCTTCGCCTTTGTCGTTTTTGATGTTTTCCAATTCAACCTGCTTTGAGCCGAGAACTTTTTCATCATTTTCAATGCGTCGAATGGTCCGCTCAATTTCGCTTTTTAGTCGGACGATTCCTTCCTCAACTCCTCTTTTCTCCTGCTCCAATTTAAGAGAAATCTCCTGTTTTGTCTTGTTTTCAAGTGATAAATCAGTTTCCATTGCCGGATTGTCACGAAGAGCAATCAGATTTTGTTGTTCGTCTCCCTTTTTTCCGATTTCAGCAACCACTTGTTCAATCCGTTGATTAAGCTCTTGGGCTTCATTGGATACCAATTCCATGTGTTCCATATCTCTTTTGCTGAGCTCCACAGATTGATGGTATTCAAATGCTCCCAGTTTCCGTTGAGAATTCTCTTTCAGTTTTGCAAGACGTGTCACTTCCACCATGTTCTTCCGATCTTCCCGGAATTTTTCCATGCGCGGATCGATACTTCCTTCGAAAATTCGGTCAATCTCCTTGAGCTTTGCTTCCTTGAGAAACAGAGTCTTTTCGGCCTCTTTTCTTTTCTGATCATACATTTTGGTTCCTGCTGCTTCTTCAACCATACCGAGAATTTCTTCTGGCTTCATGTTCAATACTGTCGTGATGCGACCTTGCATGATCAAGAAATGTGGGTTGTTGACGTTGAGTCCGACGCCACGGAAGAAGTCAATCATCCGTTGGGTGGTTGCAGAATGTCCGTTCAACGTATATCCGGTGTAACAGCTTTTTCCGGTCGGAAGCGCAGTAATGTGTCTTTGAACTACAAGCTCGTCCAAATGGTCCATTCCAAACGGAGATTGCTTTTTGTCTCTGTTGTCGAAACGAATCTGCACAACTGCCTTCGAGCCTCCATGGGAAATCAACTCGTTCATTGACTCTGAAAGAATCGGTCAGTTGTTTAACCTGCTATAAGTAGCACAGACTTTGGTTTAACTAGTGAATTTATAACGCAAACTTTTCGCAACTTCTCCCTGTGATTGAGCTCAAAAATCCACTTGCCTCACTCACTTTCTATGCTAACAATGTAGTGTCTCATTGTTGTGTTCAACGCATTCACATGCACTACGCCAGTTATCTGCACTATCACTCACAATATCAAGCCCTTTGCATATGATTCACCATGGAAATAGCGCGACTCTGGCGCTTAATCCCAGCCTCGCACCTATCGATGCTATACTAGGGCAAAGAATCTCAACAAAGGAAGATGTCATAAGAGCAATGAAGACAACAAGGGAAAATAAAGTTTGACAAGATATTTAGTTTTGAGCTACTGGAAATATTGAAAGAAAGTAATAAAGAGGGATGTGAAAATAATTATAACCAATCAATACTATTTTCTAAGTAGAAGTTGAATAACCTAAGCATACAGGTGAACCTTAAAAATTAAACGAATCAAAAATAACTCACTTGCTCGAATGTTGTCCAGTTTGCTGATTCCAAGGAGAAAACAAATTGAATCGAGAACGTTAGACTTTCCACTTCCATTGTATCCTGAGAAAATTATGTTGGAAACTGATCATTAGATTTAGCAGGAAGCTTTTAACAAAACAAATTTTTAAAAATATTACATACCTGTGATCGCATTGAATTGCGGTGAGAAAGGGGCGATTTCGGTGTGCTTCTGGTACGATTTAAAGCCATCCAATTGGATGGATTTAATGTGCATTTTGAGCACACCTGAATGAAATCAACGAGAAGACTGCTTCAGTTACCAACGTTGCTGTGAGATAATGAAAGATGAATGCACGTGTTTGAATGGATTTGGCGCGCTTCCAAGTCCGCAATGTTGAACGAGGTGGTGTTTGCACTATTGGATGAATCATGCTTTACGCGCAAACGACAGTTTTCTTTTTTTTTCGCTAATCTGCAAGTTTTCCAGATAAATATTCAAATGGAAAATGTTGAGCTTTTAATGGATTCTGAGAAAGAAGAAACGGTCTCGTCCAGGCAAAATCTAGAGGAACAGCAAGAAGAAAATATTCCCGGGTACGACATTTATTTTTGAATGTTTCATTTAATTGACACACCTACAGGTCGTCTCCAGAAGGGGTTTTCACTCATCAAGAAAATAATATTTTTGAAGCGATTGGTAGTCAAGATGATCTTGCGCAACATAGCATTCCTTTATCAGCAGAAGAATTGAAACATGACGAAGAAAACGTCGATCAGCAAGCAGATGGTTTAGATCAGAGAGAGCTTATCGTTGAGGATGGCGATCAGCAATACGAGGTTTTTTTAAATCCAAAAGTTTGAAAATTTCATACATTTCATTTCAGAACATGGTGCAAATTACATCTGAAGACATGTACGCAGCTGGATTTGAAATGGAAGATATAAATAATTTAACAGAGGAACAGTTGAGTGTTGTTGTTGCAATCAGCCAGGAAAGACAAGCCAAACAAAACGATCAAGAAGAAGTTGTTGAAGAAGATTCTCATGATCATATGATTCATCATGACACGCTCGGGAACAATTTCGGACGGAATGAAGCCGGTGGTGATGCAAATCAATATCCAAGAGACGAGGATGAGGAACATGGTCATATGGATGATGCGTCGATGCATATAATTCTTACCCATGATGGAGGTGTGAACATAACCGATTCAAAACAGCAACAGTTCTATGTGAGATTGACCATAATCATACATAATCCAGAAAAATTGAATTGTAGATTTCGGCAGCTGAAATCGCGACTCTCAACATTGATCTGAATAATTTGAGCCATGAAAATGTGAATCAACTTTTGCAGATAGCTTTGCCATCGATGTGAGTGGAACCATCTAACTAACTAACTAAATATGCATTTTTCTTATTATAGGAAAGAAGGAAACGATATAAAACAAGAAGACACCTACAACCGGGAGGAACTCGATCAAGCACCTTCTACGAGCTATCATCATCATCAGCATCATCAAAATCACAATCCTGATATTGATAATAGTAAACGTCTACTCTCTCCTAGTTTTTTCAAATGGTATATTTTTCAGAGAGTTCTAAAAATGGGTTAATTGGGGAGACAGTGCAGATTCGAACAGCAGATGGCCAACTTCAAGATGCTGTTGTTAAATATAGCCGAGGGAATTCAGAATATAAAGTAAATAATAAACTTAAGAATCTTGTTATCATCAAGAACCCATTTTCAGATTCAGTTTATGAATGGGGAGTTCGCCTATGCTAATATCGACCAGCTGTTTCATCAAAGAATACTGAATGATCATGACAACTACCAAATGGCAAATCCAGCACCTATGACGATCCGGAGATCAGATGTCGCTCATCTTGCTGCACAGAAAAGAGCTGCACCTTCAACTGATGATTTATGTCCTCCTGTTCTGAAACGGTCCTACCACCTAGCGCCGGTTGTAGACGGTCCTCATCACACACCTAACTTCTGTTGTCCAATTTGCGATAAGAAGGTGATAGTTTTTATTCTCGATATTTCCTGAATGACTGCTTCCGTTTCAGGTATTTCAAAAAGAGCCTTCTTACATAGTAATTCGATTACCAGCGTGCGATTCCTGTACTCGTGAGAAGATCATTGTGCTGGACGAACAGAACAGCTGACACATAAAAGTTTATATATCACTTGTTCAATAATCATTTTATGTTGCCTATTTTTCACAGTATCATATATATTAAGACATAATCTTATACATTTATTCTTCTTATACAGATTCATTCACAAAAAAGGTAAGACTGGCAGAAAGTAATTTTACACGAACTTTAACTTTTCACGACTGAAGGACATTTACTTCTTGGAACCCTTCATAATGAATGCTGCAATAGCTTGGTGGCATTCCTTTGACTGCCAACGTTCAGCGATCAAATCACATTCCATCTGAAAATTAAGTAGGAAGATTCTTGTGCTGAAAAGGACAGAAACGTACGTCGTTAACCTTCAGAAGTTGATCTTTGTGGAATGAACGCAACAATGTCTTGTTTATACGGAGACTCTCTGGTGGAAGTTGAGAGAACGACTCGATGGCCTTTTGAGACTGATCTTGGAATTCGTTATCTGGCACCACTTCATTGATGAGCCCGTAATCTTTTGCAGTGTGTGCTGAAATCTTCTTGCAAACCAGTAGAAGTTCAGATGCTCTCAGTGATCCCATGATAAGTGGGAAAGTGTAGCTAGAAGCTCCTTCTGGTGACTGTCCAAGTGGAGCGAACGGAGTGTGGAAGGAGGATTTGTCGGTCGCGATGACGTAGTCAAACATTCCGAGCACTGTAACAGCGATACCAACGGCGGGCCCGTTGATCAAACCAATTAGTGGCTTTTCGTGTTTAATGTAAGCCTGAACAAAAATGAATTCGAGTGAAAGCAACAAAAAAACTCACATCAACATAGTCGTGAAGAACAACCTTAGCAGTATTCGCCATCTCAGCCACTTGTTCCTTACTTCCTCCAGCGGCTGCTTTGAAATTGGTCAAATCATTTCCAGAGCAGAAGTATGGTCCGTTGGCAGCAATCACTGTGATAGATGTTGATTTATCCTGGTTAGAAACTTCCAAAGCTTTTTGAATCCCTTTGTACATGTCGAGGGTCAATGCATTGAACTTCTTTGGTCGGTTCAATGTGATTTTGAAGATTTTTCCTTCCTTCGATACGGTCAATCCATCAACATTTTCCAGACCATCAATAGAAGGACCAGTTGGTTCTGGAGTTGAAGCGGCTTCCTCAGAAACAAGTCCACCAATAAGTTTTGCATAGTTAGCACGAGCTTCATCCTAAAAAAAACCATATTTACTGTCCGATTTATAAAACTGCCACCAGCGTGTTTGCATACTCAGTAAAAGATACCTGCTTTTTTATTCTGAATGCAAACACGAAGTGACAGTTTTTTTATTTTGATATTATAACCAAATTGAATTAGTTCAGCGAACCTGTGACTGCCCTTTCACACTATTCCATGCATCAAACTTCGCGCGTCCGACAAAATCGATCATCCCTGGGCGTGTCCCTTGAACATCTCCGACAGTCGCCTGCTTGAAGAGAGCATAAATCTTTAATTTAACGTCATTATCTGGCTCCTCTTTCAAAGTCTTTAAGTTTTTTTGGGCTTTCTCGAAGTCAGCTTGCGAAGAGAAAAATCGGGCGCCTCTGAAATTGTAAACAAAATATTTTTCGGCAGACAAAACGTATGCTCACATCTGGGGATTATGAAAAACGCTCCTTGCGGCGGAAGACAGATTTCGAAGCATTCTGAAAGGAAAGAATCGTAAAATATGTGGAGACTACTCCAAACGTGGATACAAACAAGTGGAAACCTGGAGAGAAAAGTACGAAGTACACGAGGCCGGGAAACTGAGAGGATGATAAGAACGGCGGCCGTCGCGTTGTTGTTTTGAAGAAACCAGCTACACACAAAGCTACGCGTAGTATTTGTATTGTGAAGCTACATCAATACTTTTAAATGTAGCGAGATATCATTCTAACAGTGAGAATTGAAGTTGAAAAAAGAAGAAAACCAATTATTAAGCTTCGACCAAAAAATTTAATTACATTAAAAAGGTTAAACTTGTTAGAAAAACGGTGATTTGCCAATTTAGAAAACAATAAAAATGCAAAAAAAAAGGAAAATTTGCCAGCAGTTCCGAGAGCACACTAACTGGGAGGAAAAGAAAAAGTGGGAAGAACCATCTGGGAGGAAAAATGGGCGGAGTCGGGAGCGGGGCCTAATTTGCAACCCTGGCACGGTTTTGCCGCATGGTTTATTTTTACCATTTGGTACCTGGTCATGAAAAAAACCGTGCGGCAAAACCGTGCCAGGATTGCAAATTAGGCTCCGCCCCCGACTCCGCCCAATTTTCCTCTTTCTTCCCACTTTTTGTTTTCCACCCAGTTGGTGTGCTCTCGCAGTTCCAAGTACTGTAAAATTTTGAAGGAACAGGGTGGAATCCTAGTAATGGTCTCGAGCGGATAAAAATATTTTTGCATACGACTGTTTCGAGATTGAATTTGGCAAGAAAACGACACGAAATTTGAAAATCTGGCACATGTTCGAATTGTTTCTTACAATTAGGGTTTCTTTTTTTGGCAATTGAAAAGCTTTACCGAGCGGTACCTGTTAGTTGATATTTATTTAACTTGTGATAAGAGAAAAATCACAAAAAAGAGTTCAGATGAAAAAAAAATTTATTATGGTCTATTCACTGAAGCTCAGGGCGGGTGAACCAATGAAGATAGAAATTAACAGAAACTAGAGCATACACTGAAAATGGGTTCAAAAACAGCTAGAAGTTGAAATGATCGAGAAAAAAAAGACTTTGGAAAAGAAAATTACGAAATTGGAAAAAAAAATAGTGACCCTGTAATTATCATTGAAAAAATTTAAACGAGGCGAAAAGGATAAGATGAAAGGCTTGAATTCGCTGCCTACAAAATGCATAAAATTGCTCGCCTAAATAATTGAACAAAAGAAGGAATCCACCGAGAATCCTGAGTTGAGATTTGGATTTTGAATCGAATTGAGAAAAAAATGAAAATATAACAGTATAATTATAAGCGGCACACAGAAATTGAGCATTTTTGAAAGAAAGGAATGAATATGGGAAATTCTAAAAGAATTTTTGACAAAAAAAATAGAAAAAATACACCCCGTAGATTATGAATAGATTTTTTTGATGGAAGATTATATATTAGAATGTATCACAAAATTTAATGAAAGTTAGTTAGAACTGCTCCGAATTATTGTTGGGGAATGCTGTGGGGGCGAGCGATTTGAAGATATAGTCGTTCGCCAGAAGCTTTGACAAATGTGACAGCGGAGAGCTAAAATAAAAAAAGGAATTGAATTTAAAATGAAAATAATTCATACCTGATCTGTAACCGGCAACGCATTCACTGCCAAAATGCGGTCTCCCACTTTCAATTTCTCGGCGGCAGCTGATCCAGGTTGAAGGGAAGTGACCAGAATTCCTCGTGTTCTTTTACCGATTCCCATTCCGAGTTGTTGATCGACAAGCTGAAAATTTTCAATGATTTTACTAACAGTCAGGAAAAAAAGAGAAAAAAAGGATTTACCTTTTTCAATTCAACTAGCAATGTGTCACTTCCTTCCTCCTTCAAATCATGAATAATGTCAATTGCCAGAGAGTTGTTGTTATTACTGCTGGATGTGGTTGTGGTTACAACTGGTCGTTCTCGTTCTCGTTCTTCCTCCTGGACACTCGCCTAAAACACTCTCCATTTTATATTCTAGACAAAAAGCTAAAAAACTTACAAAATCATTTCCAGATGATGGTTCTTCTGTAACCGGAGAGAGACCAGCTGGCTCTTGCTGAATTTCACATCCTTCTGGAGAGGTATGCGTGATGATTGGACGCATTGGTGGAGCTGGTGGAGGTACATCCGTTCTTTCTTCCCGAGTCGGTGCTGTCTCAACTACCACGTTAGGCTCCGGCAGTGCATTTGATGACGTGGTAGCTGACGTACTTGGAGTTGAAGCGGCTAATGGAGAGGTGGTTGTGGTGAGAGCCACCGGTCTAGCGGGGTCGTTATTATTCTCATTTGTCTGAACAGAATTGTATATGAGCAAAAAAGATTCATCTAGAAATTATAGAGTAACCGTATAGGTAAAGTGCTGGTGTGAGATATGAAGTGGTGCAAAAAACGGAATCGGTTAGATATATCAAGAAATTAGAACCAGCACTTTGTCTATGGTATTACTGTAATTGAGGTAAGCACGTGCAGAATCGGCCCAAAAAATGAATAAAAATGAGAGATTATATATGGATAGTGAGAAGGTGAGAAGGTGCGTCCAGGTTTCAATTCAAAAAATAAGAGGAAGATTTCGCTACGAATTGAAAATTAGAACAATAATAATGAAAAGATAAATATTGACATGAATCTACATGCGTTTTTGCAGCTAGTGGAAAATAAAATGTTTAAGTGAATCGAAATGAAAACTGAATGCATCATAATCATCATCATTATCAACTAGTATTGTGAAACTTGTGATTTTTTGGTTGCGGCCTGCCATTCGACACTGTGCTTACCTTTCTACCAACCCTTGGAGTCGTCGCCGATTTTGCCAATGCTTGCGTTGCAGCGTGCACTCGGTTCGCTGTTTCTGTGATCTTCCATCGGCCGAGCTGCAAGATATGGAGGGTTTAGAAATTGAATTTAGAAATTTTAGGTTTTTAAAAATTAGAGTTGCAAATATTCCAAATTGATAGATTAATGCTCTTATAGAAGGGCACCCTATTAAGTGCACTGTGAGCTCAACTATCTCGGTTGCCATAAAATATAACAAAAAGTAGTCAACTGATAGAGTATTCACCATAATGTCACTAGTATTTTACCAGTTGACGGATTCTTGATATCTTTCATGTGAACCGAGATAATTGAGCTCAAGTTGACGGTTTGGGTGGGCTTCTATTAGAGCATTTACGGTATGAGGCTATTCAGAAATCTTGAAACTTTACAATGAATTTGGAACTCTATAAATCAAATTCTATCAGGAAAGTATTTGGATCTAGAATCCTCTCAAATTGACACATGAGATTTTTTATCTGAAAATATGTTTTTGTGAAGTTCCCACTTGCTACTGTAAATTCTCAAAAACTAACTTTTTTCCCGATCTTCAGGATTGAAAGCTTATTTAACTTTTACCTGTTTCTCACAAACATGTTCTGGAATCCAAATACAGGTCAAAAATTCATAAACGAAAAATACCGAAAAAAAAACCTTAAATGGACAATGTCAAGTTTTGAACTCATTTCTCTTGGCTCATGTGCGAGATATTAAAAATTTGTCAACTAATAAAACATTTTTGATATTTTGATGAACAATTTATCAGTTGACAATTTTTTTATATCTTTGGTAGGAACCAGGATAAATTGGCTCGAAGTTTGAAGTTAGGGCGCTTTTCTTTACAGGTTTTATGGTAGAAATCTTTTTTTTCTAACCTTCAAATGAACTTTTCCAGTGATCGTCTTCAACATAGCGGCCACATCTTCTTGCATACATCCTCTGACATCTTTTCCATTTACTTCCAGAATTTGATCTCCAGTCATCAGTCGTCCATCTGATTCTGCCAATCCCCCTTTCACGATTTCACTGACATAGACACCCGGTTCATTTTTTCTTCCAACTATTGATATTCCAAGACCTCTTCCAGTTTTCTTCACTAAATCTATTTCAAATATATTATAGATTTGTGTTGGATCAAGTAACGATAACTGCAGATTCACATCTCGATAAATCAGTAACCGAACTTTCGGAGGTGTTCTTCTGAGGTAAGCAATCGACTGATCATGTGTGACTCCTCTTAACGACGTTCCATTTACTTCTAGAACTTGATCTCCAGGTTTCAGCCGTCCATCGTGTGCTGCTGCTCCATCCGAATAAACTTCATGAATGACTACCGTACCCAAAACAGTATCTGCTCCACCGACAATCGAAAGACCCAATCCTTTACCATCCTTGTCGATCTCAATCATTGTTTCTCGTGCGTTTTCGATGGCTTGCGTTCGTTCTATTGAAAATGACTTCTTCCGGCTTAATTCTGAAATAAAATGAAACGTTGAACTGCATTCTCCCTTCAGTTTTTTCAGAAACCTTCATGTTTGGTCTTCAAAAAAATCCAGAAATATTTTTGTTTTTTCCACATACAGTACCGGACAAAAGGTTGTAAACGCCAAGTTTTTTGAGCATACTACTTTTTGAGAGCAGATATCGAACCAAAATTTTCACCAAATATTTCGGTAAAGGGTTGCCAAATCGTGGCCAAGTTTCATACAAAAATTTGAAAAAATAACGTTTTTTTTGAGAAAAAATTGAATTTTCGAAAAAAAATCAAATTTTGACCCAAATTTTTCAAAAAAGCATAATTTCCGAAAACCACTTTTATTCAACACCAAACATATAAAAAATAACAAATTGAATCTAATATTTTGTTGCAAAGCCACGAGAGTCAATGACAGCCTGACATCTGCGCTGCATGGAGTCGAGCAAATTGTCGATTACTGTCTGTGGGATCTTCTTCCATTCCTCTTCCAGTTGTTGGTACTTTTCGTCCACATTTTTGGCTTTTTCCCTGCCAATCTTCTCTCCAGCTCATCCCATAGATTCTCGATCGGATTGAGGTCCGGGGACTGGCTTGGCCAATCCATAACGCGAACTCTGCGGCTAAAGAACCAATCCTAAAATCGAAAATACTTTGAGACATCAGAATCTTTTGTACCTTGACGAATTTGGAAGTGTGTTTCGGATCGTTATCCTGTTGGAAAACGATCCCACGACCCATGGCTTTGTAATGTGGCAGCATTTTGGATTCTAGGATATCCTTGTAGACGTAGCGATCCATGATAGTTGTGATGCGATGAATCGGTCCGATGCCTTTTCCGGAAAAGACACCCCAGACCATACAGCTGCCTCCACCGTGCTTGACGGTTGGTAATTGGTATCTGGGATCATACCGAGAGCCAACTGGACGCCGCATCCATTGAATCCCGTCGCTTCCGAAAAGCATGAACTTGCTTTCGTCCGACCACAAAACCTGGTTCCAATCTTGACGAGTCCAATTGAGGTGTTGCTTCGCCCAGGCAACTGTGGCTTTTCTGTTCTTCTCCGAAATGAACGGCTTCTTAACTGGACGTCTTCCCATGATTCCAGCTGCTCTCAAACGACGTTTGACGGTCGAGGTCGATGGGGAAACCGGACTAATCAATAATACCTCCCGTCCAATCGCAGGCGCAGTCAATCTTGGATTGCTTCTGGAGACGCGGGCAATGTTGATATCATCCAGATGAGAAGTGACACGTGGGTGGCCGATATGATACTTTACTGTTTTACATCCGTGGCTCTTCCAGCGCTTCAAAAATCTAGAAATGCATGGTTTTCCTACGTCAAACTGAGAAGCTAGATCTCCAAGAGATGCTCCATTTTGGTGTCCCCGAAAAATGGCTTTTTGCTCCTCAACGGTCAAGTTACGCTTTTTCCCAGCTCTTGGCATACCTGAAAACTAAAAGCTACTAAAAAAACATTGAAAACATTGATAAATTTTGAAAAAAAATAGGTCTGAAAAAAAGGGCGAAAAACCCGATTTTTTCGAAAAACTGAAAAATCTGCAGAATCGCGTCAGCGTGTTTGCGTACAACTCGCTGACCGTAGTCATACCTTTTGACTTGCCCCTGTAGTTACCAGAAAAAAAATCACGGAATTCGGTTGGGTATTCGTTGAGTTATGCTCGAAAAACCCTGCGTTTACAACCTTTTGACCGGTACTGTAGTTGTGTCATCATCTAATTAATAACAGGTTCTTGGTTTTCCTTTCAAAATTTTTCCCTTATTCATTTTTCAATAAAAAAAGTACCTTCTTGATTTGGAGCCGCATTTTCAATGCCTTCCGTAGTTGGTGGCATTTGTGCAGTCGTTGACTTCTGTAAAAAAGATGCAAGTCATCAAGAAAAGCTGTTTTTTGTGAAATTGGGAAAAATAAAAATGGAATGGAAGAGGGATTGGAATGGTCAAAGAAGTAGGTAAAATAAAACGGAGAAGAGCATTCTCTCTCTCTCTCTCTCTCTCTCTCTCTCTCTCTCCCTCTCTCTCTCTCTTCCCACAAAACGAAGACGTCGCTTTCAATTTCCGGTAGAGAACCATCATGTGTTGTCAATCAAGAGCCAGTATAGGCTCCTCCCCACTCCACATTCTTTGGAATTAAGTGAGCTGAGAGTAATTATTGAATAATAGTAAAAGGGGAAACAAAAATTGACCAAATGGAATGAGTACTGAGAAAAATCGAAGAAGAAGTAGAAGGGGCCCGTTTCTTTCTGTTTCTTTCTCATTCTCTCCTTTTTTTTCCGGGGCTAGCCTATTCGGATGAAAATCGAGACGAGAGTAAGTGGGCGCGAGTTGAGTTGAGTTGTTGCATAGCCTAGGCGGGTACTCGGGACCCCCGTCATGCCCATACACATAATCTCACATTCCTTCGAGCTTGAAAAGAAGAAGAAGAAGAAGAAGACATATAAGAAGAAGAAGAAGAAAAAAGAAGGCAACTGCTAAAGTTGTATCTTTTTCTCACTTGAGATAGAGAGAGAAAGAGGCGAGAAAGCGATTTTTTGATAAATGAACTCCTTCTGCAAAACGAGGATCTGATGACGTTAGGAGCAGAAAAAAGAAAAAGAAACTCAGCACGTCTTAGTCCTGGATAAGAGTTTCTGTTCAAGTGCAAATTGCGATAATTCTGGACTATGATGAGAGTATGACGGTGATGCTGAGATATAAACGAAATTTGTCTCCAGAGAATACAATAAATAGAAATTGGGGAAAGGAGCGTTCGCTTGGGAGGAAGAGAACAATCTAAAACAAACAATTACCGATTCTGATGGATGAGTCAATTGACATCAAACACCATGGTGGCAGAAGAAGGAAGAAAAAAGTTGAGTTCTAGGAAGGAAAAAAAGGGGGCCGATTGGAAAACAATGGAGACAAACGGAACGTTAGATTCGATTCAAGATAGAGGCTGAAACTCTTTTTTTTTCCATTCTAGGTTCTGAGAAAAATTGGGAGCGTTGTCTATTTCTATAACTTTTCGGGACGAGTTTGATCAAGTTTTACTGGAATCTCGGAGCTCATTTCAGATCCGGCTCTGACTGGATTATCTTAATGCACGGAAGATGCAAAAATGATTGTTTGATGCACATTTTAAGAAAATTGAAAGATTTGATTTTGGTCATTTTCGTCTGGAGCTCAGCTGCCAAATTTCCAATCACTTTGAAAATTTTGGAGGTTATAAAACATATCTAGATTGAAAACTTTGCATTTGCAGAATTTTTCGAAAATGCCTAGTTTTTCAGCTACTTGCCGATTTTTGAAAGACAACTGCTTTTTTCACTTTCTCAGTACAAAAATAGGAAAAAGGAATGTCCTTCAGAAATCGGCAAATAACTGAAAATCTAGGAATTTTCAAAAAGTTCTGTGGGTGCAAAGTTTTCAATCTAGGTCTGTGTTATAACCTCCAAATTTCCCGACACTTAACAGCCGAGCTCTAGACTTTTAAAAATGGTCAAAATCAACTGAAAAACGCGTTTTTCATATATTTATGGCTCACACTGTAGATATTGAATCGGTAAAGCTAGATCAGAAAGATCACAACTAGGTCCATGTAGTCTAATTTCTTTTTTCTCACGTTATAACCAAACTAAACTTGAAACTCCAGTCTAGAGAAACAAGAAGAAGGAGGAAACGAAGCATTCTGATTCAAAAGACATGTACATATAATTAGGTTTCCGGTAACCATTCCGAATCGGTTTCCAAGGTGATGTATATATGTTTTTGAAAACAAGAAAAAATGCGGGGGAGAAGAAGCGGAATTCGCTAGAAAAGAAAATCAGAAAACCATGTAATTAAAATGATGAATTTCTTTTTGAAACTTTACAGAAATCTCAAAATAGTAAAAAAAAATTAGAAGGTGATAATCCTGATCCGTTTAATCTGATGTATTGAAAAAGTGGGTGCGAAAAAGAAGACGTTGACGAAACAAGGAAAAGAAGACAACTTCTTTTTTTTTCTTTTTTTTTATATAAAAAAACCGACGAGTAAATCTGGCTAATGGTGTGTGGCAAGAATACAAGAGATAGTTCGGATTAAACGGAGAGTACAGACAAACGGAGCAGCTCTGCGCCTTGTTTAAGCTTCGCGGACTGCGACGTCGCCACTGAAGACGACGACGACGACTACACACGCAACGACGATATTTGAATACACGGGTAGGCAGAGGCTGGAGATGGAGAAGGAAAACAGACAACGAGGGTGAAGTTGTGTTAGGTCTTTCTCTTTTTCTGTGTGTCCCAAAAAACTTCTAGAAAAGAAACAAGGCCTTCAGAAGGCAGATGACGACGACGATGGAGAAGACGGAAAGTCAACCCAGTCAAGCGGATAGAAAGAACTCTTGCTCCTGAAACTCAAATCGTCTTCTAGATTCTTCTGGACGACCTCCGAAAACTTTTTGGTGGGTCCGTGTTTACATTGGGCTTGATTATTTACCTCGTCTGCCCTTCTTCTTCTTCTTTTTCTGCTTATTCTTCTTCTCCTTCTACTTTTCATTCACACAAAAACGTATCGCCTTTCAAATATCCTTGTCGGGTTTCAGAAGTCTTATGGACAAAGACAAAATTTAAAAAAAAGAGAGAATATGAATGCAAAGTGGAATAGACAAAATCAAATAAAATGGAAAATATAAAAAAAGGAAAAAAGAAGCGACGGAAAACTTGTTTGTGTGTATTGAAAATTTTGATAAATAATTCAAAAAGTGACTGGCGAAAGAGAGGGAGAGAGAAGGGAATGGAATGATTTTGACGGGCAAAAAAAAGAGAAAAAGAAGAAGAAGAACTCACTGATTCAGAGGAAGCCGTTGGCGTCGGAGAGATCGGAGGTGATGGAAGAGATTGACTGCTGGTGACGGTGTCACTCCGTACTGCGCATTCGTTCTTCAATAGATTATGAATGGAAACATTCAAAACAACGAAAAAGTCACTCACCAATGCACCATTCCTTCTTCTCAACACTATTTCTATGTTCTGATGTTGATCACAGCACTCTCTGACTACTGCCGACGCGGCGACATGAGAAATTTTGTTGAGAAGACGTCCGTTGATTTCAAGAAGTTCATCTCCTGGGCGGATGGCTAGCGGACAGGAAGGTCTGACATTCACAACGAAGACGTTCTGTTTTTCACGATCTCTGAAAAAATTTAATATCTTGAAGATGTTAATCTAGCACGAAAACCCGGAGCTGTGGACGAGAAACAGCGGTGGCCGAAGGTCCCACAACAACAACTACCGTAACGTAATATTTTTTCTTTTGGATTTATTTTCCCGATTTTTGCGCATTTCTGTCAATTTTTTCAGACTTTTTTGGGGAAAAACATCAGAAAAAGCGACGGAAAGCAGTGAAAATAAATTATGGCAATGAAACATTTCTAGGTTACTATAGTTGTCGTTGTAGGACCTTCGCACAGCTCCTCCCACAAGTCTTAGCGAATACAAAGAATAATGTGCTCGGAGACTTATGCTAGACTTGTGGGAGGTCTGGCCAAGTATTGGCGCCGACAGCCGAGAAAAAAAAATCATTTGCAGGGATTTTTCAGATGAAATGCTGGAACTTTTCGATTTAGATTAAATATTTTTTTCAAAATATGTGCGCCACAAAACTTGAAGTTTTCCAGCGACGAGATTCTGAAAAACTTACTTATTTCCAGCCAACGATATGCCAAGACCTCCTTCCGGTCTCTCACACGCCACCAGAACGAGTTCACCACCTTCCGAATCGTATTTCCTTTCAATTTTTCCAGGTGTATAATGAAAATTCGATGGTTCCTCTCCATCACTTTTAATTTGAAATGCAGCCGAATCCTCATCGATTCCCATAGATCGCATCGTTTCAGCCAACTTTCCACTTGTATCGAAAGACGTCGATGGAGACATCGTTTGTGGTTCGTCGTCGTGAGTTTCAGAACTGCTCACATCTGATACGATGAGTGGAGCTGTTTCATTGGATGGAGATTTTTTGATTGAATCCTTCTTTTTGACACTTTTCACACTTTTCTTACTTTCAACAGACATCTGACGTTCTCTATCTCTTTCCAAACTTTTTTCCTTGACTGAAACCTTTTTAGGTGGAGGTGTTGCTTCCTTCTTCGTTTCTTTTTCTTCTTCCTTTTTCTCTTCTTTCTGAATCTCAAGTTCTTTCTTTTCCTCCACTGTTTGCTCAACCTTATCCGCTGTCTGATCTGTACTCTTCCGTTTTACAGTATTCTCTCTTTGAATTTCAGGAGACGAACACTCTTCCTTTTGGCTTTCAGATTCCATTGAAGTTGTAGTAGATGTTGAGATGGATGGAGGTGGAAACGAGGTCACCTGTTTTGATGGTGAGCCAGCCATCGTTGGTTTCAGTGGAGTGATCAGAGTAGTTGGTGGTTGTTCATTGTTCTCCTCTGGTTTTGAGTTTTCAAATCTGACAGATCCAACGGTAGAATTCGATGCAGAGTTTATCATATTTTGTTGATTTGTATGGAGTGATTGAAGAACGAAACGAACGGGATTAGAAGCATTTTTGATTGCATTCACTGCCTGTTCATGAGTAGCATCTTTCAAATCCACGTCGTTCACCTAAAAAGATGTTTTTCAGAGAGGCTTTTCAACGAAAAACTTACACTAATAACTCGATCTCCCATATTCATCTGTCCACTTCTTCCAGCTGGACTATTCGGAAGGACACTTTTGATGAATATACCACATACAGTATTTCCAGTTCCTGGTAATCCTCCCTTTTGGGATACTTCCACGCGTCCACCAACGATAGAAATACCAAAAGACTTGTTGGGTTCTCGGACCAAAACGACTGTTCTGGCTTCTCCCCAATATTTTGCTCGAGTTAATTGGCGGGCCTGGGACTTTGTTAATTAAGTTTTTTCTAATTTTTTAGTTTTTCAGCTCTCACCTGATTCTGATAACTCTCAGATCCGGTAGATGGTGTTCTTGAAGTGACCCGAGACATATTCGGTTCACTGGTGTTGTTGAGAACTTGTGTCTGTAGAGCAACCGACTGCTGACTAATTGAGGTCGTCGTCGATTCGTTTTCTTTTCCTATTGCTTCTGTTGGCGTCGACGTGGTTGCTGCTTCTGCTTCTGCCACATCCTCTGCTACTTCTTTCACCACCACAACGCCTTCTTCTACTTTCTTTTCTTCTGGCCTTCTCTCCTCAGAAGACTCTGTTGTTACAACTTCACCTGCTAATTTGATGCCACTCGGAGAAATCGATGGTGGCACTTGAGATTTATTTTCCGGCGACGAAGGAGATGACGTGGTCTCGTCGGTTGCCTGTCGAACCTCCTCTTCTGTAGATAAGATGTGAAGTTGAGATGTTCTTTGACCCTGATGGTATTCAGCAGAAGCCGCGGATCTGGTGAGGAGGGATTCTGGTTCTCGTGGACTCGGATGGACTGTTGCAACGGGACTTTTTGGTAAAGTCGAGATAACTTCAGCTGGTGGAGGTGGGAGAGGAGGAGATTCCGATCTTTCTTCTCTCTGAAATTGGTTTTTAATTCAGAGAAAATCAACATTCATGATTGAAACGATCTTTAGTGTTATTCCATCCCTGGAGGATTAAAATTTCTATCACTTATGTAATTTTGAGAGGCTTCGAAAACTAATTTCGAGAATAGAATTCAAGAAAGTTCAGATCTTCGGCGTATCATATTTTTCTGGGAGTCAAGTTGTTTGTTTTTAAATTTTAGTTCAGGAAAAAAAAGAAATATACATCTCTGAATAAAACTGATCTCATAAGGATTAATCCAAATATATTTACTGGATCATTATATAAACTATCAATCTATTGGAGATTAGATATTGACACTTCTGGCCAGTAAAATAAGAGAATCTGACTTTAAAAGTTATATAAAAAGTAGTTTTAGTATCCATTGCTAATCCTCAAACCAAAAAAGAAGAATAGGATTGCCATTCGGAAATCAATTCTCTCTCTAGGGCTCTTTTTTGGCTGAAATTCGATTACCTTGTGGTTCGCTGTGCTGCTCCAATCCTTTGTTTTGTGCAACACACTCAGTTCAATGGATGCATCAGCAATGGCCTCCTAAAAATGAAATTAGTTGTACATGGAGAAGAAAAATTTAGGAAAAGTTTGTCTTATTGATATCTGGGTAAGTTTGAGATACAAACAGGTGAAATATCTAGATCTAGATTGCTTGAAAGATGAAGAAAATTATGAAAAGGAGGGGAAAGAGAAATTATAAATCTATTAGCAGGATGTATGAGTGAGAGAGAGTGAGAGAGAGCATGAGCAAAAAGGCGGGGATTTGACAGAAAACTAAAGAAGGCGTTGGAAAGGGAAAGCCTGTGGAGGATTATCAGTGAAAAGAGAAGAAAAACGAAGAGAAGAGCCAGACGTCTTCATTTTCTTGAATCGATCTGCATAGAGGAAAAACGGGGAAGATGAAGAAGAAGAAATATATAGATAATTCCACGTCATTTCGGATCAGTCGAGCGAAAGACGAAGACTCTAAAGATGGGAAAAGAGAGACTCACTTTGATGATCAAGTTGACAAAATCATCTACTTCCACTCCATCAATTAAACGACTCATTCGATTCCGAACTTCTTGTTCTGTTCTCGTCGTTGTTCCGCTACTTTCAGCGACGTCCAAATGCTGAAATAGTCGGGATGTTTGATAAATGTAGTTCTCGTATTTTTCAATCTGATAGTAACTACTGTAGTTTGGAAGAGCCTTCAAGAGATCCTGTGAAAGATATCAAAAATTGTCAACTGATAAAATATTGATTATGTTATGAATCATAACATAATCAATATTTTATCATTTGACAATTTTTTAACATCTTTCACAAGAATTGAGATAATTGAGGTCATAGTTGACGGTTTGAGTGGACTTCTGTTATAGGAAATACGGTAAGTTTATTGAAGAAAAAAACAAATAACTGAAGAGAGACTTTTGGTGAGCCCAATTATTTTAAGGGATAGAATTTTTGAGCAAGTTTTTGCTCATTTAGATTCATCAAAGATTCAAAAAACTGGAAATATGAAGCAATTTCGTTTAAAAAGTTGTAGAAACCCAAAAGTTTTCTGAATAGAAACGAAAAGTTTTGAATTCCAACTGACTGTGTTTCCCCGAAAATGGGCAGCTCAAATACGATTTGAACTGAATATATTCTAAAATTTCTTTTAAACGGAATAGTAAATTATTATTCTTTTTTCAATATTTCCGATTTCAATTTTTTTCTAGACCAAGTCAAAATATTCTTAAGCTCACCTTCAACTGCCCAACTTCTGACATCGAATCAGTCATAATCGAGGGAGCTTCCGTCTCATCGTCAGTCATTTCGGTCTTCGACTGACTCTCCTGCCTTTGCATAAATGGACTCCGATAGAATTTAGGGAATACTCTGAAAAATTGGAAAATAGGACTGAAAAATATATAACTTTGTATCTCTTTACTAACTTTGGCGAAAGTCGATTAATAATCGGAGAGGACGACTCGGAAGGCCGTTGAAACCTCTCTTTCCAAGTTTTCGCATCCGCTGATGTGATGTATGTGACACTGAAATTGAAAAGGAGAAGATGAAGTGGAAGAAGAAGAAGAAGAAAAGGGAAAGAAGAAGAAGAAGAAGAGCCAAATGCTAATTAGTAGTACTAGGAAAGGAAAGAAATGATGAGTCAAGAGAAAGCGAGAAAGTGCACACCAACATACTTGCAAAAGGTTCCCACTAGATTCGTCCGCTTCAGAATTGCTCTTGCTTGTGAATTTGTCACATTCCGCAACGATTCCGTATTAATCTTGGTGATGAAGTCGCCGACCTGCAAATGAACGATTTCCATAAAACAACTTTTGAAGCTGTTCACCTGAATCCTTCCATCCAATGCTACCGCCTTCTTTCCGCAGATACTTTTCACAACACACCCGTTTACACCCTTGTCTTTATCACCATCTAAAACTATTCCTAATGGAAGTGCTCCTTTTTGAAGTTTGACAGTTCTTTCAAGATGTGTTGGAAGAAAGACGACGTCATACGCCCAGGATCCTCTGAAACATTAATATAATGTACAATAGGTATTCGTTTTTTTGCAGTGTTTTTTGAGAACAATCGAACAAATTATAACTTTTGTGGATATGGGAACTGTGAAAATGCCCCTTTAGAGCGATTCTTCAAAATTTCAAGAATTAAGCTCTGACAATTATATAGTGTTTTAATGTTTGAATTTCCTAGACCAGCGAATTTTATGCAATAGAGAAGTCCCGATATTCACCTGGTGTGCTTTCTAAGCCATTTTACATGACTGCCTATTCCACAATTCGGGGTACAAAACTTGAATTTTTCAGCCATTTTGTTGTCCCGGGTTGAGGATTTCGTACCCTAAGTCGCTTTGTACATCAATGACCTCAAAATTTTTGTAACCTCTGAATTATCTGCCCTAAAACACTCCAGGTGAATACCAGGACATTCTAGGCCATAAACGTTGCTGGCCTTAAAAGTTCATCTCGATAAAGTTCGACCACCATTATGAATAGTATAGAAAACATATCCTATGAATGTTAGGCCATTTCTAGACAATCTTTTACGTTTTTCCAAGGTTCTTACCTCAATGAAATCGGCGATCCGCATGGTGAAACAGATCGTGTCGAACACGGAGACCAAGATGTCATCGAGAACTCTGACTGAAAAATTTAATGGTGTTAGTTCGAGAAAAAGTAATATCGGGAAGAGGGGGAAGAATGTTATCATCACCACCACGTCGGAAGCTAGAAGATCCGCGCTAATCCGGAAATCGGGGTAACAGAGAGCACACTACGAAATATCAAATTCTTTTGCACTCCGGGGAAGAGGGAATTGTAGAAGTGTGCATGTGGATTTGTGGATTTATGTGCTTGTTCAGTGAAGTGATAAGCAGCGAAAGAATAGAAGTAACAGGCGGAAATCGGGGAGATTTTAGTAGTAGAAGTAAGGAAAAAGAAGAAGAAACATACTCCTTCGATACTCCGTTCACTTCGTGCTGCAGATGGACTTCTCGATGGATAATAGCCCTGAAAAAATTGACAAAACGACGGTGAGAAGAAAGGATAAATAGAAGCGGCTGTGACATGAGGACCTAGATTTTTTTGGTTTCAAAAAGAATATGGGCGGTGCTATTCGGATAGAATTAGCATAGAAGTAGTAAGGGTCGAAAAAAAAATCCGCAAAAAGAAATCGACTTGTGTGCTTTGTGTGAAAAGAAGAACTTTGCGAAAAAAAGAAGAGAAGCTCTTGATTTTGAGATTTGATTTACTCGAAGTCTCCACTCGGATTCTTCTGATTTGTAGATTCGTTTTGGGCTATCAAATAGGTTGATATAAAAATACTGAAAAAAAGGAAATAATAAGCGAAAGAGAAGCACAGCGAAAAGTTTTTTGGCCATTTGGAGAAAGTAAATTTGACAATAATTTTTTTTAAAAACTGAACAACTAACTTGAGGATGAAGTTTTCTATATTGTTCAGCGGTTCCGATCCACACAGTTTCTTGACTTGATGTTGTGCCGGATGTCTGAAATTTTAGGATTGTTTGAAGACTTTAGAGGTACCCCTAATACGACGGCATCACCCATTTAATTAAAACAAAATTAGAACCATTTCAAATTACGTCTCAAAATTCGTTCAAAACTGTTAACTTTTTTATCCTTCTTTTTTGAAGTTCCTAAATTATAATCATCCGAATTTTTACCAGTAAGCTTTTTTACAATTATCACCGCTACTGATAAAAATGTACCGTATTGGGACCGTGTATATGAATCATCAACATTTTCATGAATTCATTTGTTGTGTTTCCCTAATAGAAGTCAACATCTATACGTTCACGTTGTGCTCAATTATCTCAATAGCTGTGAAAGATCAAAAATCTGTTAACTGATAAAATATTTGTGATATTAAGATGAATAATTCATCAGTTGACAAGTTTTTGGTACCTTTCAAAGGAACAGAGATAACTGAGCTCAAAGTGCACGGGCTTCTAAGAGATCATACGGTGGGTCATAATCCGTCGATAAAAATTGTTATTACTTTCTTAGATGACTTTTTTTTAGTTTTAGGACCGTCAGATCTCCTGTTACAGCACCAATTTGAGAAATCTCAATTATTTAAGATCTTACAGAACAAAAAAACTCACATATCTCCTTCGTCCTCTTGGGCTCCTGCCTCTCGCCAATAATCGTTCGCTTCTGGAGCAAAGTGGCGAGTGAGAAGTGAATTGTGACTGTAAAAATTTCAAGATTTCTAGAAAGCGAAAAGAGACAATAACATTATACACTAGTTGAAAAAGATGGATATATTTTTTTCTCCCCATTTTCTTCGTCTTTTTTTTTCTTGTGAGGCCCCATACAAATATACTAGAAAAGAGAGAAAGAGAGATTATATATGCAACACGCATTCATCCGCAAAAAATTCTGGAAGAAGTAAGTGAGTGAGAGAAGAAGACAGTGGAGAGATTTCAGAGAAACAGACGAATAAAAAAATGACATGAATTTTTAGTAGAAGATGTTGTTAGAGGTTCTGGAAAAAAAATAGTACTGAAACTTTTTTGTTCTTGGATTCTTTTTGTACCCAATAAAAAAGGAGACGTTTTATTAAAAAGAAAAGACAAAAAGAGGTTTTGAAACAAAGAAGAAGAGCTAAAAGAAAATGATCTAGAATAGGGAAAAAAAGAAGAAGAGGAGAAAGAGGAGAAGCCAAAGAAAATGACCCAATATTTTAGATAGAAATTAGTGTGAATATATTTATGGTGAGCTTTTCTTCTACTTCTTCATCTCCTCCATTTTCTTCACACATCGTCTTCAACGTCTTCAGTGTCCTGTGTAAATACGGAAAACGACGGAAGGGATGAGGACATCGAAGGGGGGTCTTCTCCCCTGTGCTTCTCCTTATATCAAAAGAGAATTAGATAGAAGAAGAAGAAGAAGAGCAGAAGACCGTCGACACGACACGTTAATTCGAATTCACACATTTAGAAACACCACGGGAAGGAAAGGAAGAGAGGGAAAAGCTCAGATTTCATGTTTTGTGTCATTATGAAAATAATTAGGAAGTTTGTAAAACGGAGTTCTCGAATTTGATAATTTAGATTTTTTGAGTTTCAATTTTTAAAATTTCAGAACTTTTGGAAATTTTGAATTTCTGTTTTTTTATTATTTTTTTGATCAGAGTTTCGATTTTTTCGATTTTAGAGTAAAAAATTTTCGACTTTCAACATTTTTTAAAAATTCAATTATATTTTCCAATTTCAGATTTTTTTTTGGAATATCTGAAAAAATATGTTCACTGATAAAACACTTTTGATATTCTGATAAACAGTTTATCAGTTGTCAACTTTTTAACATCTTTAACAGGAACCGAGATAAATTGACTCGAAATCAAAAGTTAGAGGGCCTTTCTATTACAGGTTTTACGGTTTTTTAAAGTTTGTGAGTTGCTTCTAAAGTTTGTTATCTGCTCGATTTTATAGAATATCGTTCAACTTTATGTATTTAAAAAGTGAAAAGCTAGAAATAGATATAAAATGAACTCAAAAAGTTCTCGCTCGAAATTGCTAGCACACAGGAAAATCAATTTTGATTGGGTTTGTGCTCCGGATGTTCATTTCCGGGAAATTTTCAAATCTCAGACTCCAGAGAAAAGGATTTCATATATGTCTCCCTATTGAAATAGCACTTTAGATTTATATATAAGTCAGTTCGACGATCAATCTCTTTTTCGAAAAGTGCTGTTTGTAAATGCATCTATTCAATATGAGACCAAATCTTTCAAAGAAAGTGTCATGTCAAATCGGAAATGAGTCGGAAACTGATCTAGGTTAAAGACAGGAGAAGATGTGCATCACATTTCCTCCTTTGCTCTTCTGAATGGAGAGAGAAAGGGTAGAAGTGCCTTCAGAAGACGTTATATAGAAAAGGAGAAGAAGAAGAAGACATGGTAAACAATTAGAGATGAGGGGACAACACAACACAACGTGTGTTCAGAAGCACTTGGCTCCTCTACAAAAAAGTTTTGTGTGCTTTCCTTTTTCTCTCGTTTGGACCCATTCTTCTAGTTTTTTTTCTTTGAGAAAAAAGTCAATGACAGGAGAGACAGAGATTGAATAGACTATGAAGCAGTTAAAATGGAAAAAGTATGGATTGGAAAAGTTTGGCTTCTAGTGGGGGACTTATATGGAACGAGAAAAGAAAAGAAACAATATCAAATTCAAAATAAAATACGTTTTTTGTTTTTATCGTTATATCGACTATAAAAAATGAGTCATGAAAATGGTGAAAAAAAAACTAACGGCCGGAAACATACCTGATCCACTGGGATTGGTTTCGCGATTCCTAGACGGACAGGTCCCATTCGAGCAGCTTTCAGAACGGCAACGGCTCTTTCGAGACTGAAAATTGATATGAATTTTGTTATTGTGCATGTTTTAAAGTCGAAAAGCTTAGGTGTTGGTTGATGGCCATATACCGTAACACAAATAATGCAATAGAAAAGCACCCATACTGTCAAGCTTAAGCTCAATTATCTCAATTGCTATCCAAGATACTAAAATTTTATCAGCTGAACAAATGTGTGTGTGTCATATTATGATGAACAATTTCTCAGTTGACCACTTTTTGATATCTTTGACAGGAACTGAGAAAAAGTGGCTCAAATGTATTCCATCCTTAAAGATTTCTTGGCATTTCTAGTTAATTGAAGCGAATCAGTCTGGGAATCTCAAAAATAAATCTAAAACAGTTGAATGCTATTTTTTGGAGCAATTGAAGTTCTATGTCAGACTTTGATTTTTTCTTTTTGGTTAAGATCATATTGACCATTTGGAAATTTCAAATTATAACATTACAATCTTCCTGATTCACCTGCTATTCGACAAATCGTGATTGTTCACAAACAACAATCGATCACCAGGAACTATCCGTCCGTCTGCCTGAGCAACTCCTCCCGGAACAAGCGATTGCACAACGATGACGCTTTCATCTTGATGTGTTGGATCCTGAAAGTGATTCATATTTATTTTTCTATCCTAAAAATATCAATACAGTACCTTATAATCCACAATTGAAAATCCTAGACCTCGTGAATCTTTGCATAAATATATAACCAGTGGAACACAATTCCAAACTGCCAAACCATGGAAATTCTCTAACGATTTCGATCGTAATCTTCTGGAGACTCTCTGAAGGAGGTGAGTAGTTTCTGCACGAGTTGATGTCAAATCCAGATCTGATTTCGCTTTGACTACGGTTTCTTGATTGGCGGCGAGGAATGGGAATGAGAGAGGAAGTTGTTTCTCATTGGCTGTTGGTTCGAAGACGTGAAGATGTTGAGATCTGGAAATGGGGAAGAGTCATAAATGCTGAAATCGGTATAAAGTAAGAATCGCGAGATATGGGAAAATTGAGTTCTAAACTAAAACTATCTGGATCTTATTTTTGAATACCGTCCACCCTGTATTACAAGGGCCGGTCCTGTTCCAAGGTAGCTCCTGAGGACACTTCTATTACAGGGGCCCTTCTATTTGAGGGGGCCCTTCTACTTTTCCGGCCATTTTTTTTTCCGAAAAATTTCATCGAAAAATCCAGTGAACTCTTCTTCAAAACATTTTGTAGTATGAGGGGATCCTCCTATCACAGGGGGCTCTTCAATTTTTCCAAAGCTCATCTCGGAGTGCCCTTCTATTAGAGAGGACCATCTATTAAAGTGACCCTTCTAATACAGGTTTTACGTTATTTTCAAATTAGTGATACTCATCGATTCTCAAGTTAAGCATCATGGGGTTCTGAACGCTATCGTATGCAAATAAGAACTAGATCTAAAAAATAAGGAGTTGTTCGAATCTCCAGATTTTTTATATATTTCGTTTATTCGAAGGATTTGAAGAAATAAGGAGTGATGGTAACCGGGGAAAGAAAATAATTTTGAACATGTTGAAATTTATTAGGTTGTTCGGAAAGTCCTTTCCATTTTTAGCGTCAGATTCATTCGATATAAAAACGGTCAAAATGATGTCAGATAAATTGAAGATAATGACCATTGTTATCAGTGACTATCTGCCAACGTCCCACCAAATTGTGGATGAGAAGATTCAAAAAGGTGCCCACACATGAAACAAAGTTGTTTTGAGCGAAAAGGTGTGATCCATATCTTCCCACTTTTTTTACTTTGCCGAGAGTTCCCAATGTATGGCTTTTTGACGAAAGACGGGTCCCTTTCCATCCCGGTTTTTAATGTGTCCAAATCTGAGCCCGTATGCTTTTTTGGAGGGGGAATTTCGTCCAACGAGAATTTTCATTTTTCAAATTGATGAATCCAGGTTGTGAAGTTTGCTCGAAAGGGTGCATCTTCGTTGTTAACCTCCACAAATTGGTGATTGATTTCAGTTGATCTGAGGTCGAAATACAAATAAAATGGTAGTCCAAAAATGGAAATTATTAGAGGCGAAAACGGGGGGCATATCTCACTGCACGAAAAGAGGAGAATGATCTCCGTTGGGGTGTAGACACTATTAGACCTCACCAGCATACTGATAAAACGACAACTTCCTCGCTTTTATCCCCTTCAAGAAAACGAAGTTTGAAAACAACATATCAAAAGTGAAAAGGACTTTCCGAACAACCTAATATTATTCACCATTTTCAGAAAATGTCCAAAAACTAACCTTCTAGCAACGATCAACGTAACCGGAGCTCCAGAATGAACAGCTCTTGTCAACGCTTGTCTAACAGTGACATGAGATTCCCCATACAACGGAGAATGGTTGACTTGAAGCAACTCATCTCCTGCATGTAACAACCCAGTCTTTGCTACAGGTCCGCTTTGTCGAATCGATTCGATATAGTGATGTGGACACAACTGCGCTCCATTGAGCACATCTACAGTACCCTCTAGTGATATTCCAAGTCCACCATCAACTGATTGCCTATCCGGTTTGACTACAGCCGCCACAATTTCGATATCATCTCCTATTCGACTTTTCCATTCCTTGACTAAATCTGGATTCGACAATTTGACGTCGATCACTTGAGTTTCTGTCTCCTGTTGTTGCAGCATTTTTAGACATTGTGCTTGCGGAGAATTTTGTGGGAATCGAACTAGTTTTAGAGACACTTGATCTCCCGATTTGACCAAAGTTCGGACACTGTCAGCGTGTGACATATGCTCCAAGGATGTTCCGTTGACCTGGAATTAGTGAAATGGTAGAAATAGTCATACAATCAAACTCACCTCCAAAATCAAGTCGTGCACTCTAATGACTCCACTGGATGAAGCTGCCGAGCGTGGAACCAATGACTTGACAAAAATGCCACCGATTTCTTCTGCAAATACCTCACCGATTTGCCTTCTTTAGCATATAATTCGGTTTTCAAAGCTTGAGAAGATTTAGAGAGAGAGAGAGAGAATACACAAGAGAGGAGGACCCCCATCGTCTTCTTCTCGCGTTTCTGCTTTTTCTTTTTCTATCTTTTTTCTAACGTTTTCGACTTAAGAAGACGACAAAATTCACTAAATTCGATTTACGGGCTCCCTCGAGCGCGTCGCGACGGACGGATGGACCGACGGGCGCCATACCACAAATTGGCTCTTCTCCAAACTCAACAAGATTTGTATATGCTGTCTGTCTGTATGGAATGTGTGTTGGGAGGGAAGAAAAAGACCACCTACACTTGTTGTTGTGTGTTTAGGATCTACGAGGAATTCAGGATAAAGAAAAGGAAACCAACCTTTTTTGTGAACATAACCAGCTACAGTAATCCCTAATCCAAGAGCCGGATCCCTGTGAAGCGCCACGTCGATGAGCTCGAATTTCGTTGACTCCCAATTCTCTCGGAGAAATACTGTGAGCGCCTAGGAATTGAAAGATGGAAGATCGATCATTAAAACTCTCGGATTTCAGGGGGAAAAACTTACCATCTCTTGCAACGATTTGAGGGAAATCCTCGATGTGATCGAATTGCTATTCCGTTTACTGCTACGACTAACACTAGTGACTATTGAATTCTCATCTGATTGCCCTGTCTCCACTGTCGGGGATCGTATCATTTCTCCAAGTTCATCTGGAAATTTTTATAGGATTAGTATGTATTCTTATGTTCACGATGTCATATTGATCCTAATGGAACTAGATCACATTCTGATCTACTCAAGCTAAATTTTCAAATTATTTTTATCCTGACGGTTAACTGTTATTAGGCTTTTAAGTGACCCAAAAAATTTGAAACTGTCCAAAAATAATAATTCAGGGATTTTATTTATCTGCTAATGCTCTCTACTTCCTGAGACTCTACAGGGTGCTACAGGATTACCCGTACTAGATTTTGTGCTAGAATGCAATTTGAGTGAATCATTGTACTGTCCTCAAATTTACAGTACACAATTTCAAATAATTCATCAGTAACCTGACCAAGTTTTGAATTATTTCATCAACTTTGAGCAGAATTATCGCTTGTCAAAGTGGCTTCGTCTCATGAAAATCACAACGGCATGCGAGAAACATTACGTTGTTCATCTTTGGACAATCATAACAATACCTGGACAAGGAGAACTGTTTCGAAAATTTCAGTAGCTTTGAATCAAACGTAAAATTATATTTCTACCAATTTTCGAGTTTCCTAGATAGTTTTGTCTGAAGATATGCCCGTTTTCTTCAGCCCTGGTACGGGTAATTATGAGTAAGTACAACTTCAGAGAGATCATAAGTCATCATAATGACCTACCGAAGTCAAAAACTTTAAAAAATATACCTTTAAAATCTTCTTCTATTTCTTTCTGTGTATCTACTTCTTCATCCTCTTTCTTCTTTTCTTCTTCCCTCGTCTTTTTACAATCTCCACCTCCACCGCCATCTTCCACATCATCACAACTACTTTTCCGTTTGTCTCTCCGATTATAATTCGGTGCACAATCACAAGGCTTCCTCAAATCTATCGTGTCTGGAATATAAGTGGTGATCTTGATGGGTTGCTCTTTCGATGTTGTCGGCTCTGGCTCTTCTTTCTCCTCTTCAATCGGGATACAACTGATCGATGGGGATACTGTAGTTGGTGTCTGATTTGCTGCTGTAGATGGTGCCGAAGTTGCCATCTGTAAATTGTTTTTAAAGATATTTTTATGGAAATAAGACCTACTTGTCGCTGCAGAGCCTCCTCGAGCGTCGTGGCACAAAGCGCCGCTTTCGTGGCCAATGTGAAGCACTCTGAAAATTTTAAAATCAGTGAAAAACGGTTATTTTTATTCTCTGCATATATATTTTTTCAGAAAAGAATGATACGAATAACAGTGGAAAAAAGAAGGAAAAGTAAAAAGAAGAAGAAGAAGAAGAAACGTCCAAATTGAGTTGGATTTGAATTTGTAGAGTCTCTACTCATCCGGGCGGGGAGCACATCGACAGCACATAAGGCCATATCCCATTCTCAAAAACTACTTCATTAACTCCACTTTTTTTTTCTGTGCCAGTTGATTGGTGAATAAGAAAGAACAAAAAACCATTGTTATCAATCTTGGAAAGAGCTTCTTTCAATATTGGATGGCTTTCTAAAACGAAACGTTTCTCTCGCTTCCCTACTACTTTTAGTTGTTGTGAAAGTCTATCCAATCGGAATTTTTACGACCCAATCGCACCATAGAATATGGCAGCTTTTTGAGTTTCGCGAAAAAAACGAGAGACGAGTAAAAACTGGTCACCCAATTGGCTGAAAAGAAAATGGGATAAAGGGGAGAGAAGAAGGCTCTGGGACAGCTTTTTTCGTAAAAAAATACTGATAGCTTGATGATATCAGTATAAGCATTTTGAAAAGAGTAATAATTGCGGTAGCTAATCCCTATTGGATTTTCACAGTTAAAAAAATTCAGAAGATAAAAAAGAAATTTCAGATTGATCTTATAGTGTTTTAAATTGACTAGTTCTAGAATAACCAGCTAATTAGAAACGCCGAAATTCATGACAAAATGGGATTAAATAATTAGAGGTAATTAAGTTTCGTTTCAATTGAATTATATATTTTTCAGAGCAACAACCGAATGTCAAATATCTAATAAATGACCCCTATTATCAGATATAAATTATTTTCGATACTTTTATCTCACTGTCTTGTGAACCTACCTAAAACCTTAATAGAAGGTCCCCCTAACTTTCAACTTTGACTTAATTTTCCTAGATTCATGTCAAAGATATGAAAAAGATGTCAACTGATAAACTGTTTATCATAATTTCTGAAGTGTTTTGTCAGTTGACAAATTTGTTATATCTTTAACAGGAAATCAGATAAATTGATTCAAAGTTAAAAATTAGGGGGCCCTTCTATTACAGGTTTTACGGTGGATGCCTTGAACTTTTATAAGTACAAAAGATTTCTGAACAATTTGAACTCCATGAGGCGCTAAGAAAGAAAAACTGATAGGGAGGGTCTCTGCTGGTGGTGGCGGTGAGGTGGGACTAGAAGAGGGTGCGTCTCTCGATTCGACGTCTTCTGGAGCCGGGGGAGATACGGAGGGGGGCAACTAGCAACTCGGTAACGAATTTAGCCCTTCAGCAGCCGGGGTAAAAGGAGCGGGGCACAGAAAAACGAGGAGAATATATATGGACCCGGCAAAAAAAAGAGAATGAGATGAGACACAACAGATACATTGCTGAAAAAAAGAAGAAGACATAGACATTTCTACGTGGGGGGAAGGCTCTTCTTTTTTTTTCTTTCTTTTGCAGAATAGTTGAAGGAAATAAGCATACGCAAAAGAGAGAAGTCACTTTCGGAAGGGCACCTTCGACAATTCCCCTACATTTACATATTCAATAGACTTTTCAATGATATTGGAGCACTTCTTCTTCTTTCCTTTTCTGTCTGCCGAAAATATTACTATTTTCTATTGAATTTAGGACCAAGTTAAGGGGGTAAGTCGACGACGAAAACATGCTGTACTTGTGTTTTGTATTCAAAAATATAAATAGAACAAAATAAACCGTATTTTTTTTTGTATTGTCATGATAAAAATTTCGAAAGTAAATGCCGTCGAAAATTCAATTTTCAGCCATTTTTGAGGTCAACGAGACATTTTTGATACTTCCGGTGGGTCTTTCTATTAGAGGGGGCGTTCTGCCTTTTAAAATTGAAATTTCCTTGTGATATTTTGGTTTGAGTCTTTCTTTAACATACAAATATTTTTAAAAAGCAAATTTGCTATGTATGTCACAAATATGTCACGAATCCACTGAAATAACCAGAAAGCCGCTTAGCCTTTGAGCAGATTTGTGACAGCCGGAAAATAATAATTCATATTTTTAATAGTAATCGCATCTGACCGGTTTTTTCCACAAAATCAGAAAACAATTGAAAAACGAACTTCAAAGTATTGCTCCAATTTTCAGAAAACTTTTTCTCTATATATAAAAATTGTACTAGAACAGAATCGTCTAGTTCTGAGAAGAATTTGGAAGTCTAGAACTCTTTTTGTGTTTAAAAATGTCTAAATAAACCGAATTCTTCTTCTATGTTCTTCTGAGGAAATCCCAATGGATTGGAGTGATTGAAGACCATACTAATGTGATAACTGAACACCTCTAGAGAGCTAAAACTTGAAAAGCAAATGGGCAAAAATAAGAAAAAAGGGGAGAAGCGAGAGGGAGGAGAAAAACCAACTATTCAATATTCCGAAAGCGTTTCAAGAAAAACGAAATCCCTCTGGGAGGAGAAAGGAGGAGCCAAGTTGCTGACAGCTGTTCACGACAACATAAAAAACATGTTTCTGGGAGGAAGAAAATCGAACGAAAATATGAGAAGAACATTCGCTCTTCTTCATGACTTTAAAGTCTCTGGAATCTAGAGAGAAACGCGATTTTTGCTATTATATTCGAGTTTTATGAGGAAGAAAACATCCGGAAAGAAAGTGGAAAATTAGAAAAAAGTACCTGGAGTGTCAACTGGTTTGTCTGCATATGCAATCGGTCGTCCAACAATCATATCTACGGTTGGATGTTGATGTCGAAGAATCGTAGCAACCTGGAATTGTAGTCTGATTTGAGTTTCGAGTCTTTTGACTTTTTGCGAGTCTAGTTTGCTGCGATTTCAAAATCATGGAACGGTTTTGGATCTTTATGGTATTAAAGATCTGGGAGATCTTAAAGGGATCTAAAATCTGGGGGATCTTAAGATAACGTATGTTTCAGGTAATATCTTTTCAGACTCTAAATTAGATAGACAAAAGGATAATCATGGAAACTACTAAAATTGAAACGATATTGAAACTATCAATCTGTCAATTTTTAGAATCGCATAGTTTTAAAAAATGGAACTATACTCTGAATGAAGCTCAAAATTGCAAATCGAACTTCTTTGGATTCTTAAATTCAAAATTCTACTATTATTTTCTTCAATTAGAGATAGTTTCTGTATCCCGCGGCGTCTCCATTCGAATCTTACTAAATGAAAATATAAGTTTCTAAACAATTTTGATTTAATCAAATTCATATTTTAGAAATTTATAACTTTTGCGGTTTTGCTACATTTTGAGACTACCAGAACACTCTCAAAGCTAAAATTTTTCAAAAAAAGGGAATGTCTGGCTTTCCAGACAACAATAGCATTCCATAATAATTTTTGTTTGTGTCTTTCGGCGGGTCATTAATTTCATCCAGTCAATATTTTTCATTCTTCGAGCGATCCCCCAGGACAATGGAATCAATTTTTGAAATTTTTTTGTATGGTCCAACTATAATTATACTTTCGCGGACTGTTTTTTTCAGTTTTTGAAAACCAAAAAACTCACTTGTTGACTGCTCATCCCATGCGTGTTAATATTGCCTATTTGCAAAATATGGTCCCCGGGCTGAAGGTGGCCATCCTGAACAAAACAAGGCAAGTTTAAATTCAGAAGTTTAAAAAAACCCACTTTATCTGCCGGACTACCAGGCAGTATAGTTTTAACAACGACCCCAGTGCTGGTTCCGCCGACGATTCCGAATCCGAGACCTCCCGTTTCTGTATCCAGATGAATCACTTCGACTTGTGTCCAGTCGCCAGATAACTGGAAGTCATTTTTTTGAATATAATATTTACTAGAAGAAAGGGCTCATATATTTTGGACCCCAGAAATGTTCAAAAAAATGTGACCCAAAAAAATTCAAATTTTTTGATATTCCCAAGCACTAACATTACCACGCGACACCTGATAATTGACTTTGTTGATTGCAAACTTTTTCGATTTTGGCATGATTTTTCAGAGATTTATCTGGAAGAGAAGAAGAAGAAGAAGAACCCGGATCTTGTTGTATTTGACACCAGAGAGAAAAAGAGCCACAAATCTGAGAGACCCTGCGGAATGGCAAAATGATTGATTGATTGGGAAAATGATGAACGGCAGGAAAACGAGGATCAGGTGAAAGAAGGATTGTAGACACAAACACATGAAGAATACTTGTAGAGTATTCAGAGGGACCCAAAAGAGAAGAAGAAGAAAAAAGAACAGGAAGGAAAGGGGAGGATATACCTAGGTAACCGGAAAAGACAACTAGCAACACCACCGTTTTTCATGATGACGTGGTTTTTTTTTGCAAGATCTTTTGGATGGGGTGACGGCTACAGATCCAAAATTGAAAGCTGGATTTTTGAATCTTTCAAAATTTAAGTAGAAATGAGTCAAAAAAAGAGAAACTTGAAGAACAAGGAGCAGCATAGATTCACTTTCTCATTCTTTTTGTCTCTCTGGGTGTTTCGGTCGTTTTGCTTGAAATTCGAGATGCACCTCCTACTCTTCTTTTCCGAACACACTTTAGAAGAAGAAGAAGAGCAAGACGGAAAAATGGAGAGTAAAGTGATTGTGCTTCCCGACTGAGAGAAAAAGAGGTCCTGAAACGATGGGATACGGGCGCCCGAGAGGCAAAAGGGATCTGGGTCATAGTGAGGGGATATGATGATGATGATAATGGTAAAATAGATCGAGTGGGTGAAGATGAAACAGACACGGATGAGTTATAGTGATTTATTGCAGTTTTCATTGATTTTCATGAAAGATGATCGATGGGGTGTGAGATGTTTCAGTTTTCTTTTGAAGCGAATTTAAAATTTTTCAGTACATTTTCTCCAAAAAGTGCAATCCATCGTAGGAGTGGACCTCCAAATTATTATAAAATAACTTTTTTTATAGTCCTGGATATTTTTTTCGTAATGAAATAGATTTTTAAAATCGTTTCATCTGTTTTCTTCACTTAACCAGTACCGTAAAACCTGTAATAGAAAGGTTCCCCTAACTTTTAACTTCGAGCAAATATATCTCGGTTTCTGTCAGAGGCATAAAAAATCTATTCACTCACAAAATGTTCATCATAATATCACAAACATTTTATCAGTTGACACATTTTTAATATCTTGCAAAGGAAGTCAGATAATTGAGCTTGTGGTCATAAAAACGAATAGCACCTAAATTATTAATTTCTAAAATTTCTAATGAAAATATGCATGTAATTCTAGAAATTCCAAAATTCTATATTTTTTAAGTTTCGATTCCGTGTTTTGGAGTACATGAAAACGAACGCTAGATTAATATCTTTGTATTTTCTTAAACAAAATTCAGAATGTTCAGTTTTCTATCTGGTTTTTTTTCCTTTTTTTTCTTAATAATTTTAGTTGGTTACAGTTTTACTTTAACTTCAAAAATCCGTTTTATGTCATTTGCGTTACCCCAAATATTTTATGTTTTAGCATACAAACTTCCTTAATAATAAAACTCTAAAGACCACAAACTCGAAGCTAGACACTTTGCAATTTGAAATCGTTTCATTCATTTTTGAATGTATCCGTAATAGAAGTAGTCCAAAAAGCAAAGAATGGAGATGTGAGGACGAAGAAGAAGTTTTGAGATATCACTCGACGAAATCTCAGAAAAGCAGAACAAAAGTGGGTCTGATTGCAGCTCTCGCTTCTCCCGAATTTCTTCATCTTCTTCTTCTTTTCAAAACTTTCTCTTTTTTTTTAGTCAAAAACCAACTTACCACCATGGGAGTTGCTTCTCGAATAACACCGATGACAAGGTGTTGATTGGAAGAAATCGAGTGGTGAACCGCACTTTCGAATGTTGATTTTTCTATCGATTCTGGAAAATTGAGTGGCAATTTATCATTGTGGGAAACGGAGGAACGGGTGGGATTGGATGAGTGAAAGGTCAAGAATGGAAGTGCCGAGTTTGAGAAGGATGGACCCTCTTCAAAGTGCACAAATTGAATAAACTTCGCCGAGAATTTTCGGACGGTGGGGACGGAGGAAAATGAAGAAAGGGGGTTCGTTGATTTTATTAACTGGATTTTACAATTTAGGAGAGTTTGGTTTGAGATTTCAAGGAATACCGTAAAACCTATGTTAGAAGAGTGAATTTACAAGAAGGGGCCTGTAATAGAAGGGTCCCTTCCAATGATGTTGTTTGAAATCAGATACTTCCGAAGGTTTTTAGTGAAAAATATTCCAGAAATTCTACAATTTCACAGAAATATGTTTTGCTCAAAAAAACCCCAACAGTGTCGAATACCGTAAAACCTGCATTAGAGGGGCCGGCCCTTCTATTGTTCCATGGACTTTCGAAGGGCCCTTAAATTGGAGGGGGCTTCTACGGAATTTTTCTCGCAAAATTGCTTGGAAAAGTCGGCGAGTTCTTGTTCAAAATGTATAAAAATCGTTGATTTTTTTGAAATTGAAAATTCAATGCAACTTTCCGAGAAAACATTCCGGAGAAGCCGTCTAACTAAAGGGCTCTTCGAAAGTCCTTAGAACAATAAAAGAGCCGACTCTTCTATTACAGGTTTTCCGGTATTCGACATTGTTGTTGCTTTTTTGAGATGTTTTTGAAATCATGTGCTTTTCAAAAAAGTCACTTTTTGATTTTGGTAATTTTTGACAAAGTTGTTTTGAGAAGATTTCGTTTTCAGGATTTCAGAGTTACCAATTTTTAGGCTTTTTGACATTTGATTTTTTCAGTCTTAAAAGTTTTTTTTCTTTTTTAGGTTCATTTTCTCTCTAAATTTCGAGTTCAATTTCAAAGAAAAACTCACGATTGATATGTGTATAGATGGTTGGTTTCGTGGTCGGAACAATAGCTCCACCACCTCCTCCGTTCGTTTCGGAGACAGTCGTCGATGTCGGCGTTGATGGACAAACACCAAACGCATCGATGGCAACGACGCAATCTCCAATTCGAAGTTTGCCAGATGATCTGGAATGGAAGACGTAGAGTGTTATAATGATTTGTAGTCTCTCTGTGAGAGTATATACACGGACTGGTTAGAAGACCGGAAATCGGATATTCTCAAACAAATATTAATTGGGAATGCGTTTTCTATAGAAGCGAGGGTGGAGTCTTTTGACGGTGATTATGACGACGACTACAATTGACCGGAGAAGAATTCAGAATTCAGAAAACGTGTGAGGGAAATCTCGAAAAAAAGTAAAAAAGAGTTTCGGAATTGGTTTTGGTGGTATAGAAGTGCATGGAGGATGGAAAGCAACCGCGTGGGAAAGAGCATGAGTTTTGGTTTTGCAGATGGAAAGAAAAAGATAATTTCAGATTTTTTAGATTTTGTACTAAGCAAAAAGATGAAAATCAAAAAAAAAGTTTTAGCCTCTCTAGTAGGCATATGCCGTATTTCCTCTAATAGAAGCCCACCCGAACCGTCTAGTTTGAACTTAATTATCTCGATTCCTATAAACGATATCACAAATTGGTCAACTGATAAATTTATTATCATAATATCACCAATGTTTCATCAGTTGACAAATTTTTAATATCTTTCACAGTAATCGAGATAGTTGATCTCAAAGTTGACGGTTTGGAAATTTTCAAAAAAGTATGCAACACAATTTCCGAGAATATTTCTAAAGTTTACAGCGGCTCCGAAATTTACGAATTTACAGAAATAAGCTTTAACTTTCTACAAAAAACCAATTTTTCTTTAAAAGGACATTATCCATTTTTAATTGACAATTCTATCCCAGAAGATGACTTTCTTATTCTATCTCTCCCTTTTTACTTTAGCTAATTGAGAATTCTCTCAATGGAACAGAGTCGAAGAACCAGAAGTACAAAGAAGGGAAACAATTCAAAATTTTCATGACTTTTCATGACAAAACGGGCGAATGCAGCCCACCTCGTTGGAGGAGGAAAATGGAGAGTACGGATAGAAGAAGACTCATAACATTGTGTGACGGACGGACGAGACGGGAGGGCCAATTCGGTTTTTTGTGTTCAATTGGCTTGCTTTGTCAACTATTTTGCCATCGTGGAGCAAGGAAAAAGGGAGGAGGGACATGAAACGGAACGAAATAATCACAGGGATAGAGACAGATTCTTCTTCTTTCTTCTTTTTTATTTGGATCGTCTCCTCCTGTTCTTCTTTCTCTTCTTCTTCTTTCTCTTTTTCTTCCTCCACCCCGAACAAGGCGATTAGGCTAGAGAAGCAAAAAAGGAGAAGCATGGAGCATGACAGAATTCGCTCCGCCCACTATTCTTCTCTTTTTTTTCCCGCCTAACTCTTCAACAACTCGTTTTGCCGGCTCATTGCTCTAACTAACACCAACACCAATTTCCATGGGAGAAGAAAAAGAGAAGGACCCTTTCTTTACAAGTAGAGAAGAATCCAGAAGAAGAAGCGCCGTCTTCAGAATATAAGAAGAAGAAGATGTTAAAAATGACTCGAAGAAGGAAGAAGAACCCTTCCCCGTTGCTGTCACTTCATTAATAATCGAGTTCGAGAGAAGAAGGAGAAACCCCGTCTAAACGAAAACTCAATAAACTTTTAACCCTCTTTTTCGTCTCTCTGATACTCTTTTCTCTTTTTTCTGTTTTCAATAGAAGAAAATGCAATCTGGGTGGCATTTGTTGAGTAGGGAGTGAAGTACTTTTAGAAGTACACTTAGTTTTTGAAAATAAAGGTTTTTATGGCTCTAGCAATTGGTTTTCATGTGAATTTTGATTCGTTATTTCGAAGGCTAATTCTTGTTTATGAGTTTTTCGGGTATTCAAGCTTTCACAAAAAATACGGAATGCTCAAAATATATATATACGTTTTTTGCTTGTTTTTCTGGAACTATCGTAAAACCTTCAGAAGATATTTTTTAAAAAGTTGTCAATTGATACATTTTTTATCATAATATCAAAAGTGTCAGTCGAGACATTTTTGATTTAAAAAAATGTTATGCTCTGTTACAAATCAGGAGGTACTGTAAGACTTGCTTACTTGAAAACCCAAGCAGGGTAAAAAAAACAGAAAGCGAAGGACATCTGGACAAACAAATCTACAAATGTATGAATATCTGAAAATGATTATTCCTATGATCCATGACCAAACATAATCCCGAACTAAAGATTTCTTTCCCAATTGAATTTAGTTCTAAGAAAAATTATAGAACCTGTGAAGATGTCGAATCAAAGTTAGTTTGCTATCAAGCGCTTTTTATTAGCTTCTCGTGGCGATACCCAAATTAGAATACTGGAGCCCTATCAACATATAAACCACCTAAGAATAAGGACAATCTAAAGTAAGAGCTCAGAAAAAAAAAAACGGCAGGAAACGGATACGTTTTAGTCGATTAGCTTTCGCTGGCTCCTGGAGCCAAAACGTCTCTCTATCCCTCTCTCTTTTTTTCCACGTTTCGAAAGCCTTCTGCCTAAAAAAGACGGAACACCCGCATGAATAGTTGAAAACCGAGACACGAAAGGAGGAGAGCATGAAAACCGAAATTGAGACACATACAACCACTACACGTCGGGGGTCTTCTGCTTCTTCTGAATTCCATGACAAGTCTCGCTTTCCCTTCAGTTTCTTCTTCCGAAGCATTCTTCTTCTTCTTTTGTCTTTTTTCTTTCTCTTCCGATGAGTTTTTATTGCTCTCACGGAGACCTCCTTTTCCCTTATTCTTCTCTTTCCGGCACACAACAAATTGATGTGCTATCATCAAACAGGACGTCATCTTGACGATGAATGAAGAGAAATGAACTCACCGATTTTTGACGTCTTTTGGACCGACAACCAGCAGCCGAGATGTCTTTTCTTTGGTTTCTAGGACGACTGGATCAACTTTCTGAGCATCCACGTAGACGAACAGAAGTTTCTGGAAATTCGGAGACTATGTAAGTTCTTTTTTGGACGAAAAAACATTGAAAATAGTAAATAATAAAACCTAATGAATTCAGTTTTACAAAAATTTAAGGCCTCAAACTGTAAACTGTTTTTAGTCTGATTCAATTGTTTTTATTCGTAGAAATGCCATAAATATTTAGATTCAGATGTCGCTAAACACTTGCTTGAATCAAAAAATCCAAAAACCAGAAAATCATTTTTTAAAATTAATTTTGAAATTAGTTGTATTTTCTAATCCATCTAAAATCAATTCAAAAAAGGCATACAGTAAATAGGAGACCACCTAAACCGTAAACTTGCAGCCTACATATCTCGGTTCCTGTAAAAGACATCAAAAGAAAGTCAACGAACAAAATATTACTGATATTTTGATAAACATTTTGTCAATTAAGCACCTTTCACAGCAATGAAATATATGAGCTCAAAGTTGGTGGCTGTGGTGGCCTTCTAATGAAATGTTTGCGGTGATTCCTTAATTTTGAGAAAATAGCTTTTTGAAAATTTCTTCCTAGCTTTTATAGTATTTTTAACATTTTCAGCATTTTTTAAGTATTTTATAGAATTTATAGCAATTTCAAAACATTTTTCATTCACGTATAAAATTTTTTTCGGAAAAATCCAGAATTAAGAATTAATTAAGAATTAAGAATTAAAGAATTAATTAAGCTCTCATGGGAAAGTTGAATCCGGTTTTTTAATGTTCGATGTACTTTCATCCAAAATTTTCCTAAAAATTCAAAAACTCACCTGATTGGATTTGAGATTATTCCGAATCTCACTACTTTCGATTCGTTTGCTGAGCTCGACGGCTCGTATCTCGGCGCCGCCTGAATTCAAAATGTGCAGAAGGAAATGAGTCGTTAAAATCGTTGGAACGACTTCACCACAAATCAAAAAATTTGAAAGCTCACTATTTCTATTATCTGATTTGAAGACTTCCTGAGATGATGTTGGCTGAAAAATGAGAACTTTTTTTTCTAGACGACTGAGAAGTTGGAAGGGATGACGTATGAGGGTTTTTTTGCAGCTGGAACTTTTTTCTAGTTTTTTTCTAGTTTTCTCGAGAATTCGATTTTTTAAAAATCAGCTGGCTGTTTTATGTTCCCGATCATGTGTAGAATGCACGGAGGAGATGACTCGCAAACTTTCCTTCAGATTTTTTAGAAAATATTCATATCGCGACACAAGATCGTTTCCTGTGGATGATATCAAAAAGTTGTCAACTGACAAAATGTTTATCATAATTTCAAATATATTTTATTTCCTTACAACTTTTTTATATAATTGACAGGAACCGAGATAAATTGGCTCAATCTTAAAAGTTAAAGCGGCGCTCTATTAGAGTGTTTACGGTAGTTGGATAAAAGCGGAAAGAAGAATTACTGTAGGTATAGTCTTCCAGAAAATTGTGAAAAAAAGCTTTTCTACTCTGAGTTCCCATTATGAGTTTTATAATAATTTTAAAAAAATCATTTTCTCTGAAATCCAAAAACTTTGTAGAGCTACAAAACACCTGCACTACCTGAGCATCGGTCACCGTTTTTGGTTTGAAAAAAAAAGAAAAAGAGAGTGAGAAACAAGACTGACCCGATGTGATAGTTGTTTAAAAAGTGGATCTCTGAGGATTCTCTCGATCCTCTCGATATCCTCCTTTACGTCACCACCTTCTTTCCTCGATTTCAATTCTCGCAACACTTCACGTATCCGTTCTTCTTCTGGAGAAAGAAAAAACATATGTTCCACTTTTTTTCGACTTACCGGATTGAAACGGCATCGGCCATAGGCCTGAAGTGCTGCCTGTTGAGCACCTGGAAATTAGTATCACTAGGTTAATCTAAATTTCAAAAAACCATTGTTTTGATGCATCTGAAGCTAAAGAGGGAGAACATTCGTTACATACAGACAGACAAACAATTCGGAAAAAAACAATAGATTTAGAGACACTGAAGAGGGTCCGGCTGCTGGTTTTTGCGGACCCTCCAACAACACATGCTTTTTCTCTTTCACAAAGCGAGTTTTTCTTCTGTTGTGACAGTTTGTTTTTACACATACGTCTTTGAGGTGAATGTAGAAATATAAAGAGAGAAAAATCGGCTGAGAGAAAAAAAAAGGAATTTTCAAAAACGAATAAAAATCCTAATCACTTTGATTTGTAGAGGCTCGTCGCACCCGATTCCGGAAGATCGTTTCGAGGCGTTTCGAGTGTTTTTTTCTAGAAAAATGGGCGAGAGAAGAGATGACATTGAAGTGTGTAAAGTGTGAGAACTTTGTGGCCACGACGGATACCACAAAACGGACGGAAAGAATCAGAAAAAAGAGCACTTTTAGATTTCATAGAGATGGTAGAGAAGGAAGAAATTAGTGGACACATTTTGTATTATAACCTGTACTAGATGAGTCCTCACTTTTAACTTTCAGGCAATTTATCTCAGTTCCTGTTAAAGATACAAAAAATTTGTCAACTGATAAATGCTTTATCATAAAGTCACAAATATTTTATCAGTGGACACATTTTTAATATCTCTAATACAAACTGAGATAATTGGGGGCTCTTCTATTACAGATTTAACCAAATATGGTTTTTTAAACGTTTTACCAACAAGTGAACCTCAACATCTTGCAAACCCAGATTCGATAAAAATTTCAGATTTTTTTTTTAATTTTCGAATAAACCCAAAAGAAAATAGTTTTTGAAAACCGCCGTATTGTACTGAAAACTCGATGTTTTGTCACTGAAACTGATGAGCGGATTCTGAAAATTTCAGAAGTGTCTAGGCTAAATTTAGCCTACCGTAAAACCTGTAATAGAAGGTCACTAACTTCCAACCTTTGGACAATTTATCTCGGTTCTTGTGAAAGATATAAAAAATTTGTCAACTGATAAATTGTTTATCATATGGACACAAATGTTTTATCAGTTGTCACATTTTCGATATCTCTTATACAAATCGAGATAATTCAGTTGAAACTGGACAATGTGGGGCCCTTCTATTACAGGTTTTTTGATACCCTGAAATTTTCATCAAAATCTGGCCTTACTTTGATATTGAGGTTTCTTTTTGAGCTACTTCAATGATCCTACGAATTTTGAACAACCTGGAACATTTTCAGAAAACCTAGCTACCATTGAGGCTGGATAAAATCAGTAGTGATAAAATTAAAAATATAATGAGAATTGAATTAGAAAAGTTTTAATGAAAGTCTCTTTCTTTCTCGCTTCTATATCCCAGCTGCTTCATCATCTTCTTCTCATTTCGATTCAATTTTTCTCTTTTAAAATGAAAAGAGCCCCCCGTTTGATGGATGAAAACAGTGTGTGATCGGAGGAGAGTGCTAGAAATTTGATAGATAGACCTTCGGTGCTGCCTCGGGAATAAAATCTCCCGGATCGTTCGGGAACCCCTTTTTGTTCTTCTTCAATAAAAAATGAGGAAGCTGAATGAGAAATTGAAATACTGGAAAAGGTTGAAAAATAGGACGAGAGATCATTTGAAAAAGGACCATAGTAGAAAAAATGAGTGGAAAGAGGGAAAAATAAATATTTTTGGAAAGAGGATTAGGAACGCAAAAAAAAGGAAAGAAATATGAAAAAAAGAAGTATAAAAGAAGAAAAAAGGAGAAAAGGAGATCGAAAAACGGAAAGAATAAACAATTTTTTGCTTTTAAATGACCCCTAAACTTGAAGTTTTAAAAAGCAAAGATTCTGATTTTTTGAGCTGAAGAAAGATTGAAATACTTCCGTCGATTTCTTATGCGATTCTAAATCAAAAGTTGTTCTCAGATACCGTAAATGCTTTTAGAGAAGCCCACACCATTCGTGCACTTTGACCTCAATTATATCAATTCCTGTGAAAGATATCAAAATTTTGCCAACTGATAAAATATTAATTGTATCATGATAAATAATTTATCAGTCGATAACTTTTTGATACCTGTTACTGGAACCGAGATAATTGAGCTCAAAAGCGCGTACAGGTTTTTCTTCAACCATTTACGGCGATTAATAAATACAATCGAACAAGGTAAAACATAAAACCTGACTTGTTGTCTCGGAGAATTTCTATTTGAAACTCTAGACGATATCAGAGCATAAGGATGAACAGAAACTGATTTTTCAAATTTTATATTAAAGCTTGTTAAAGAAAACTGTGTAAAAACGGATTTGAAATCCCAGAAATTATGAGAGTTCTGATTTTTCAGTTTTCGAATTCCCGACTTTTGGAATTTTAGAGATTCAGAAAGTTAAAAGTCAAAAGTTTGCACCATTTGGAAACTTCGAGGTTTAGAATCTCAGAGATTTGAAAGTTCAGAAACTCAGAAAAACAGAAATACAGAATTTCAGAAAATCATAATTTCGAAAATTCGTAAGTCCAGTATTTCAAATCTTCATTCTTCATAAATATTGTCTACTTTAAGAGAAAGAGAACTGTATAAAACATCTAAAAACTACGTCTTTGTTTTTGAATTACTGTAGCCAATTGGACTATTTTCTAGTCATTCGACAGAACATGTAATATTAAAAAAAGCCTCGTTAACCCAAATAATGAATAAATCACAACTATGGACTGAAACGACAAAAGTATGTCTGTCTGTCGGAGTGCGAATGTGTGATGTGTGTTTCTTTTTCTTTTTCTCTATGTGTGTGCTTGGATAATTGAGCTATCGTCTTGCGTTTGGAAAAGCAGAAGAAAAGAAACGGAGAAGGAAAAAAGGAATGAAAAAAAGAAACGGATAAGAAAGAAGAGCTGGAGAAGAAAGAAGAAGACTGGAGAGAGTACGTCTTCTGAATTAGCACAAGAAGACAAGATTTATCCGATTGATACGGGTGAGAAACACAAACACACACTGTCTGCTCACCCGCCTACTTTTTTGTACTATTTTCTTTTTTTTTCTAAGACAATTTGTGTCGAGAGCCTTCTGGGAGGCTTTTTTGTTGGAAGATGGAGAATAATGAGATTACTATTCTATGGATTTCCGCGTTTGAAGTATTATTCTAGTACAAAAAAATCGGGCCCGTGGAACTACAGTAACCTAAAACTGTTTTTACTTTCCTGACTTTTATCGGCCACGGCCACCGGCGTTTTTCTTCCACAGCTAAGATTTTTTTACCAGAATAAAAACCTTTCCAGCTTTTCTCGAGATTCCGGTGCAAACCATTTCACTAAAGGCCAGGACTTTCGGCTCCGCGTCACTTTGAAACTGCGACACTTCGAAACCAGTCATTTCGAATCCGGCCTTTCCAGGACCGTGATAAAACAGGCGAATGGATAAGTTTCGGACTACAAAAATAATTTTAGCAGTTTCGAAAATTCTCTTTCTGATAGAACACATTTTGAAATTCAAAAAAATCCCAAATTGAGTTTAAAAAAAAAAAAAACCTTTTAACTTTCCGAGTTTCAGAATGCGTTCTAACAGAAAGAGCATTTTCGAAACTGCTAAAATTATTCTTGTAGTCCGAAACGTATCTATTCGCCTGTCTTACCACGGTTTCGAAATGACTGTTTTCGAAGTGGTGTAGTTTAGAAGTGACGAAGAGCCAGATTTTCATGAACGAAAAAAAAATAAAGGTTAAAAAATGAGACCGGTGTTGGACCAAACTATGTAAGACATTCTGAAAATATTATAGTTTCAGACATTGGAATGTTCAACCATTATCAAACAGGGAGTTGTCTGAAGCCAGTTCAGTTCAACAGAGACAGAAATGTCCTAAAAATTATCATATTATTTCAGAAAGACTTGATTTCGGTTTTCACCTCCCCTTTCAAAAAAAATTGAGAAGAAGTTCTCCCCGGAGAGATGAACATTTGAATGTCTGCAAGTCTTCTTCTTTTTCTCCATTTTTTTTCGGAAAACGGATGTAACGTTCAGAGTTTTCGCGTCCTAAAACTTGTCCCTTTTTCCGGTCCTCTGTACCACCACCATCCGTCGCCGTCAGGGTGCACTTTTTTCCCACCAAGAAGCCACTTGGTATTGCAATTTGTAAAGGAAAAAGAAGAAGAAGGGATCGCTTTTCGAGATGCAACTAAACTTTGACTTAGTTTACTTTCTTAGACGAAATAAAGCATATATAGTTGTGTGAGAAAAAGGAGAAAAAGGACATTGAATATGAAAGAAAAAAGAAGTGTATTGGAAGAACAACATGTGTTGGAGTAGGCACCAGCTCCAACCATCACAAAGAAACATGGAATGAAGAAGGGAAGAAAAAAGAAGAAGAAGAAAATGAGGAAGGAGAAGTATATGGAGAAGAAGAAGAAGATGCATAATTAGAAGCTGAGTCTTCGAGCACACCAAAAAAACTGGAGGAGGTCCAACAATATTTTTGCATATTGAACTGAATCGGGGTTTTTAAATTCCTACCTTCTTTCAGTGTCTGCGAATTCATAGTTCATCTGTTGATGCAGTTCGTCTCCTTAAAAAAATCAAAAGTATGATGAATTCTTCAAAATAAGTTTTATAAAGTAGGATATCACAAACATTCTGAAAGCTGAAAATTCCTATTTATTTTTGTTCTATTCGAATCAGATATACTAATGTGTATCAGTTCAGCTAAAGAGCCAGAAGCGGCATGCAAGTGAAACGAGACGCCAAGACGTGTCCAGCCGATATGGAATCTCCTGGGGCCTTCTGAATTTTCTTCTGCTCCGCCCAAATTTACACTAATTCCCATTCGATTGCTTTTTTTCAAGTAGGATATAATTTCATTTTCAACCCCAATTTCGTATTTTCTAACAAGAATGAAATTTTGAATAAAAAACGGTAATCGTAAAATTGTTGTCGGGAGTTATCTATACAGTGTTGCACAGATGACAGCCGTCAAAAAAGAAAGAAAGGGTAATAATCACGTACAAGTGGATTTTGGGGGAAAAATGATAAAGTCAGGAAATGGGATGGAGAAACAAGGCAGAGACAGGAAAAAAGACGATAAATGGGGGTTGGGGACAAATGAAACGAAAGCACCTACTGTAAACGGTAAAATATGATACAAAGCATAAGGGGTGGTGACAATAAAGACGAAACGAAATAAAAACTACAAAAAGAAACATGAGAACAAAAAAAATAATAAGATGCGGAGAAGTGGAAGAAGGAACAAAAATAGTGGGAGTAATGAAGATCAGGAGATGATGTTTCTACGAAATGGGAGCAGTGACAGTGTAAACCTGAACAAGCTACGAATCGGGATAAATTTGAATACCGGAGCTTGAAAACACGAAAAGAGAATACTTTCATTTAAGTAAATGATCATGTTGTATATGATTTTTTATGGAGAAAAACAAATATTCGAAAATTCGAGAACTACAACTCGGTAACGCGTTGAGATGAAGTTCTCGATCGTGCTGGCTCGATTTCAGATTGAGAAGCGAAGCCGTGGGTCTGTCGTCGCATCGATGAGTTTCTTACGAGATGTGTTCGATTGAGAAATGTGGATGAAGTGAGTCGGGCGCTGAAATAACTGATGAAACCAGTGTAGGCTTATGAGAGTTACTACTTACCGAAGTCCTCGTTTTGGAGTTGACTCGGATTCGCTCACTGATCCGGGCATTCCAACGGATGTCATGTTGGCAAGAGCAGCTGGATCACACGAAACTCTCGGAGAAGCCATGAAGGACGAATTCTCATCTGAACATGGATTTTCTCAATCGCTAATATAAAAACTATAAAACTCACTGATCCGTGCCAAATTGTTACGGCTTTGATTTCTTCCAAATCCGAGTGTGGAGGTGATCGTCAGCTGAGCGTTACTAAAAGCTCTTCGCATTCTGCTCTGAGATTGTGGTGGTCCCATCATGCTTTCATTGTGTGACCATTCCTGAAATATCAAATTTTTATTTCAGTTTTCTCCTTAATAAGAGTTCTTTAACTCTATATTGTAAGCAAACTAACCGTAATATTCATCTGGCTTCCGTGTCCGGTTTGAGGTTTCGTTGCACAAAGACTGTAAAAATTGATATTAAAAAACCAGTCGTTAATTTATCGAAATTCACTTTTTGAAGAATCGAGTAGTCATGTCAGCTACATGGGCATCGTTGAGCTCATTGACATCAGCCATCTCTGTTTGAAAGAAGAATCTTCCACAGTTGCTCATAAGTTTGAGGTGAATCTCATCCAGGAAGTCTCGCACCTCTTCACAGTCTGATGATTCGAAAACGGTTTCTGTGTCCCCGCCTTGCTCATCGCGATGAATCAAACACCACACGAAAACTTCTGAAAAATTTATCTGTTGCGATACTGAAACGAACTATTCGGTTAATACCTCTTGGGCGGATGCCATGGACTGTGTGATGTGCTTCGAGGAACTTTGACACTTCCTCAGGCGGCCGAATCCGGAACGCGCTTCGCATTGTTGTCAGCTGAATCTGATCGATATACTTGTACGGTCTTCTTTGTCTGGCATGAAGACTTGCGAACGAGGCATGTCTAGCAAGTCGCTGCATTGTATTCTTCTCACTGCGAATTTTGGTTAGCTGAATAAGAAATTTACTGAAATTTAACTGAATCCCCGTCTCGAAACATACAATCAACACATCATGGAAGAAGAATAACTTCATTCTGGGGACGACAGAAAGACGGCTCGAAGTGCTTGCTATAGGACTCACTACCAATTCACGGCAAAACATTCTGTTAGCAGCAACCAGTGTTGGCTGAAAACCCCATTATTTGTTTGGCTTCAGAAAAATAGTCAACTAACCGGAACATTCTCAATGTCTGTGAACTTGCTCAGATGTGAGATAAGGTTGTCGTTCTTTTCTCGAGTTTTATTGGCAACCCTCAAATTAAATTTTTTTAATAAGAAGGCTCTATTAGAAAACTTACTTCAACACTTCGTCAATGACTTTCTGTGCTTCTTCTGCTGTATGCTTCAGTTTAGATTCCGACTTTTTCCCGATCTCCTTGAGAAGAAGTGCAACACTGGGAAGACGTTGAACTGGTTTCACCATCAAATCAGTCAGTTTCAGTCTATGAAACTCCGGATTACTCTCCTTTGCTTTGCAGAATGTATGGAACTTCGAGTTTTCTCTATCTTGCTTATCAAAAAACCGTTTCATTGTATCAAACGAGTTGATGTACTGCGGGTAGGCCTTTTTCATCTCATCTTTGGCATCGATCCAAACTTGGGCGAAATCGAGACTTTTGTCATCGTTTTTCTTTCCGTTCGCAGCAGTAAGAACACTGTTTGCTTCTGCCATTATACTCGACAGCTTTGCGTGAATTTTCTCATGAAGCTCGAGAATGGGGTCCAACTTTCCGAACATCATCGCCACATCAGACTTCGTCATGAATTCGTTTTGAGCGATTTCCTTCTCAAGAGCTTCTTTGAACTGAAATTCTGATGCAGGCGAATGACAATATCTCAAAACAAACCTTAATGACTAGCTTCAACAGAGAAACATAGTTTCTCTCAGTATCCACCATCTCCATACACACGCGTAGACGTTTTGAGGGTTGACGAGGCGACTTTCCGACATTTTCAACTTCATCGTTTGAATATATGTAGTCAGGCGTCATGTTCAACGACGGACCTTCACCGCTACAATCACGCATCGACGACAAAGACCTGGAGTTGTGGGACCGGAGAGATTTGCCGAGCGGGCTGTTAATAGTACTATTGTCCAGTGGTTTTCGTCTGAGGGTTCCAGTAGGAAGTGCAAAGTTGTCCTCCAGTGCACACCACCCTCGATGCAAACTCACCCAGAACCACTGAAAGAATTGTTGACACGATTAAATACAGTAACGTCAAATGTTATACCTCCTGCGTAACGTGGACCTGATTTGCTGAGACTGGCAACGTTTCAACGTCGTCGTTTACTGGATTGTAAACGACGTGAGTAGCTTTTGAGGGGTCTTCTGCGAGCGTCCCACCCGTGTTGTTCAAATTGAAACACATATCGTCAATCTCGTTTTTCTTGAACCCATGAAAATAGAGGCTCAGACCTTCGAAGACTCCCAATTTGTGTTTGTCGACCTAGATAAAAATTATTACAGATGAAGAAAAGTCATACCTACAATGTCCTGCCGAAACACGTCGTAATCTGGGTCATCTCGATTCTCCCAACAATCTGTGATCCAGTCAGCACGTAATGTCGGGACGCCAACCAGAGTCATCGACTGAAGGAAAAATATATACATCGATATGAGAAACATAAATAAATGTAGTCATTGAAACTATAATTTTCTTACCTGAACTTTTGCTTCCACCTTAGCAGCAATAAACACATTTGTTCTTTGCACAGTCTGAAAAGAGAATACCTTTCAAAAGTTGAAATAGACTTTTCGAGTTTACTCACATCTTTCCGTACGCTCCCTCCCATGAAATGCACCAATTCAACAAGTTCCCTCTTATTCGTTACTTCTGTCGACAACTTCATTGTTACATTTTTCATCAACTCACAATAAAGAGGTCGGCACGGTCTCAACGGCATGAAATCCTAAAACACATTTTTTAAAGAAGAGCCACAAAACAGTGAAACTGACCAGTCGTCTCTTTAGTTTTTGTTTTAAAACGGCGGTACCCACAATGAGGTGTGCACTGGTACCTGTATCTTGATTCTGTGTTAGTTTGCGAAATAAATCGGATTTGAAATCTCCACAAAAGAAAGTGTATTCGCTCCAATCTGAATCCAGCTCTTCTAGATTTTCGTAGTAGACTGCTTCAATTTTGCGCTTCTGAAATCTTAGTTTTCGATTTCTGAAGTAGATATGTAGTTTAATGATACATACTTCTTTCTGTTCTTCGAGCCAATCAAACATTTCCTTGTTCTGTGCAACATCTCCTCTCCAAACAGCCAACTTTTGAATGTTTCTCGAGCGTTTTTGAGGTGATAGCATTGAGACATCCATCTCAACGGGCAATATGACTTTTTACTGAAAAAGCTACGAAATTATGTTAAAAAGAACAGATTAAAAGCGAAATGTGGATCAACAGCTGCCAAAAACCAGGAGAATTGTTCAAATCGTTTAGCCGTTCCCGCCGATTTCTGTGTCATCACGCGCACGCGAAAATGCACAGATTTGCGCACCAGTTGCGCGCAGGTGACAGAAGACCGTACCAGGGTTGTGCGGAATGGAGGTTTTCGGTATTTAAATACTTCTGAATCTCTGGATATTGCGAATTCTCAGAAATTCGAAACTTCAGAATATTCCAATTTGCCCAAAACCAGAATTTCGGAATATCCGAAACATTCAATAATTAAAAAAACACAAAAACGGAAGACATATCCTTACAAAAGCTTTGTTCTAAACAATCTAGCTCACGCTTCATTTTCTAGTTAAAATTAAGCGGCTAGCCAAAAATGGTGTTCAAGAGCACCACAACATTCGTTTCTAGAACTATAGAAGAATGAAGCAGAACAGAATACGAGGAGAAAGGTACAATTTTATTATACCCTCAAATGCATAGGTACAAATATTCTGTCCATGGTAGACAGAAAACAACGAGGAAAAAATCAGACGCCTTGTCTTTGTGAGGCTTAACTGTGAAAGGATACCAGCGCCCATTTACAACAGAGACGATGACCAAGCGTGAGTTTCACGTTTCTCACGTCATAAGCTTGTAGTGTTCACGTCACGAAAATTTCTGAAAACTACCGTAATCCGTATTATCACCAAGCGGAATTCTATGATATGTTTGAAATAATTCCAGTAGTTTATTGTTGCTGTAAATCTGTAATGGCGCGTTCAAAGTTGATTTCCAGGAGTAATTTCCTGGAAAAAACGCTGTCCAAAGCTGGTTTTCCAGAGGCCTCCGCTTCGAGACCCGCCATAAATCAACATGATTCAACAGGAAAAACACAGTCAAAACGAGTGATACAGTAGTTTACTGTTGCTGTAAATCTGGAAAACAATCGCAGCTTTGGACAGCGTTTTTCCAGAAATTACTCCTGGAAATCAACTTTGAACGCGGCATAATGGAAAGTTACCCGCACCTGTAGGTGTTTGTGAACGAGGATAAAGAAACAGCTGGCAGAACACCCTGTTGACCTTCCCTGCCTCCTAGCTAATACATCTCATGGCTAAACTAACGCATAAAATCCGCACCAAGAAGAGAGATGACGTCATTACCTGAAGAGGTTGCGCGAAGACAACAATGCACACCTCTCAGTGGGACATTGAGGTCAAATTTTCCATATCTTGGGTTTATAGAAAGAGACGTCACCCATATGCTCAGAGGAGTGTACAAATACGACCAACTATCTTCTCAAAACTCATTAATCTTTTTGGGGTTCAATGGAGCTGGCCAGCTAGCTAACTATCTCAAATTTCGCAAAAATACTTCGAATACTTCTATCCAGGGATGTTCGGAATGGCATTTTCGGAATTTTCAAATTGTCGAAAATGTTTTCAAAATTTAGGAATTTCGGAATATTTCGAGTTTCAACCTTTCGGAAACTTTGAATTTTACTTTTCCATCGTAAAAGCGCAAAAAACTGACGGATAGATTTCAAAAATGCATCAAAAAAATGAAAGTCATTCCGCTCGAAGCCCGCAAGGAAACGTTCTGCGTGCGCCTTTGACATACAGTAGTCCACAAAGACTTTCGAGTTCTTTCTCCAGTATAAATACTTTCACACCCCCGATTGTTTCTGTTCTCTTCTTCCATCATCATGCGGTCAGTATCTACAGTCTCCCTCATTTGCACTATTACCTACACACAGCTGCGTTCTTCGCATTCTGTTCAGACCATCGCGATTTGGCACAGTGCCAAGAATGTTAGCGGGAAATAGGCCGGCTGTTGCACCTCTTGCACTCCATACGCATTTGGACCACCAATCTTCATTGTGTGCGCGCGCGCGTTCGAATCATCTGCGGTTAATTTTGACAGTTGCGTATTCTGAATGACATCTAGAGAACTGAATAGGCTTATTTCAACAGTTGAATTCTTTTTTCTGTCCAGTGTATTTATCATTCTTCGACACGTAATTGCACCAATTACAAGATCATACATGAGATTTTTTAGATAAAACTATCAAGATCAACAATTAGCTCGGATAACCACTTCAATGTAAGAAGATAATATGTATTTATCTGATGTTCACTTTAGCATTTTTTCCCAGAAATAGGAGCCGAGGTGAATTAAATGAACAAACCCTCTTTTTTCGAGCTGCCGTGCTTGTCTTGTACGCATTTGCGCGTCATGGTGAACATTCAAAATTGGCGGGAAGTTTCACACTTGTTTTCCCTCGTTCGCATTCTTCAGACATGTTTCCTTCTTAATCATCTGTCGCCCTGCTTCTTCTGACTGTTTTTCTATTTTGGTTTCAAAAATCGAACTTTTGCAAATAATTTCCGTTTTCTGCACTTCTTTGATATCGTGTAATAAGGCACTGCATTTGCTCCTTACAGCTCCTCTAGTCCTGAGCCTCCACCATGGTGTCGTCACCTCGCAAACAAGCGCCCAGCACCCCAAAAAAGGTAGCTCAACCGTCTCCAAAAAAGGGCACGCGATCCTCTCCCCGAAAGAAAGCTTGGGCATCGCCGATCAAAGCGACCGCAAAATTCCAAAGTGACATTTTCGTAAGATTTAGACTTGCAAAACTTTTAATAATGAGCCTTTTTCTTACAGTCTGCTGACGAATTCGCCGATCTTTCGAATAAGTCTTGGGCGGAAATCACCGAGGAAGATGACGATATATCTGCGAGACTCGAAGCCGAACGTCGATGCAAGAGTGATTCGAGGCGAAAAGGTCAGCCGAAAAGATCTCTCAACAACTCGAGCAAATCGAAGTTTGTCCGCTCGTTGGAGCTAACCAATGAAGTATTTCAAGCAACGTCCAGTCGTCGCTCACAGAGAAGCAAGTCCCGAACTCGCAACGGAACCGTTGTCGAAACCGAGGAAGTGATGGAATCTATTGTGCTGGAGACATCGTCAGGACCTATCAGTCGCAAGAGATGTCTCTCGAACGCATCAACAATCAACGATGAGGGCTCACCATCCAAGCGACGCGTGGAAACTGGAAAGGCGAATCGTAAAGCACCAAGAGCCCGTCTTTTCAATGGATCTGACAGTTCGAGTGTAGCTAGCAGTCCGTCACGTCGAGACCACTGGGAAGAGCCCACTCTTGGATGGTGTACTGATGATGCCGTCCTCAAAAGACGCTCCAGAGAAATCGATCGAGCCAAGGAGAAGGCCGTGTACCAGAGGTACATCTCTGAGGTCCCACTTCGCGATCGTGTCAAGGGGACACATCCACGAACACCAAACAAGCTGATCAACTACAGTCGTCGCAGTTGGGACACTCAAGTAAGTATAAATTACTCTTCTCGTATAAAAATTGTTTATTTAGATCAAGAAATGGAAGCGCAGCTTGTACGAGTACTGCGGAGAAGAACCGTCCGAATCAGTCAACACATCGTTCTGTAGCTATTCGGATGACGCGATGAGCGAGTCTGGCGACAAGGAAGAGAAGGAAATCGAAAACCAAAATGTTCTCCGAAATCTTCAAATCCCAGTGAATGTAAGAAGCTCATTTCAAGCATTCAGTACTTGTTTTTTTTTCATTTTTAGATGCGTCCAGAAGTCGATTCAATGGCATCACTTCTTGGAAAGTTCGACGTTGATTCACAAATGGGACTCGATGAGAGCACATTGAAGGCATCGACAAACACTGATCCATCGGCTCCGACCGATTTCTCGAAGCTTTCTAATCAACACTAAACACCAATATATGCTTCATCCTGTTTTGGTTTTTAAAAAGCCCCGTCTGCTTCAAAATTTATAATCAATCAATCCCCCTCTCTCTTTCTTTCCCAACAATCTTCCCTAATGAGTAATTCCCCTAATAGAAATGGTACGATGAGCGATTTTGTGCCTGTCTTATTCGAAGCCTGTCCTATTCTTGACCAATTTTCATATTTTCCCTCTACTTCTCCTCTTTGATTGTTATAAAACGAAAATCCCCATCCTGAATTGTAATTCTATATATCTTTCTCTCTCTCTCTCTTCCGTTCCGTAACTTTCTGTTTTCCAAAACTTATTCAAACTTCAAACTATTCACCATACGAATCGAACTTATTGAAAATAAATTTGTGCTATGCCCTTCAAACAATATGTGATTTCTCCGCCTTTACAGAGACGATTGAGAGGATTAAAGTAGGATTTGAAGTGTAGGATTCGTTTTTGTCGGGCCTCATGACGACCCTTATATTCAATCATTTTTGATTTCATAGTCACTGAAAATGTTGAAAGTTCTCGTCCTATTGGCCCTTGTTGCTCAAGTAGCTGCCATTATTGATGCCACGGGTTTTGGAGCCCCAGCTGACAATCACAAGACAGGATTCGGAGGACCGATTCCAGAATCCAATGGCCTTGCCGGTTCGACTGTTTTCAGTTTCCCTCTCTATCTGTAAATTCCAGACGAATCTCAACCACAACTCCAGCTGGCTGATGTCAGCCCACAGGACGAGCAACAACAAAATGTAGCCCATGTCAAAGAGAGTGAGTTTCTTTTTAGCATAACTTCTATTTCTGACTTCATCCCTTTCCAGTGTTCTCCAACGTCTTCAGTAGCATCAAGGCTCAACGCGAGCAGGCTATGGCTGCCAACGCCACTCAACCAACTGACTGAAGATTATAAAATATTAAAATCTTTAAAAATCATAAATTATATCACAAGAAATGAACTTGACCAGAGCTACAGAATAAGGCAATATGTTGGACTAAATGTATAAACAATAAAAAAGATATATACAATTTGTTCAATCGAATGGATTAGTGGATGCTGTTGGTGCTCCAAATGGGTTCTTCGTTTCATCATAACTATTTTTCTTGCTTCCGGCATCTGAAGAAAAAAAGGGATTCGTGGAATCATCATCTTTTTTCGTAGTAGATCTTTGTCGAGATACAGGAGCCATGTTACTCGACACAGTGGACATTGTTCGTGATATCGTCTCCACGTCATCATCATCGAATGGATTCGTGTTAGTTGAAATTCTTCCAGAACTAGCGAATGGATCCTTCCTAGAAGCATCCGTTTGCCTAGTTTTCTTCTTTTCATCAAAAAGTCCTCTCTGCAAATACGTGGCAATTAGCTCCATTCCATTTGTTGCCTCAGCCAGCTCTTTCTGGAATTTGTGGTAGCTGATCTCTTCATTTCGACTAGTGCCATGACTGGTTTGACAAGCGGGACACTTATCACTTCCGTCCATATTGTACGATTCGAAACAGTGCACATGATACGCGTGCTTGCACAGGAAATGAACAGTCGGCAGTTGGAGAGCAGTGTCACATGCTGAGCACTTTGTGACCTGCATGATTTGAGCGCTAAAAATTATTCTTGTTACAGTAAGAATCATTCTTCGGGAGCATACTTGAACTTGAGGGACTCAATGGTTGTATCGAGTTCTCCCATGGCTTTATTGTTCTCTTTTATGGTATTTCTATCGTCTTCAATGATAATTTGTTGCTTGCGAAGCCATGCGACAATGTAGTCTTTCACAGAAGAGATTGTCAAGTGCTCATTTTTTGCGAGAAGTTCTAGAACAACCAGTGGATGAATCTGTTCGGAGGCCTCGATTCTGAAACACAGAGAAGATTATCGGGATTAACCGTAAACCACTCACTCTTTCAGTAGATCAACAATCATCGATTCATCGTCTGCCGTCGCATGTTTCCCGATGAAAGTTAGAGCGTCTAGCCACAATCGACGTTTCCTGAACAGTGAAATATATGATACACAACAATTTGAATATTTCAGACTTACGACTTTTGAGAAGATCCCTGACACAACCTGATGATCGCTTTGAGATCCCCCTTCTTCTGATGATACATCATCAATTCTCTCGATTTATTACACCTCATCAGAATGTGTTCGATAACTGGAGAACAATCAAATAGCTGTGCCAACTGGAGTGCAGCTTCTTCATTTCCTTTTTCAATGAGATCGTAGATGTCATTTTTCAATTCATCAGCCGTCCATTCTTTCGATTTAAAATGTCTCATACGGTACTCCAAAATCAATAGGATGAAATGGTTCTGTTCCGCACCTTTTGTCTTTTTGAGGACGTGATCGAGAAACACTTTTGAGGCATCCATATCTCCTATAAAAATATCGAAAAGTCGCATGAAATTATTTTTCGAATCGGAATTCTCTTTGATCTTCTCCAATAACATGGTCAACAACTCTTCTCTGGCATGAAGTAACAAGTCTCTTCCATACTTTCCAGTCATCTCAATTACACTTTCAATCGGCATTCTGTTAATGTAGTTGACACCCATCTGATACTTGTGCTGATGGTGAATGATTACATTCAACGCGTCCTCGTGCATTTGAAACTTCGTCGCTAACAGCGAAGCTTCAGGGAGATAATTCCACTTGAGCAATATCTCGAAAACATCTCTCATTCTTGCGGATCTCGAACCATCTGTGATCTTGTTCACGAACTCCATCAGTTTCTTTTTCTCTCCTTGCTTCGCATAAGCGTTCATCAGAATTTTAGTTTGGTGCTCGTTGTCCTTTTTTGCATCGTGAAGGTATTCCAAATAGATGCACAACTCCTTGATCTTTGCACTATTCAAATACCTTTTCATAACATATGATGGCTCTAACATTCCAATCGTCTCTTTATACTGATGGATAGCATTTTCATGATCGCCTTTGTTATACAGATAGTCACCGTATTTCGCATGGATACTCTTCAAATAATCTCCACCGTCTTTGCTATTCTTCGCTATCAGAACAGCAACGTCGAACATATTTTTCTTCACTAGGATATCCAATTTCGTAGCAATGTTCTTTTCAACTAATTCCGAAAGGAGACCATCGTGACTGAGAACGAGGAACGTTTTTCCAACGGTGAACATACGACACAGATTCGGAAGTGAGCATGAGAACCCGACGTACTGCCCTTTGATATCGTATACACTCAACATTGTCATGAACTCGGAATCTTTTTCTTTTCTGAAAACATGGATTTTAGAATTAAAACTTGTTTTAAAGAATGTCAACTCTTACTGAATCAAGGAATGGTGTTTTGTAAGAAGAGCCAAATATTGTCCATTCGCCACCAGTTGTAACTTTTCATGACCTCTTCCCAGCTGCAAACATCTTCCGATTTCTCCATTATCTACATCTATACATTGGTCAGCATCGTAGAAGAAAAGCATTTCTCGACTGGCAACAATCAACTGCCCCGTACTCTCATCAAATGTCCAACAGTCTGCAGTTGCTCCATTTGCATCGTGCTTTTTCGGAGAGTTTACAGTTTTTCCACCTTCCACAACATAGGAATACACATGTTTCGGGGTGATTACGAAAATCACCGTCTTCGATCCTGGAAGAGCTGCGATGGCGAGTCCTGTTACCGCTCCTTCGCCAATCGACGAGTCCCGGACTTTCAACCACCGGGAGGCGAGTGATTTGTCATGTAACACATCTCCTTGATAGTAGAGAACAGTTCCATCAGTATATCCAACAACAATTGATTGAAGACTAGAATGAACTGCAATACTGCATGCAGGTGAGGCAGATGCATGATTCAGTGGGGACATTCGGATGGTTCGTAACACATGCGGCGTGTTCTTTTCTACACTTTCCGGATCCCAAATTTTGAGAAGTGTGTTTACTGTGTCATCGTCTTCTCCGATGGAAAATAAGTATTTATCTGCCGAATGGAGAGATGCCAAAGACTTCTGATAAGCTTTCCAGAAGTACTCTCCAAACTGACTTGTGAGTCTGAAGGTATAATTTCATTTGTTTATATTGAATTAAGATGAACGACTTACTGAAATACTCCTCCTTTTGCTTCTCCCAAATACACCGATCCCCCAGAGCTGCACCAGCAGTCGACTGCTACATCTTTTAGACCAGAAAACTTCTGTTTCGGATCTTCTTTATCGAATACAACGTTCCTATCGAAGAAATTAAATCGGCGCCACCCGAACTCTGTCATTTGTAAATGAGCTAAATTTAATTTGGGATTGTTGGAGTGTTTGGGGTCGCCAGCATGAAGTATAAAAACGAGTAATCAACATTCGAGGAATAGTAAAGAAAAAAATTGAAAAAGACTATTTTATGAAAATAGTAGTTATTGCTATCAGCCATCACAATAAAATGCTCAACAGAGAAGATCTTCAAAGGGAATTTTTCACAACCGAATGGTACAAGATTTAGAGGAGTTAGTAGAAATTAGTATATGTGGATTGTGATATTTTACATAATTAATAATTAACTTGGGAATGTGGTAAAACAATTATTAAAACTATCTCGATTTTTGAAGCTCGCTGCGAGCCATCTCCATCAACCGTCTTATGTTAACAGAAATCGGAGCACCCGCAGTGTAGATCTTTTTGAGAGGTTCTTTTATCTCTTCGAGAAGCTTCACGACTTTATTGTATTCTCCGTTGGCATGACAAATTTGAGCAATCTGCCACTTCTTGAGCATCACGATCGGATCATGTTTTCCTTGGTATCTCATCATCATAGCTAACAATGCTTTCCCATGTTTTGAAGCCCCATTTACACTGAAAAATGCAAATTACATAAAAACACATTTTAAATATCTCACTCTTGAACTGCCAGTGAAGCGAAGAATAGTAATCGTTGAGGTACAACTCGATGAACATTAAATTCGTGCAGAGTATCATCAAAGAGTTCCATGAGTTTTTCGCAAAGAGCTTTTCGCGTTTCCAGAGATATCGATTCGTTTTCTATTTTCGGTTTAGCAGCTATCGCAGATTCCTCCGCTGTTCTACACAATTCATAATGATCTCTTGTCATTTTCCATGAACACGATGCACATCTTCCATCTTCAACATTGGGGACTTTTCCGTTGGCACAGTCACCGCATGCCCAAGCTTCCATACTTTCGTTTCGTTCATCATCCATACATCCTTCGCAAATGCAAATGAAGTTGTACTTTTTCTAAAATAATATCAGAATTATAAAACTCACAAGGGAAGTGTTTTCAGAAGGGCGTTGAGAATTTGCTCAAAATTTGTACAAAGGTACTTTCGAACACGCTGAATACGATTTTAGCAATATCTCGGTCATAACCCTAATAGGAACCAAAATATGGGCTCTCAAAGTGTTTTCAGTACTAAATTTTGACCAAAAACGTGCATTTTTCGAGCTTTAAAACTCGTTTTCCATGATTTTTTCAAGCGGTACACTCTTTTTTGATCATTTCTCTATCATCTGAAATAGTTTTTGAACAATTAAAAAAAAAAATTTTTTTCGATTTTTTTTTTTGAAAAAAATCATCATGGGGTACCCCACACTTCAAAAGTAATTTTTTGGAAATTTTTTTTAAAGTGCAAAAAAGTCTTTCAAACATTTAGAAATGATAAGAACATCATTTTCACAATATTTGGCAGCTCGATTTTGTATGTGAGCCCTGATAATTCCCTAAATCTGATAATTGCAAGAAACTTGAAAAACTGTAATTTCTCAAATATTGCTCGAAATCACACGGAATACACAGAAATATATGAAGATCATTTGGGTGATCGATTTGGTGGTGTTCCACTCAAAAAAGAGCAAGACGGAGCAATTCCGAGAGTCGAAAGTTTTGCTTTTGGGCGATAGGACAAGTCGAAAAAAACAGTATTTCAAAATTTCTTCTAAATTTCAAACGCCTTTTTTTTCACTTTGAAAACGTCGGGAATTCATGAAATAAGTATAATTTGTTATTCAGGGGACCAAAATGAATATCGAAAATTTGTCTCGAAAAAAACAAAAAAAAGAATTACCACAGTGGGGCTCGAACCACCATAGTCACTCCTAATGAGTCTCCCTCTTACCACAACACCACACAACCGATGTTTTTCCCTGGCGCGGAGGGCGTATAGGAGAGGGGGGCGTAGTGAAGAGAAGGAGAGGGCGAAATCGACCGAAAAATTTCAGACGAAGATTTTCAGCTTCCTGGTGGGGTTATGACCTAGATTTTTTCGTCATCGTGTTGCGGATATCTCAAACTATCAGTACTGAAATTTTTAGAAAATTCTCAACGCCCCTCTGAAAACACTTCCCTTGTCAGTAGTAGAATAATACCTTCAATTCCGATTGCCTTGCAGACACAGATTGTAATTCATCTATGTAGGAATGGCAGGCGCCTTCTAATGATGTTGGAGGTTTATAGGGGTCTATGGGAACTAGCATGGCGGTACGGTTTCTGAAAAAAAAGCTCTCCAACTGAGCTAGCTACAAAACCAACTAACCTATAGCACACTCTGGTCAATGGTTTACATGAATGATTTGCTGCACTCAACTTTATACATAGACCATGTCCTATCGCGGATCCCATTGAATTCGAAACCGAGAAGCCATTGATAGAGATCTTTTTGAAAACTGATTTTACGACATCTGGTTCAGGATGAGGAGGTAAAGCGTAATTCAAATATTCTTGATAGAATGTCTCGGCCCCCGAGTCTAGAAAGGATCCATGGTCCACTAGGGTCAAGAAACTTCGACTTCCAGTTGATATATAGCTCGCTGTGACGTGCCCGAAATTTTTCTTGCCGAGAAGAACAATGATTCTCATAGCGAGTCGCATCGAGTCACTGGCAAGAGTACCGTGTTCCTGAAACAATTTAAAATTGGTTTTAACAGTTGTAAATTAAGGACCTGAATAGATTTACACTCGGGCTTGTGAACCTTCCAGTCATTCTTCTGACATTCTTGTGAACAGTAGAAAAATTCGTTACAACCTGCGCACTTTTTGAGCCTAGTTGTATTCGTCAAACATAGATTACAGTATTCCTTTATTTGTGTGCTTGCCAATGCGAATGCGTACAGGTTTTCTGATAGAGCATCCTCTGGTAGCTCCATTCGTGCTGAAAATATGTACAAATAAATATACCAAAAAGGGATTTGAATTTGAGAATCAAATGTGATTGGATATTTAATCTTCTCGGTACTAGTAATAAAAGCTTTCCAGTATTCCAATTTTCGCGAATTATGTGAGGTAAGCACTATGAGGGTATCAGAACTCGTGACGGAGGCCGATTGCCTCAAGTAAACAAAACTTGACAGACAGAAGTAAGGATTTAATTGGAACGGAATCAAGAATTAATTCAAAAAAAAAGAAGGGAATGGAGTCCGAAAATGGAGAATACACCGAAAAGAGAACATACATGGATACTCCGTGAAAGAAGGAAAATGATAGAATATGGGTGAAGAAATAAAAAGAAATAGATAAAAAGAACAGAACCAAGATTTTGTCAGCAAATTCAGAAATTAGAAATGATTAGTTGAGCCCCATAGTGTTCCAGAGTTTGTTGAGCAATCCATCTGGGGCCTTTCGAGTCGCTGTTCCCTGTAACTGATCCAAACTTGTAGGGAGTTTCAAAAAAATATCGCTTACATTGTTCCGCTGTTCAACTGCCAATGGGCGCATGCCAACTCCAGAGCGGACTGAAATGCGAGAAGAGCTGGAAAGGAGAAGATGAAACATAAACATTCTAGGTCATATTAACTTACTTCATTGAGTTGTTCGCATCAAACACGTTCGATGAATTGAGAACACTGTTCTCGTTGAATTGAGCTGACTGATCCGCCGCATCACTCTCAGCAAATGAGTTATACATGGACACAGATCTATTAGCAGCCGCGGTAGTAGTTGAAGTGCGAGCAACAATACCGGCTGCTGTACCATTGATGACATCTTTGTTGGTGCATTGAACGACACCAATGAATGTGTCTTGATCGAGAAGAGTTCCGTTTCTGGAGAGAGCTTGTTGAGCATGAGTAATGCAGGAATAACGAATATGCATGAAGTTCCCTCTGGTCGGCGCTTGATGGCTGACGACTTCTCCGTGCCGCGAGAACAGATTTAATAGAATTGAAACCTGACTTGGAGAGAATCCGAAAACTGTAACCCAGGTGTCAGCTGCATCAATTTCTTCCTGCACCTCTTCAGATTCAACAGGACGCGACAATACGCGCTGAGTGTTGGGGGTCGACAGTGGAGTCGATCTGGCAGCAAACGTGTTCCTCCGCGAGATTTTTTTGGCTGGTTCAACTTTGTCGCGGAGAGATCGAAGTGGAGGAGCTGGAAAACTAATTAATAGGATCTATAGCATGTTTAGCTATTCTTACCATTCAATGCTTGTCCTCCGAACGACGACGCTTGCACTGGTGGCTTAGCTACTGGCGCTGTGGTGAACGATGAGTTTCCTCCGAACGACATATTAGAAGCGTTGCTTTGAGAAACTGTAGATTGCTTATCGCTAGACTGCACGAGAGCCGGAGACCAGTGTACCGATTTCGAACCGGGAGTGTCTTTGACATGCTGTGGTACAGCGTGCGAAGAAACAGCGAAAATATCTGAGCATGGAGCAGAAGTAGTGTTCAGCGGACTGTTTGTGTCTGGAAGTACAGAATTGGAAATATTTTATCAAACTATTCAATTTGGCTTACATGTCGATGGAACGGTTGCTTTTCGTTTTCCGAATAGAAACGCCGGTGTAGACTGATCGAGAGGAGTTCCAACGCTGGAAAATAACGTTTCCAGGTATTGACCCAGGGATAGAAACTTTTTTTATTACTTGGACAGCTGAGAATTGTTCAAATCGATGGAATTGTGTTTTGACGACGTGTTTAGGGTGGAGAACATAGTTTGAACGTCTTCTGAAAAAGTGAATCATGTAATAAAATCTTAAATATATAATCGAAAATTAACATATTAAATAACGAAACTAAAATTACTTTAACGAAACAATCAGATGAAGCGAAAAGATTTTTCAAAACTTGATTCAGAATACGAGGAAGCATGCAATACGACGCGCAATTGCGGACGCAAAATGGGGGGGAAAATTATGGGGTTATTCACCAACATGTAGAGAAATGCAGAGAAAATACGAAAAATTCCGCAGAAAT